GGCTGGTCACGGAGAAGAGAAAGGAGTACCAAAACGCTCTACCCTTAGTAACCTTGATCCAGAATTGAGCAATGGGTTACTTCAAGTAGGTGGAAGGTTGCAGAATGCCCAGATTCCAAGCAGTGCTAAACATCAATACATCCTACCAAAGAAGCATCATGTAACCACTCTTTTAATGCAATACATCCATAGGAGAGTTGGTCATCAGGGACAAAATCACATGGTAGCTGAATTACGACAGAAATTCTGGGTGGTAGGAGCTGGAGTTTTAGCACGAAACATAGCAAGGAAATGCATCATTTGTAGAAAGAACCAAGGAAAGGCTGGTCATCAGAAAATGGCAGAACTTCCAAGAAGTCGAGTTCAGAGTGACGAGCCGGCGTTCACCAGAGTTGGCATGGACTATTTTGGTCCTTTTGAAATAAAGTGTGGAAGAAGCATAAGGAAAAGATATGGCGTAATCTTCACATGCCTGTCCTGCAGAGGGGTGCACATTGAAGTTGCATCGAGTCTAGACACAAGCTCCTGTATTGAGGCTATTCGTCGCTTCATCAGCCGCCGAGGACCTATGAAAGAGATGTTCTCGGATAATGGTACAAATTTAGTAGGAGCTGAAAGGGAACTGAAGCAGGCATTAAAGGAGCTGAATCAAGACCAGCTGATCAACTTTCATGCAAACCATGGCATGAAATGGCATTTCAATCCTCCTGCTGCTTCCCATCAGGGGGGAGTATGGGAACGCCAAATTAGAACAGTCAGAAAGATACTGTGTGCAGTCATGAGAGAGCAGTATCTAAAGTCCTACCAGAATGAGGAGCAGCTCCATACATTCATGTGTGAAGTGGAGGCCGTCATAAATAGTAGGCTTCTTACCCGATGTTCAGACAACCCAAATGATCTGGATGTAATCTCACCAAACAGCTTGCTGACTATGAAGGGTTCAACGACGCTACCTCCAGGGATCTTCGACGACAAGGACATCTACGCAAAGAAGCGGTGGAAACAGATGCAGTACTTGGCAGACCTATTCTGGAAGAGGTGGGTGCGAGAATACCTGCCTTCCCTACAACGCCGACAAAAGTGGCTGCAGCCAAGTCGTAACCTTCAGGTGGGGGACATTGTACTCGTCATAGACGAAACAGCGCACAGATGTTCCTGGTCCATGGCCCGAGTGCAAGAGGTTATGCCAGACAACAAGGGGTTCGTCCGCAGAGCGAAAGTGAAAACTGCAACAACATCGCTAGTAAGATCAGTAACCAAGTTGTGTATTCTACTGGAGCAGGAAATTTGAATGGAGTTTGTCTCAAATTTATGAAAGGATCTATATGTATAATATGTGAAAGTGCCTTTAAGTGGATTGCTTTGAATCATTATTGGAGGAGGATATCAAGCAAATGAAGCAATTTGTGTTTGGATCAAGCGAACAAGTGGAATTCAGAGCGCCAGTGAAATTTTGTGTTTGTGTTAAAGTGAGAAGTAAAATATTAATAGCCCTTTGGCTAGTAATTGGTAATCATTTGTGATAATGAGCCAATACAGGATCAAATCATGTTTAATAGCGAATTTGGATCTGATCAACACATCTTTAATCGCGAATTTGCATTGGATCAACACATGTTTTATCGCGAATTTGGATTGGATCAACACATGTCAAGTCGCGAATTTACACAGGATGATTTTTTCAACACGCGAATTGCAAGAGAGCAGAGTTTTACACAATTTTAAGAGAGGACACTTCCATGAAAGGATGTCAATTTAAGACATTGAATTATGATAAGTCAGCACCGAATATTGTTTAGTCTTTGCAAGAACGATAAAGGATATGAACATGAACTGGAACGAACTATTGAACTTTCAAACTGTTCAAGTTGAACTCTGTGAAATGCTATTCATGTCTAAATGTTTGTTTTGAAATTTGATGTTTTATACTCATACATGTACATGTATATATGTAAGTTTGTTGAGTTTCAATATTTCTTTGTGTTATCACAATTGGGATGTTTAAATTGAGGATGATTGAACATATATGTACACAAATAATTGAAAGAGAATATTTTGTAAAAATTTGTTCAAGGTAATGATTGAATTAGCCTCAGAGTTAAAATCAGATATATTTTGTTAATATAAAACATATCAGAAAGAGAGAACTCAAATAGGGTTAAAGGGAGAAAGTGTTTTGAAAACAGTGTATTTGTTGACATAGAAAGTTAGAAATTTCATTTCATTAGATGTTCAGAACATTAACATGAATGAAAAGATTTAAATATATGTGTCTGCACTCTGCAGTGTAGAGCATTATAAGGAAGTTCAGATTGTGTTATATTTAAATTGAGGATTAACATGTTTAAGTGAAGTAAGGAATGTTATTTAGTTTTATGTGCAAATGGCAAGGATATTTGCATGTGCTTAGTAGTCAATCCACAATGTGACTTCAGTCATGCAGGTAAACTTCGGACAGATTGATATATGCAAATAGAAAGAACAAGGTTAATGTTCAAGCGGAAGTACAAGTATTACATGTATGAAGATGGTATTATGCACAATGCTAAATATTTCCTTTTTTCTATTGTTTGAAAGTACATGTGCATCTACGTTATTTTGATGTTCCTTTTATGTTGATGTACATGTACATCAGTTCAGTTCAATTGAAGGTGTTCAGAAATTGTTTTATGTTTAAGTAAAAACAAAAGGAAAAATGTTAAAGGTAGTAAATACAGCCACTAATTATTCTTGTTTTAGAAGAACAATTCTTGTGTTTGGATATCATATTACTGGTTTATTTCCAGAGTTATTTTTTGAAAGGCAATTATAACGAAAATGGTGTTTTTGATAATTTAATTACCATAGGTATTACATTTTGACAAAAGTTTGACAAAAGTTTGACAGCTATGAGTAAACATTGAAAATATTTTGATTTAAAGTTATCATTGATTCATGATTATTTCGTATTGGATGCTTTTGTTGAGTTGATACAGGAATGTTTATAGTAATCCAGGGATAAAGCTCGATTTTGCAGAATTTAGTGTATTCTGTGCATTTAGATAGTAGAAATTGGCAGAGTATAGAGATATAAGTGTTACATCTCATTGTGATTATGATTTGTTTTGGAAACAGTTAGGTATTATATTAATAGAAAGTGTTTGAATTTAATTTTACCTAGGTTATGAGACAATATGTAGAAAATGGTCATAAACATTTGATAATACATGTAGATAACAGTTGGTATTTTGTTAATTTACATCAGTGGTGGACAATTAAGTTTTGGTTAAATAGATGTTAATCGTTGCATCCTCTAGCTGCAACTGGGGGGAGGAATGTAAGGATCAAGATATAAGAAGCCAAATTTAGTTTTTGTTCTGAGGATACCGTAGATTGACTGGAATTGTTGTACAAACGTAGCTAGGCTTGTCACATGGAAACTACAGATATGATATGATGTGGGCACGGATTCAAGGAAGGAAAACTTTGTTTTACCTACTAAACTACTACTATTATTGCTACTTTGTACATTCCGGTGTATGGAATTGATGGGAGTTCAGTTGAGTGTTAATAAACAAAGAACCATGAAATTACCACATTGTCTCAAGGATCATATGTAGATATCTCTACAACCATAGTTAATCAATGGAGCAAAATCTCAAACTTCTGTGTAGAAGTTTAGTGTGCCAAAGTTAGCTCTACCAGATAAAGCAAACCAAATCAAAATCGTTTGAGAAATGAAGGAGAAGAAGCATTTGTTGTGATTTCGAATAATTTTGCATAAATTAGCATAGATAATGAATTTCACGATTCTGTGTAGAAGTTTTAAATCCCCCTCCTAGCCCTATCATATGAAACAATCAGAATCAAAATTGGTTGAAAAATAACGAAGAAGAAGCATTTTGAAAACTGTAGACGGACGGACGGACGGACGGAAGACGGAAGCCACGCCATGACATAAGCTCATCGGGCCCTTCGGGCTGGATGAGCTAGAAACGTGCAATAGTCTCAGTAAATGAATCCCACGTGACCGCGCATAACCAATCATTTGAGTAGGATCTGGGAGTGAGTTGTATAATATGAGACTATGAGACAACGTCTCTATGGGCTTCCAAAGAGCTTTGGAAATTAGTAACCTAGCTTTATAGCTCCAGCAGCCGTTATCAGCACACAGTGCATTTCAAGGAATAATTCTACCAGGTACCCATTTACCTCACCTGTGGCAAATGTAGATTAATGTCTTGCCAAAGGACGTAAGTGCCGCGGCAGGTATTTGAAGGTATTTGAATCATAACCATCTTTTCCAGTGTGCATTTTCTGTACGATATTCGTCCACACTAAAAAAAAATTGATGGAACTTCGACTTCATGCAGTCGAAAATGATGCCTCCGCCATAGAGTGATTTCATAAACCAAAACAGAAGCAATTATTCAAATTCAAGTTTAATTGTAATCAATTGACAGGTTCTCAGAATATAATGATAATATTATTTAATTATAATGTTGATTACTAGCTATTATTCATATACATGTATGACCCTCCGAACTTTGATCTCATGACCCTAAAGTCTAATCAGTTCATCGGCTCTGCAAGATACATGTCCCGAGTTTAATAGTAATCCATCCATCAGTATTGATATTGCGATTACAAGCTATTCTAGCATGCATAATGAGCCCTGTGACATTTGAACTTTGACCTCGTGACCCCAAAATCGAATCAATTCATCGGCTCTGCAAGATACATACGTGATCCAAGTTTGGTGGTAATACATCAATTGGTTTTTGAGACAACGTGATCACAAGCTATTTTTGCATACATAATGAGCCCTGTGACGTTGGACCTAGTGACCCCAAAATTCATTAGCTCTGCAAGTTACATACATGACCCAAGTTTGGTGCTAATCCTCTGGCTACTTTGTAGCGGAGGCATAAAAAGTGAACAATGCTCAAAAACTATTTCTCACTTTTCAAAGGACTCAACCTCCTCTTTAACTTGATACATGAATTCGGAATGGTCCTTACCATTTGGGATGCACACAAAATCGTTTCCTCCTCCCCACTGTCTGTTGCTCATACACAGTAGCCTGCTGCTCCCGGAATGATAAATGTAGCCATCACCACAAGAGAAATTGGCGTATCCATTGAATCGCCGTTCAGGGGGGTCGTAGGTCACCAAAAGACCTGCTTGATCAGCCACTTCTGGGCAGAAATGGTCCTCGTCTGGAATAGAGTCAAAAAATTCATTCTATAAACAAATTATTACTGGTTGAAAGATCAGTGGAGATGTATTACAGAGTATTTTCTGTGCTTCAGAGCTACAGAATATAGCTTGGGTCATGCATTATGTCACGGGAGGGTGGAGCATGGCCATTTTTGAAATGCAAGAGAACATGGCTAAGAATTCTTGTACCCCTCTCTTTCCCCTCCCCATTCAGAAGCCAATTCGAGGGGGGGGGGAGGGGGGGGGTCAAGTGCTTCCCAGTCCCCGTTCTTAGGATCATGTCTTCTTAGGCAATCTGTATTTTCTTAAAATCCACTTAAAACTAGATGGAATTTAATCGACTGCGCACATTCAAAAATGATGCCTCTGCCATAAAGCAATTTTGCAAACCAAAAACGGAAGCAATTTATGATATTCAAGTTTATGATATTCGATTGTAATTCATTAACTGGTTCTCAGAATATCGTGATTAAAGCCATTTTTCATTTACATGGCTCTGCAAGATAAATACATGTTCTGAGTTTGATAGTAATCCATCTGTTGGTTCTAATGATAATGCGCTCACAAGCTATTTATAGGGGATGACCTTTATCCTTTGACCTCATGCCCCTCAAATCTAATCAGTTCATTGGCTCTGCTAGATACATAAACATGTCTTCAGTTTGATGGTAATCTATCCATCGGTTCTCAAGATAATGCGATCACAAGCTATTGTTGAATACATGTCTTGAGTTTAGCGGGAATCCATCAATCGGTTATTGAGATAACGTGATCACGACCTTTTTTTGCATTAAGCCCTTTGACCTTGTGACCCCAAAAATAGTCACTGGCTTTGCAAGAATCATAAACATGTCTTCAGTTTGATGGTAATCTGTCCATCGGTTCTCAAGATAATGCGATCACAAGCTATTGTTGAATACATAAGCCCCACAACTTTTGACCTTAGACCTCATGACCCCAAAAATCTATTCATTTCATTGGCTCTGCAAGATACATACATGACCCAAGTTTGGCGGGAATCCATCAATTGGTTCTTGAGATAACGCGATCACAACCTTTGTTTGCATTAAGCCCTTTGACCTTGTGACCCCAAAAATCTAATCAGTTCACTGGCTTTGCAAGATCCATACATGACCCAAGTTTGGCGGTAATCCATTGATCAGTTCTTGAGATAACGGGATCACTGGAACCGGACGGACGGGCAACCAGAAAACATAATGCATCTGGCTACTTTGTATATAGCGGAGTCATAAAAATACAACTCGGGTATTTGGATTGATCCAGGTCTGTGAACCATTGTATCACAGCGGAGAATGCCTACTATTTTGACACAAATAAAGTAAAGACACAGGTTTAAAAGAATTGGAGTATAATTCTCCTGTGCCACACCAATTTTGACGACGTCATTTTTCAAATGACATTTTATGATACTCTTTTTTTTGCTATGAAGGAAGTCCTGATATTATGCCAAATTGAAGTTTATTGTTAATTACAGGCTAAAAGCAGATTGCTCTCTTTTTAGTGACATGTATTTCGAATAGTTTTGCCGGAAAGGTTTGTTTATATATTGATGAGAAGCGGTCAGTATAAACTTACAAATTGAAATACAACTCCATCCACACCTCCCATCGCAGTGACATTGCTTGTTTTCGGGACAAGCCCCCTTCAGACGATTCCTGCATTGGGTCTGACAATCCCGTCCGTAGATCTGGACCAAGGCTTCATTACGTTGACAATATCTCGCTGATTTAAGAAAAAGACAATGTACAAATAAATACAAATTATATTTTATGTTTCAACCTTAATTGTGTCCAATCATATGCTTTTATATGGGCTACCTTGCCCACAGGCATCTAGGCTTTTTAGGTGTGCCTCGCAAACCATTTCTAATGGAGATCACAATTTGATTTACCCCCAAATATTTATTTTACCTATATTATATGAATTACTTTATTTTCTATGCAATCGTGTACTTTTTATACCACCAGATCTATATATATTCATAACATGATTTTTTTATCACGGTTTGTAAAATAAGAACAAAATAAAAGGAAATGTATATGCATATTTATATATATATATATATATATATATATATATTTACCGTGATCTAATATGCACACACCTGGTTTGAGCCCTTTCGAAAAATTCCTCATTCTCACTCATACTTACCAGCATGTCTGTACCTGAGCCTCGCCACTATAATAATAATATTCAGTTTTTAATTAGCGCTTAATACATCTCGGATGTTTCTAAGCGCTTTACAGATATATTATTATTATTCCGGTCATTGGATTCAGTGCTTGCCTGCACACGCTGTGTCAACAATCTCCACTTTCTCCCTGGGGAGCATTCCAGCCAGGCGTGACTTAATCGACACTCAAAAACTGTTTGACCAACAATAGCGGTGGCACACTACCGGGTACCCATTTAACATCTAAGTGGAGAGTAGCAGGTGTAGGTTAATATCTTGCCAAAGGATATTAGTGCCGTGTCGGGATTCGAACCCTCAACCTTCTCATCTCCAGTCAAGTGCCTTAAACCATTCGACCACGACACTCCTATACGCTAGTTCGATTGACGGACATCTCCAGCAATAATGACTCTACAACCTAATTGAGCCACGCCCTTGTCCAGGGTAACTTGATCCACCCAAGACTACTTACAAAGTCGTCCACAACGGTGACCACACCCATGCATTTTCAGACTTTCATGATCTACGTACGAACACGTCTGCAACAGGGACAACATATCAAAACATTTGGAGCTAAATGGACCCTAATAAAATTGAAGAAAATGCATCAGTCATGCTCTGCGCACACAAGAGATTACATATCCCGTATCTCTGTGTATCATTCCACAACTGCATGTGCATTGTATTAAGTGTGTTGACCGTGACAGAGACAGACTAAGCAGTTCTCGAAATGAAACATCTCATCAAAAACTTTCGCTCGGCAAAGATGTGATGGTCTTGTAGTGATAGCTACATGTAGTTTAACAGAGTCTGCATATACAGACTAGCATGTATAACTAAATATAGAATGACCTGCAACCCATGACTCATGCCAGGTCATGTTATGAAACAATGAGTACTTGTACATGAGATGCTACAAAGATGTCTGACTGACACAGAGCCTCAATAAAGCTATACAACTTATTAGTTCAATCAAAGCTCTCCAACTGGTCTTTTATAAGAACATAATATGGTGTCAGAACTTAGCAGCCAGTGTTTGTGCTGAGCGATCGACCCAGCCTACAGTATATATATATATATGGAATCATTGAAATCAGGCCAGTTCAATCCAATTCTTTGTGATGTGAGAGATGATGAGAGCTAGAGGGCTTAGAGTCTAAGTGTATGTCCAGTGAATGTAGTTATGTCCATAATAGTTAGCGCTGTCGTTGTATGGATTGGAGTGCATAGTTCTGTGCCGGGCCAGTTCCAGTATAACGGGCAGTAAGCGTGACATATATGGGACATGAACATACAGAATAACTCAGTGAAAGTTAATAGTTGAGCTTAAATTGTTGCAAAGATACAAAAAGAAAAAGCTAATTGTTATGCTGTTCATGTGAGTGACTACACTAGGCTAAGAAACAAAAAGAAACAAAATGGCAAATCTCAGTCAACCTCCTCCACTCGACTTAAAGGGAAATATTTCCGAGAACTGGAGAAGATTTAAACAGAAATTCACTCTATACAATGTTGCCTCAGGAATGTCTGAAAAAGATGAAAAGTTACAAACATCAATGCTTCTACACGTGATTGGCGATGCTGCCTTGGAATTGTATAATACGTTTGTATTTGCTGAGGGTGAGAGCATGAAGCTTGAGAAAGTGTTGAACAAATATGAGGAATATTGCACGCCAAAACGTAATCTAACGTATGAGAGATATAGATTTTTCACAAGATCTCAGTTAGTGCATGAGAGTGTTGATCAGTACGCAACAGAATTGCGGAGTCGTGCTCAGTCATGTGAGTTTTCCATGTTGAAAGAGAGTCTTATCCAGGACAGAATTATCTGTGGTATGTTAGACGATAGTCTAAGAGAACCTTTGTTGAGGCAAGATGATCTTACATTGGACAAAACGTTGCAAGTATGTCGTGCGGCTGAACAAACTCGAACGCAGGCACAAGCGTTGAGTTCCGCAAGGAAAAACGCCTCAATTCCGGTAGATTCTTTCAGCAAGACTAAGAAGAAATTTCCTGGTTCAAAGTCAAAACGGTCAGAACCTCAAGGTCGTACTAAAAGTGATGCATGTAGCAGGTGCAGAAACCGACATAGCAAAGACAAATGTCCTGCACAAGGTCAAACATGCAAGAAGTGCGGTAAGCAGAATCATTTTGCTAAATGTTGTAAAACCCCAGTAGCCAAGGTCAATGAACTGCAGCACTTGGAGGTAGATTCAGAAGGTTTCATGATTTGCTCTGTTGAATCAAAAGAATCCAAGGATGAATGGATAGTTAATCTACTAGTCAATAACCAGCCGGTTGACTTCAAGGTTGATACTGGTGCTCAGGCGAATCTTCTTCCTGAGACAGTATTTCACAAATTGAAACCGAAACCAAAGCTACAAAAAGCCAAAGTGATGTTGACAGGTTATTATGAGACAGATATCCCGGTCAAAGGTCGTTGTTGTGTACAAGTTGAGTACAAAGGGATCAAACGCAATGTGCCGTGTCTAGTCATTCCTGGAAATCGTCAGCCTTTGTTAGGATTATTCTAAGCGCTTTGTATCTACTAAGCGCTTTGTATCTACTTAAGCGCTTTGTATCTACTTGTAGAAAAGGCGCTATACAAATGTTCATTATTATTATATTATTATTATATTACGGACGAGTGAAGACTTGTATCTGGTGAAAAGGGTGTATCATGTTGAGAAACAAACTGAACACGTAACGGGTAAAAGTGTAGTTCAAGACTATCAAGATGTGTTTGTAGGTCTAGGTTGTCTTCCTGGTAAACACCACATCACATTGAGAGAGGACGCACATCCTGTTCAGCATGCATGTCGCAAAGTTCCATTTCCACTTCAAGATAAACTCAAAGACGAGTTAGATAAGATGGAACGAATGGACGTAATCACACGAGTAGATGAGCCAACTGATTGGGTTTCTTCTCTCGTGGTGGTGATGAAAAAGAACGGTCAGCTCAGGGTCTGTCTAGATCCAAGAGACCTGAACCGAGCAATCAAAAGAGAACACTATCAATTGCCATCAAGAGCTGAAATAACTGCACATTTTGCAGGAGCCAAATACTTCAGCAAGTTAGATGCGTCTAGTGGTTTTTGACAGATCCAACTAGATGACGAAAGCTCCAAGCTTTGTACGTTTATCACGCCATACGGAAGGTACAAGTTCTTGAGACTACCTTTTGGTATTTGTAGTGCTCCGGAAGTCTATCACAAGATAGTGCACCAACTGTTTGCACACATTCCGGGAGTTAACACAATGATGGATGATGTGATTGTATGGGGAACTACCCAACAGGAGCATGATGACAGGTTGAGAGAGGTTCTCAGCATTGTGAGAAAAATGAATCTCAAGTTGAACAAAGACAAATGCGAGTTCAATGTCAAGAAGCTCACATTCATTGGTGACTTGATCAGTGATCAAGGAGTTCAACCTGATCCAAAGAAAGTGTCTGCTATCTTGAACATTGAGAGACCAAAATGTCGGAAAGATGTCCAACGGTTCTTGGGTATGATCAATTACCAAGGGAAGTTCATTCCAGATCTGTCGACCAAGTCAGCAGCGCTGAGACATCTACTAGACAAAAAGAATGTATGGACATGGGATCATGCACAAGAGGATGCATGGAATCAGCTGAAACAAGCTCTGATACAAGAGCCATGCAGTCCTACATTTCTATGACAGCAAGAAACCAACCAAGCTGTCAGCAGACGCATCAAAGGATGGTATTGGTGCAGTGCTACTACAGCAATATGATCAAGATTGGGTTCCGATCGCATATGCATCTAGATCAATGACTGATGCAGAGACTAAATATGCACAGATCGAGAAAGAATTGCTGGCAATCACATACGCATGTGAAAGATTCCATCAATACATCTATGGACAACAAGTAGAAGTGGAGACTGATCACAAGCCACTTATTCCACTGTTTGTAAAGTCACTGGGTGACTGTCCCCTACGCATTCAAAGGTTACTCATCAGGGTACAGAGATATGATCTCAAGGTCTTGTACACGCCTGGAAAGTACATGTATACTGCTGATACATTGTCCAGAGCAGTGGATCCAAAGGCTGAGTTGAATGCTGAAACTGAGGAAGATATCAGAGTCTACGTCGATGCTATTGTCAAGAGCATGCCAGTTACATCGAACAAACGAAATCAGATTGTCGAAGAGACAAAGAAAGATGATCAACTGCAAGAGCTGCTAGGCATCATCAGAGATGGTTGGCCGGAAACGAAGCAGCAATGTCCAGTTAGAGTCAGGGAATACTGGAACATCAGGAGTGAACTCTCTGAAGCAGATGGCATCATCTTCAAAGGCAGCAAAATAGTGGTTCCCACTACTATGAGAAGGTTCATGCTAAACAAAATCCATGAAGGACACTTAGGCATCGAGAAGTGTAAGAAACGTGCTAGAGAAGTCATCTATTGGCCCAGAATCAACACAGACATCACTGAAATGGTCCAAAGTTGTACTTCATGCCTAATGTACAGACCAAAACAGCACAGTTTACTCGACAACCAACAGGTCAATACTCGATCAGTGAGGGGAAGAAAGGAGGATCATAAGGTGAAGCAAAAAGAGCGATTCGACAAACATGCTCGAGACTTGTCAAAGCTAAAGCCTGGAGATCATGTCATACTCCAAGACATGAAAACCAACACCTGGTCGAAACGTGGTATTGTCAGGTCTGTCCAGGATCGAAACAGATCATACCAGATCGAGACAGAAACAGGAGAGATACGTCGCAAAAACAGACGTCACCTCAGGCCAGTCCCACGTCAACAGCAAGCCGAGTCTATTCCACTACCAACACAGGATGACTTCGAGCTAGATGACACTGCAGAAGCTACAGAGCAACCAGCATCTGAAGAAAGCTCAACTACGTCATCAACCAGAACCAGAAGCGGACGAGTTATTAAACCGCCAGATCGCTTGAACTTGTAAATAAATGAAAGCGAACTACAGAGAAAGACTTTCGCGTTTTGTAAATAGTTTATAGTTACAGAGTTCAACTTGGACTTTAAAACATAACTGCAGGATTGCATGAGCATGACATATATATTTGCATGTTATAGTTTAAAAATATAACCGATTTAATCAGTCACTTTGATTACAAAAATCAACAGATATCACTCAACCTCAACGTAGAATTCCAGTATAGCGAATCGCAACCTTGAAAGATATGGACTGTCGCGTAATAAGTTATATATTTGAAAGTGACAGTACTCCAGCTTTAAGGGACAGAATAATGCCCTAGTACAGTCGCGAGTGTACAGGTAGTCCACCCTGTCACTCTGTATACAGTTTAAGAAGTTTTATATATGTATATGTAAACCTCTTTTAAAGAAGGGAGGTGTAGTGATAGCTACATGTAGTTTAACAGAGTCTGCATATACAGACTAGCATGTATAACTAAATATAGAATGACCTGCAACCCATGACTCATGCCAGGTCATGTTATGAAACAATGAGTACTTGTACATGAGATGCTACAAAGATGTCTGACTGACACAGAGCCTCAATAAAGCTATACAACTTATTAGTTCAATCAAAGCTCTCCAACTGGTCTTTTATAAGAACACTAGCAGGACCCGCGGAAATCCGCGGGATTTTAGAGGGTGGCGGGGGTGTAAATAGATATATAGAGAGTGTTTAAATTAAAACCACCAAGAACTTTATTTGCCATTCAGGCCATTTAAAAAATATACATGTTTAGCGTCCCCGCCCGCTTCCTTTTTGGGGGCCGCCTCCTATTTATTTATTTTTTGAAATTTTTTTGATTTTTTTTTTTTTGAAAGAAAATAAAACAGCGTCCTGTCCGCTTCCTTTTTGGGGGCCGCCTTCTATATTTATTTTTTTTTGAATTTTTTTTGAATTTTTTTTTTTTTCTTCATTTTTTGATAGAAAAAAAACAGCGTCCCCACCCGCTTCCTTTCTGGGGGCCGCCTCTCCTATTTTTATTTTTTTTTTGAATTTTTTTTTTGATTTTTAAAAAAAAAAATTGTCAGCTGCCATCTTGAAAAATAGCCTGAATGTCAGGGAAAATGTACGGAGCAGCCATTTTGAAAGAAAAAAAAAAAAAAAAAAAAAAAGGGCCTCCTCCTTCCCATTTTTCAGAAAAAACAGGACGCTAAACATGTTTTTTTTTTAATTTGGCCTTATATAAAAAAAATTAAAAAAACCGATCCAACTGTACCGGTAGTTATTCTTTAAGCCACTGGAACTGCGTAGAGTTCCGTAGTGTGGCGTACCGACTACGCAGAAATTAGGCTGCGTATTAATGGGAAAATAGTCCCTGCGTAGGTTATGCGTAGGCTGGAGTACAGGTTTGCTTATATGGTTGCTTACTGTGTGGAAAGCTTTTACTGCTTTGACGATCTGGCGTAGGGTAGCATAGTGTTGCTTAAAAAGGCGTACTTTCTGCGTCAAGTTTCTACGCTGAAAGTACGCGAAAAAAATTAAACATGTTGACTTGTTTTCGTTCATTTTGCGTACCCCTTTCTGTCCCTCAGCATATAGTAACGTAGGCCAGCGTAGTTGGTAGCAACACTACGCAACTCTACGTATTGACCCCACGCCAATTAGTGACCCGCAAGTGTCACAAATAAAGTATTAAAAATATGCTCATCTGACCCTAATTAAACGCCTAAAACCTATGGCCCCTTGAAACCCGTGGACCCCACGCCTATATTGTATATACACTCAACTCGCTGCGATCTGATCTCTCTCTCCCCCCCCCCAACTTTGAAGAACGTAACCCCCGAGCTTTTGGGGGTTTATGGCCCCTTGAAACAAATATACACTCAACTCAGGGTTTCAGGTTTCCTTCTTCATAATTGTCTATTTAAAAAAACAACATTTTTCTAGTTCAATAACTAAGTTTTCATGCATTGATTTGATGCAAGAACTGTAACATAATAGACCCTAGATTGTGATTATTTCTGACCATAAATTTCGATAATTATTTTTCAAAGTAAAATTTTCACAAGAAAATCAGACAGTCGTTTAAAAACGTAGACATTAGTAATACTTTTACTAATTCTAAGCTCAGGTTTCGTAAATCTATTCACGAAACTATATTGAAATCGCGGCAATAATGATGCAAACCAACAGATAACAATTTCAAAGTGTCAAATCTCTTCGACTCGAGCTCAGCTCAGCTGTACTCACACACATAACACTCCAGCGTAACTCCATGAAGCTCGAACACCGGCGCCGCAGGCCTCGGACGCCTGCGGTGCCCGGTGCCGGTGTTGGAGATTCCTGGAGTTACTGCACTGTGATGTGTGGTGACTGAAGTTAGCTTACGACTGAATTGTCAGTCCAATGGTTTTCTTGTCAAAACTTTCCTTTAGAAAATGATAATCAAAATTGAGTATACATGGCCGTAATAATCACAAAATAAGCTTTGATTTCATAACTCCATTCACGAAAACTATATAAAAATCGCGGCAATCATGATGGAAATAGGTCTCTAAGTTTGGACGTCGACGGGAAGCCCCGTGTATCTCTTGTGCAGCTACTACATGCAAAGCACATCCTAGCTACAACAAAGCACATCCTATAGAAAGATGCTTTACTCTCGGTAATCCCGCCCTTTGCATAGAGCATTTAATACGCAACTTAATGTGAGTGGATAGTCATCGGTCGTGTGTCTACGGATGTAATGTTGAATATCCATGAGGTATCTCTGTCGTCACGCATATCCTGCATTATGCATATCGCGTCTGTTTTCGCCCTGGACGTCGACACGGAGGGGGACCTCGGGCGGAGTATAGCCAATTCCACAGAGTAGACTCTCCCGCGGACGATGGCACCGGACACGGTACCCGGAGGGCAGGGTTCAGGAGGAGATAGCCGCACCAACTTCGGTCGGCGATCTCATTAAAAAACAATAGAAAACAAAGGCTCGCCGAGACGTCGCGCCCCCCGCGGAGCCTTAGCGTATTACTTATATAGATAATAGGTCTTACATCTCAGATACGTGGGGGATAACATTGGTCAATCTAAACGAGTCTTATATGGTTGGAAAGATAAAATTACATAGAAAAATGACTTTCTCAAACTAAGAATTAGAAGAATGTGGTACTATGCCAAATTATGACAAGGTATTATGATAATAAAGCTCTGTCGCCCGATCCATTGATTTTACACAGAAAAAGAGCTGAAAATAACAGTAACTTGACTACCGGTACTTTAACCCTACGAACGCGGTCGTAAATCATAATGAAATTGTAATTTGATTGCTTTAACCGATAGAACATATACTAATCAAAATATGTGGTGCTGATTAAGGTTGGACGCCTAAAAATACGTGTTGTTCACGTCGTTCTCCATAAAAAAAAAATTTGTAATAAAACATGCACTGTTCAGTGACCCATACGTTTTGATATGCGCCCCTGCCCAGACTTTCACGATCTACTTACGAACATGTCTGCATTGGGGCAACGGTCCTGTCCATGATCCATCGGTGCATGTTGTTCTCTCAAAAGCCGTGGGCACGATCTGATAAAAGACACCACACTCAATACTCGCAACAGTCCCGTCAGGATGGGGTGCTAAACCCTCCGGCTCATAGGTGATTTCCGCAAAATCAATCTGATTGATGTTATCGCAGCTCGATGATACCTCTGAAGTTATTAACAAGAAATCACACACATAGTAATGTTTGTTAATGAGATAAGATTAAGCAGATGATAATTAATAGTGCATATCATCAATATGTCCCTATATAAGCGCTGCAAATAAGTGAACACAAGAAAAGAGTGAGATTTCGTTTACTTTGTTAGGTCAATTAACAGCACTACCATCATGATCAGCAGCAGCAGCAGCACCAGCACCAACACCACCACCACCACCATCATCACACCATCGATCACCATCATCACGTGTAATCTATGTGTAATCTACATACATGTACATTGATTAGTCACACCCTCTTCACATTACGTAACATCTTTCTATTCTTAAATTACACCTTTCGGTAAACAAATATCAGGTTCTTTAATTCATACGCCTTATAATTATACTGGTTCATTTTTACCAGGATATGAACAAAATATAGAAGCAATTTTATGAAATATAACACTTTAAACACAAATAAAAAATAAGCCTTGCTATCCTATAAGCGAGGTGAAAGCGGGACGAAGGTCACTCACGGTTCATAACCCTTATAAAAAAGAACCATGGTAACCATAGTATCAAACAATGACAATTTCATCTAATTTCATTGTTTGATACCACGGTTACCATGGTGAATGGTAATTTGGAGGAAAAAAAAACCCATGGCTACCATGGATTTTTTTTATAAGGGATATTAAAGCCTGCCACCAACGACCTTCTAACACTAACACAACTACCGACACCACCAACACCACCATCACCATGCACCACAACCACTACAAACTTAACCATCACTACCACCACTATACCAACATCACCGATACCACCACTACTACTAACACTCTAATTATAGGCCTATATTCTTTTTTGTCATGTCAACGGTGAAGGCCGGTTAATTCACTTCGGAAGAATTTTCTTAACTATATTTTATATATCTTTATTCCAATAAGTATTCAAAAATCAAACAAACATGAATTTATAAGACAAGAGCATTTGATTTTGGTTTTTAGAGGAATGTTCTTTTTTGTGTGTGTTAGAGACCACAATGAACATGTGCCTTTTTTTTAAAAAGGTTCACCACAATATTTCTTGACATATTTTCAATGTGAGGGAATTCGAACAACCATCCTTTCCAGTTGGCAGTTTCTGTACGATATTCTTCCACACTAATATAAAAAGAATGAATAACGCTCACAAACTATTAGTCACTTTTCACAGAACTCAACCTTCTCTTTAACTTGATACATGAAATCAGATTGGTTCTTACCATTTGGGATGCACACAAAATCGTTTCCTCCACTCCACTGTCTGTTGCTCATACACAGTAGCCTGCTGCTCCCAGAATGATAAACGTAGCCATCACCACAAGATAAATCAGCGTATCCATTGAATCGCCGTTCAGGGGGGTCGTAGGTCACCAAAAGACCTGCTTGGTCAGTCACTTCCGGGCAAAAATTCTCCTCGTCTGGAATAGATATGTCAAAAGGTTCATTTTATAAACAAATTATTACAGGCTGAAAGATCAAGATGTATAACCGAGTATTTCCTGTACTTCAGACCAATGCCACAGGAGAGTTGGGCATGGTCGTTCTTGAAATGCAAGAAAATTGGAGTAATTCTTCTATGCCACTTTATGACAACGTCATTTTTCAAATTTTATAGTAAAATACACTTTTTCTTTACTATGAAGGAAGTCCTGATAGTAGGCCCTTTGCCCAAAATGTCATTTATTGTAAATTACAGGCTATGTACGGGAGCCTTTATTTACATACAAGACTATATGCTTTTTATTTAGGCTCCCCACATTTTGTGAGCCTGTCATATCTATATCTATATTCTTGGGGATCCACAAACTACAAGCATGCACTGCTTTTTAGTGGATCCCCCCCCCCCCATTTCCTCAGAAATTAAGAATTTCTTGTAATAATTTTATTATGTGCAAAGTTTATTTGTATAGTTTCCTGAAAAAATGAATTATGTATGAAAAAAAAGAGTAATATCATTGTTTACCTTTCTGTTGGAAATGAAATGAATATGAATATATTTCGAAACTTTGTACCTATTTTCTGTACATTATATTTGATTTGAAATCTTTAATTTTTTTTTGGTGTAATCTACCCACATACACTTATATACAAAAAATATGTGGAACCAATAAACTTCAATAAACTTCAATAAACTTCAAATTTCAATGCTCTAATTTCAGTAAGATGTATTCCAAATAGTTTTTGGACAGTTTGTTTAGATATTGACGAGAAGTAGTAAGTACTTACAAATTGAAATACAACTCCATCCACACACCCCATCGCAGTGACATTGCTTGTTTCTGGGACAAGCCCCATTGAGACGATTCCTGCATGGGGTCTGACAATCCTGTCCGTAGATCTGGACCAAGGCTTCATTACGTTGACAATATCTCGCTGAATTAAGAAAAATTAGACAATGTACAAATAAATACAAATTAGCCTGTTAAATTTGATGCTCCAACCTTAATCGTGTTCTTCTTTTTTATTCACCATCATCTGTTTTTACATGGGCTACCATGCCCACAGGCCTTTTTTGTTGTACTTCGCAAACCATTTCTTTTGTTGAACACAATTTCATTTACCCCCAAATATTTTTTTTAACCAATATTTTATGAATTACTTTATTGTTCTATGCAATATCGTATTTTCTATACCACCAGATTTATATATCATATGTTATATTCATAATATATTTCAATCATGGGTTGTGAAATAAAAACGAAATGGATTTGAAATGAATATATATATACCGTGATCTAAGATGCACACACCTGGTTTGAGCCTTTTAAAAAATTCCTCATTTTTAATACTCATACTTACCGACATGTCTGTACCTGAGCCTCGCCAGTATACGGTACCGGTAGTTTGAATATGGCAGACATCTCCTGCAATAATGACTCTTCAACATAATTGAGCCAAGCCCCTGTCCAGGGTAGCCCATGACTACTTACGAGCAAGTCCGCAACCGGGACCACCCCCATCTCGAGACTTTTGTCATCTACCTATGTCCGAAAATGTCATCTTTACCACGCCCATGTGGAGACTTTCAACATCTTATTAGTCCAGAATCTAACTGGTTCTTTATTCCCTACACACTTTTCGCCGTGCGTCCTAATTAGTGTCCCTTTAGGCTTTACAGGGACAATGATCACGCCATCTTCGTCCGGTAGCAAGTAGCTAGGGCCATAAAGCCTTGGTGTTGTGGAGATAAAAATTAAATAGGCCAGATTCTGGACTACATCTACATTAGACCAAAGTTTCTGTGTCTTTCATGTACAGAGCATGATCATACATAAGTAACTTTTTTATAGAATTTCTTTAGTTAATAACAATTGTATGTAGAACATATTACACTTCAAATTATGTTTGTTATATATTGATAATCTGCTGTTCCAGTTACTTTATTTGAAATTCTATGTATAAATGTTTGTTAAAGAAGAAATAAAATGAACTATGAACTATGAACTATCTTTTGTGGTAGGGGCAGGTATGCAAATACACATGACACCACACACTATTGTATAGACTGCACACAATACAACTGATGTTGCTGATCAGCAAATTTGACACTAGACTTACAGATTGGATTTTTAAATTATTCTTTTTAATCAGTAAGTTGAAAAGATCGTATTTTACTGCTATTTAGGTTTCATCAATTGTCACGTACCGATTTTGAGTGAAATCAATTGAGTTGTGTACAGTGGTGGTTTGAAATGTTGAGAATCAATACAACAACTTTTACACAGCCAGGATAGTAATGCAGCTATGTGTGGGTATAGGGTTAGACCGAAAGCTTCAGTGTCTATATCGTCGGTTGTTCCACTGAGACTACGTCTGGCTCCACAAGACCTCTATATGCGGAGTTCTAGTGGAGCCAGACGTAGTCTCAGTGGAACAACCGACGATATAGAGACTGAAGCTTTCGGTCTAGGGTAGGGTACGTCAGCTCCTCTCTATAGAGATCTTTAGAGAGGAGCTGACCCTACGAACGAAAGAGACAGAAACTTCGGTCTATGCCTACATCTACATATGAACATATGTCTGACGTGGTCCACGTCCATGTCAGACCTTCATGATCTACCTACAAACAAGTCCGCAACTGGGACAACGCCCCTGCCCAGAATTTCATGATCTACTTACGAACATGTCTGCATCGGGGCAACGGTCCTGTCCACGATCCATCGGTGCATGTTGTTCTCTCAAAAGCCGTGGGCACGATCTGATAAAAGACACCACACTCAATACTCGCAACAGTCCCGTCAGGGTGGGGTGCTAAACCCTCCGGTTCATAGGTGATTTCCGCAAAATCAATCTGATTGATGTTATCGCAGCTCGATGATACCTCTGAAATCACACACATAGTAACGTTTAGACAGGATTACACAGATGATAATTAAAAGCGTATATCATCAATATGTCCTATATGCATGCGCTCATTGCGCTGCAAAGATGATAATATATTAAAGTGAACAATATAGTACCAGAAATTTAAGAGAGAGATTATTGAGATGTACTTCGTCAGGTCCCCAGGTCAACAGCACAACCCTCAGCAGCAGCAGCACCACTATTATCCATCACCACCACACCACAACACCCTCGTACAAACTAGGGGTTCGGCCGTTCGGGGGACCCCCCCCCCCCCCCCGGCCCCCCCGGCCCCCCCCCCTTGTTGCTCAAGAGAGGATGGATAGAGGTGTTGATTTTGTTTAAGTGGTGCTCCATATGCCCCCAGCACCCTGCACCTCCCCCTCCCCCCCCCCCCCGTTGAGAAAAAAAATAAGTGATCATTACCACCCCCCCTCTAAATATTTTCTCACAAAAAAAAGTTGCTCATGAGCCTTCTCGATCGGGCTGAGTCGCTTCGCTCCCTCACAATGTCTTACCCTCACCTCTGGCTCAAAGTTGGCAACCCTAAGAACCTCTTTTAAAAACAGCTTGAACGGGATTGCACAACCACCACCACCATCACCAGGCGCGGATCCAGGATTTCTTGGGGAGGGGGCCCCAATCTTTTTTTTTTTTTTTTGCTCCCGAAAATTTGAAAATCGCGCCGGCCGAAAAGTCGCTCAGTGGGGGGGGGGGGGGGGGGGGTGGGGGGGGGGGAGGGGGGAGGGGGGGTGGGGGGGGAGGGGGGAGGGGGGGGGGGGGAGGGGGGTGGGGGAAGTGAGCACTTTTTTTGGGGGGGGGGCCCAACCCCCCAAAAGGTAAAAATCATGTGTTTTTACATGATTTTTTTCTCAAGGGGGGGGGGCCGGGCCCCCGGGCCCCCCTTGATCCGCCACTGACCATCACCACCACCATTCCCACTACGTACACTATCATCACCACCACCATCACTACCACAACAATCACCACCACTACAACTACCACCAACTTTAACACAACTGCCACTATCAACATCACCATCACCACCACCATCAATATCACCACCACTTCCATCACCACCAGTCCACCACCCTACCATAACTTCCAACACCACCATCATCACCACCACATAACCACTACCAATTTCTTCACCATCGCAACCACCACTATATATATACCAACACCACCGCTACCACCACCACTACTACTATCACCCTAATTATAGGCCTATGTTCTTTTGTTGTCATGTCAACGGTGACAGAAAAAAAAAATATTCCAAAAACAAATAAAAACGAATTAATAAGACAAAAGACAATAAATTGATGATCTAAGTTATTTTTTGAATATTTCACCCTGTAATGCAAAGTTTAAAATGTGCATGAATCTGGCATGAATACAGATGAAGACATTGTATGATATAAACATAAAATGCACGATGGAGGAATAGACCTACGTATCTGCAAATTGCATTCTTCAAAGCTGTTTGAAACAGTGTTCTCATGTCAAAATCATGAATTAATGTGCGATTGGTCATGTTGTATGGTATAAGTCTTGAAAAGATCGTGATAATCCACTTACCGCCACTGTGTAACAGGCAAAGTAACAGTCCTATGAACAGAACTAAATAATGATAACTCTTTTCCTCCATTGCTTGTCGATATACTAGCTCTTGATCGACCCAACACTAATATTCCATGTTCCATTTCTAAAGAAATGAACCGTATTTCTAAATGTACAGAATGGGCGTGGCCACGCTCCAAATGGTGCTCGAATATGGAGAGTGGTGATTGGATAAAGATCATAGGAGAATGTGTCAATCAAAATAAGTACAGAATGGGCGTGGCCACGCTCCGAACGATGCTCAAAGAGGGAGAGCGCTGATTGGATAAAGATCATAGGAGAATGTGTCAATCAAAATATGGGGGAGCCATATATCGTAGATGTCGTGTTTCATATCCGTCTATACACTATACATTGTTTTAATTCCATGCATTGGTTTGAAGTCAGGTCGAGGAAAAGGAGGAAAGGGACTCGCGTAATCATTTTTATTTCTCTTCATTATCAAGTTGTTTTTATTTGTTCTATTTTCGTAATCATCATGTCATATTAATGAAAAATAAACTACGACAGTCCTCAATGGCCCGGGAGTCGTTATGTTATCACAAAGGTGGCTTTAACCATTTTGGTTTCAAGCTTACTGGACTCATGGAACCTGTCAAACATTAGAGGGAAATCATATTGATAAATCTATGGATATTTGTAAATAATACGGAGCATAATAATAACAATAATAATAATTAGCAATAAATATAGTTCTTATATAGCGCTTTGTACAATAATGTACAATAGGCCTACAAAAATACATTTTAGAAAGTATTTGGGATCTACTCGTAGTTGATGTGTGTGAAGAGGTTGGTTTTCTATCGAATTCGCTCACTGCAGTGAAGTAGCTAGGGGCAAATGCGACCTTATGGTAAAAAGGGGGATAACCCGAGAACAAGAAAAGAAAAGAAGATAGAGGGATGAGGACATTTCCTGCAACAAAACACACAAGATTAAACGATCCCTTTAATGCCATCACAAAATCCCTAAACTTGGGGTATAATTTTGTGCTGAAAATCCCTAAAAGTGCCCCAACTTCTCAGATCTCGGTCTTAAACATGGGTTACTATTTAGCTTCAGGATAATATCTCACCCATAATCTCGCTGAAGTGAAAATTCCAGATGCAAAAATATTTGAAATCGTTTCGCGTATTCATTCAAAGTCCTCGCCAATGGTCGCACAGATTTATCAATATCGTTAATTGAAGCTCCACTTCTGACTAATTTATAAACGGGTAAACCCCCCCCTCATCCCCCCTCCTCGAGCGGACGCAATTTTTAAAAATATTCGTAAGCAAATAAACGAAGGATCACAACTTATCCTATACAAACATGGGTTGCGTTTTGAATGGAAGTCCCTAAATAATGGGTACCATATTCTGTCAACAACAACAAAACAAAAAACAATTGTGTTCGATTGATCTCAGCTTCAAAAATTAGTAACTTTCTTATTTCTAATCGGAATTTGCTCAAATTTTCACTGACCTGTTCCTCTCATGGATTTACTATGTCCCTTTTGCAACCAACATCAAATTCTGTAGAACTTTCCAGGAATTATGAATAAGCCTATGTAATTATGTCTGTGAAAATTAAACGTTAGCAGTGTCCTTATATTTAAATTATGCAAGGAAACCCGCTTTTTTGCTAGACTTCAATGTCAGACACTATTGAGATAATGACTGGCTTTTTTCTTCTTTGGTAATAACATATGCCTACATAAAATGAGTTGTAAAGGGTACATGAATATGTGTCTACACATCAATAACCCCTTCTTGTAATGGCCAAACTTAAACTAGTTGAATCTTTGTGCAGCACGAACGTACGACCATTCGGTACAATGGTCCGAAAATCAGACTACTACTTATTAACTTGTTAGGGAAGTTCTAAATTATCTTTCAATTTATCTTTCAAATGCCGTTGGGATTTAACCTGTTCATTTGTTTGGCCGAAAATTTGGACATAATTATAGTACCTAGCAAGGACCTGCTTTAAAGTCCAAGTCCACTCCAAAAAATAACTTACTTTCAATAGAAGTAGAAAAATCAGACTAACCAATAAAAAAAAGTCTGAGCAAAATCGGATAACCAATTAGAAAGTTATGAATAATTAATGACATTAAAAACTTTGAAAATCACTAGACAAATTGGCAGCAACTCACTCATGAGTCTGTGAGATCATGTACTCACTATCCACTAATTATTTTCTTTATATGAATGATATAAATTTCCTATTTTCTCCTTAAGAATCTTATTTCTTCACACCAGCATCCAAGTTGGATTAATAGCAATATGTTTTTGTGTGGATGTACTAATATAGAAAAAAAAAATTCCAGTTAAATCATGAAAAATGTGAATTTTGATGAACTATTTATATAAAAATCAATAATTATGAATATACAATATTCAGAAAATAGTATAAATTCTTCAAAGTTCATGAAAGATTGTGTGAAATGTCATGCACACAATATGATACAAATCATATAACCTGGGCAAAGGCATGGGGAAATCAAGTTTTAGGTAATAAAAAGGGAAATTAAAAATGGGATTAAACCATACAGAGCAATTGATAAAGAGTGAGGACATGACGTCACAAACTGATAACTATCTTGGCAATATGTGTTGGGATTCTAATTGTTCCATAGTTTTACATACTTTTTCATAAATGTATAACAACTTCTTATTAGTTATCCGATTTTGCTCAAACTTTTTTTGATTGGTTTGTCAGAATTTTCTGCTTTTATTGAAAGTAAGTTATTTTTCGAGTGGACTTGTCAAGCGTCGATCGACCTACATCATCGGGTCAATGTGTGTGTTGTATGTATGTGTGTATTCTGAAATGTTATCCCGCTGTGTACATCAACAGAATCCAACACTAATATTGAAGAGTACGTGCCACTTCAGGCACTTCAAGTACTTCAACTGATAATAGCAAATATATACAAGCCTACATTTTAAATAAGTGTATACATTTTTGATACTTTCTCAGTTGGATTTTGTACATCTTTGTACATTTTGTTGTTGTTGCAATTTTGATCCCGCCACTTTCATTTTCAATTTTTCATTGATTTGTATAAGTGTTGATTTAACAGTGGGTAGAAATGATTAGAGTTAATTGAACAGTGGGATTCCATGAGAAACCACAGCATCCTTACTTTCCGTTTCTTCTCAAGTTGCTACCCTATACCGGGCACAGCAACAGGATTCACTTCCGCAGAGATTGTAATCTCTTGCTATCAAACTCAATAACAGGCTCCTGAATTCTTTCCGGAAAACAAGGCCTAGACCTATTCATATTATGGACATAAGTGTAAGGTAAAGAAAAATATTAAAGGGGGCATCTTTCGCGAGAATAAATTTGAAAAATGAAGAAGAAACCAAAACCAAACATCAGAACAGAAACAATCGCATTAAAGCCGGGCAGTACTTATTGAATAAGGAAAACGTAGAGGAGAGTTGGGCAAAGACAAGAAGAGGATGAAGAGAGAAGAGGAAGAGAGATGAAGAGAGAGAGAGAGAGGGAGGGTGGAGTAGGGGATCGAGGGATAGAAAGGTGGGGTAGGGGAGGGGGAGAGAAGAGGAAGAGAGAGAGAAATGGGGGAGAAATAGAGAGAGAGGGGGCGGGAAAGGGAGAGAGAGAGGGGTGGGCTGGGGAGGATGGGCAGGAGAGAATGTGCATGCGGCGATTCATGCTTCGCAGAATCATGTAACGAAATTTATGTGAATTCTAAGGAAAAAACGTTAAGTTGATCGGTAGAAAGTCTCTGTCGATCCCCCTCTCTCTTTCTCATCCTCCCCTTTTATCTCTCGATCAATTTACAAATCTCATTGTTTTCATTGCACAAAATATTTTAAAATTTAGTAGGTAACTTGAAATGAGACATACTGCATCCCCCGAGTTCTTGATATTCTACTCCCCTCTCCGACCGTTTTCTTCAACTCTCTCTCTCTCTCTCTCTGTCTGTCTCTGTGTCTCTGTATGCCAGGTATAGCTCGTGTGTGATATTACGTCATTCGAGTTCATAATGTCATAAGATAGAAAGAGACCAAACATAACGGTAACAAGAAGAATGAGAGATAAAGTGAGTTGCGTAGGAAAAGGAGGAGAGAGAACGATAGGACACCGGGGGAGGGGGGAGGGGGGAGGGGGGGGGGGCGTGTGGAAGTGTTTGTGTACTACAAGATAGCGAAAAAGTGATGGAGAGAATTGCATTGCGAATTGGGTTAATGAGAGAAAGAGAGTGTGTGTCTGGTTTTGTGTGTGTTGTGCGTAGAAGACATAGAGAGAGAGAGAGGGGAGGAGGGTGGGTAAGAGAGAGAGAGAGAGTGATAGGGAGTGAGAGTAAGAAAAAGAGAGAGAGAGAGGGCGTGGTGAAAGAGAGAGGAGTGAGAAAGAGAGAGAGAGAGACAGAGGGAGTGTAGGGGAGAAAGGGAGAGAGACTAGACCTTTATACAAATCTGTTATCGCTGAGCAGTGAAAGGCCTTCCTACCATCTTTTCTCACTCTTTCAGTCTATAAATCTCTCTTCCTTCCATTCTGACTGTCATAAACCATCCACTTATTTTATATAAACATTGTCACCCCCATTGTCTCCCTTCACCACATATTCACTGACTCCTCCCTCTCTGCTCTCTCTCTCTCTCACTCTCTCTCTCACTCTCTCTTTCTCTCTCCCTCTCACTCTTTCTGTGCTCTCCCTCCTCCACTCTGCCCCAGCTATAACTCTCTAAACAAAATCTAGTGATCACTAACGTGACTCCTCCGGAGAGTGAAAATGTAGCGAAGTATATAGTCTACGATTGAATATTCAATCTTTCTTCTTAGAGAGCACTCTAAAATCAATCAACATTTACTCCTAAACAAGTGATCACTAACATGACTTGCGGGAGAGTGAAAATAGAGTGAACATTCACTCTTTTCTTCTTAGAGATATAATTATCTCACACTCTTTTCATTAGTGCGTTACAACGTGAAACCTTTATTGCAAAAAGGGGAAGACTTGCTAAAATCTCAGAGGTTAAAAAAGGGGTGAAATATGTTCGCCTCCACCACATTAATTAGAGTGTTTTTATCGAAAGAGTTTCCACACAAACGCAACATTTCAAATTGACAATGTTAAGAAAATCACGATATATATTTTCCAGCAAGCAAAGTAAAACAAAATATCATAATATTCACGTTTCTAGAATTCAAAATTCGCTGACAAGAGAAATTGTCTAGAATTTTTAAGTGATATTAGGTATAGTTTTACATACTTTATTTACGTAATACAACACATAGTGGATGGTCATATTGGACCCGTATACACATGTTGCAGCCATGAAACAGTACACGTATCTCAGCATGATAAGTATATATTTGATTATGCTACATAAACGGTTTATCTGGACCCTGTTTCATAAAATTTGTCATCAATAACACGTTACGATAATTTATAAGCTACTGAAATCGTGGCATTTGATTGGCTGAGAGCAAATTTGTCATAGGAATTTAGCATTTGTTATTGATAACAAGTTTTATGAAACAGGGCGACGGACTAGTAAACCTCGACCAAACTTAAATTACCAATGAACCATTAACTATTCAGTTATTTTGATATCACACATTATAATACATTATACATTTATATTTGAAAAGACGGAAGAAAAAGGTTTCTGCCCCGAAAATTGATAACAAGTTTTATGAAACAAGGCGACGGACTAGTAAACCTCGACCAAACTTAAATTACCAATGAACCATTAACTATTCAGTTATTTTGATATCACACATTATAATACATTATACATTTATATTTGAAAAGACGGAAGAAAAAGGTTTCTGCCCCGAAAAAAAAAGAAGAAAATGGATGAAAATAAAGAGGAGAGGAAAAAAGGAAAAGGCATTCTTTCAAGTTATTTGTATTCTCCACTGCCACTTTTTAGTAATCAATCCACTGATGGTTCAATCAAACACCGTTGAATAATTTCAGTACAGTTTTTCAGGCCTATCAGGTTTTGTACTTTGGGGATCTATTTATATATTTTTTTTTTTGGGGGGGGGGGGGAGGGAAAAAATGTACACATTCTATGCCCTCCGTAAAGGTAGCCAAGAAAAATGATTAATACATCTAATAGCTAAATTGCGTTACTAATTCCCATCCCAGGTACATTTGATCTATCTTTTTAATGCAAGAGATATTTGTTTCTTCGATAAAACAAAATTACATAAAAATTAGGATTCCTCTCATACACAAACGTTTCAATTGCTTTAGCCTTCATACAATATCATGACATTTCTTTAAAAATGAAAGAAGAGGAATGAAATATATCCTAGCAAGTATAGGGGATCATTACTACAACGGCTGGTGGACAAATCTCCCCGATTTCTTCAATTTCAGGAAGATTGCCCCACCCCCTCAGGTGAACACTTACACACACAAAAAGAGAAATATACATTATTTTGTAGTAAATAATGACGTACATCTACAGCAAACTAAGCCTATCTATACGCTGAGGTGCTCTTTAGAAAGAAGAATGTGTTACTTTTCAACATTAAAAATCTCTCTCTCGGTCGCTATGCATGCTTCCTTGTGAATGTATATACTTTAACTCTACAATATAGCTGATCTGTAAACCGCAGGTACATCATAAGCAAAGAGCAGTCGTTCTCCAAAATCGAAAAGTCTCACCATAAGGTCTGAATGATAATTTAACGCTGCCTTTACCCATACGAATAAGAGAGATAATGGGATGGATATCAAGCATTGAGTATGGTCGCCGTTGGGATGTGATTATTGAAGCAGTCATCAGTCACGCCGTTGATCCATCCCTTAAACCCCGGTTCGATCCTTGTGAAGATACCGTGTCGACTGCGTCGAGAGCACAACTCCCCCTTCGTGCTGATGCCTAGCAGCGCCCACTTGTCATCTCCACTCCTCTGGTACATTAGCGGTGATCCACTGTCGCCATGACAACGAATGTCCGTTCCGAGGCTAAAATGTGTTGTAAAAGTTGGAGATGCGAAGTATTTGTATTGATCTTGAATGCAATTGTTAATGGTACACTTTATAATGCGAAAATATTGATGTTAGAATACGCAACAATTTAGCCTTATTTGCCTGCAAAACATTGTCAAACAAAAACAGTATTGAATTGCACTGTATTGTAGTAGTAGTAGTATTTATTTCCGTATAAACCATAGTAAAAATGCATAAAATACGGTGGAAAGCCCACATTCAGCTAACCCGACATGGGAAAGCTGGTCTTCCGTGGGGTCCGGAACTATTACATAAACAAAACAGAACATAAATACATATATGAACAACAGTAAATACATTTTGAAGAAGAAAAAAAAGTAATATAAAATAAAGGGAAAAAAAACACATTTCATAATATTGTATGATTTAAGATCTCATTATCCATTCTTTACAAGGTCGTATAGTGTCTATTTTAAATAGATTTAACGAATTTACAACATACACATACACTGAACAAAAGTTGTAAGTTGTAAGTTTTAAGTGAAACTTAAAGTTACACATGTGAGAGATGAAATATTATGATATCATTTCTTCATCTGTCGCACTGTCAGAGTAAGGGATATCTGCAACTCCGACGAGAGTTATCAACGAACAATTCTCTCCATCAATCCTAGACCAAACACCACACCCAAACTAACCACCACAACTACCCCCGGACAACTATCACCCGGACAACTACCCCCTGGGATAGTTGTCCGGGTGTAGTTGTCCTAGAGTATGGTTGACGTAGGGGGTAGTTGTCTGGGGGTAGTTTTCTAGGGGTAGTTGTCCTAGGGGGTAGTTGTCCGGGGGTAGTTGTCTTAGGGGTTAGTTTACTGGGGGTAGTTATCCTGGGGTAGTTGTCCCAGAGGTAGTCGTCCTAGAGGTTGGTTGCCTTAGGGGGTAGTTGTCCTAGGGGGTAGTTGACTTGGGGCGGTTATCCGGGGGTTGATGTCCAGGGGGTAGGTGTCCTAGATCCTTGTATAGTAAGTTGTACAGACAAGAGTTTCTTCATTCAAATCAGTCTGGTTGCATTCATACATACCCTTCTCCCGCACAAAGCATCCTATCTGTCACGTCAAATCCATCTCTTGCGTGGTCCACACGACATTCGGCTTGATCAGCCAGCGGCATCGGGAATTGGAGAGGAACATCGTGGGCATTCTGGGGAAGCCCCGAGGCTGTGCCCCATCCCACTACTTTGGGTTCATGAGGAGAATCCGTTTCTGTGTCAAAATTGAAGGGACAAAAATATAGGGTAGAGGTGGGAAAATTGATATAGACAGAAAGACACGCTAATGGGTTGGTGGGGTGGAAAATGAGAAATAAAATCATGAAGCAAAGAGAAGGTTGAGTTCTGGGAAAGGTGAACAAATTATATGAACTTTTTCATTCTTTTTATATTATTGTGAAAGAGTATAACAACAACAACTTCCCCCTGAAAAGGATGGTCTTTCAAGTGCCCCTAACATTTGAAGGACGTGTATGACAAGTATAACCGCTATAGGTTGTGGACCACAAATACAATGCCACATGTTTGTGTAGTCCCTGTCATAATATATTCATTTCTGTGTAGAGTACTTGTGAACTTTAGCAAAACTGGGCCGATTTCACATCGTTTTGATGGTTCCAAAACCCGCAGTTTAGAACAATATGTGCTACATGATCAGCCTTTTCAAATTGATTCCACGCAGTTTCAAACATAACCAGAACTGAACTTCATCTTTAAAGCCAGAACAATTTCAAGCACAACTTTTTATTCGACATCGTTGATGTCGAGAGCATTAATTAGACAAACCAGTGTTGTTGAACTCTTAAAGCGAAAAAATGTTGTATCTATTGGTCGTAACAAACAAAGAAGTAATACATTCTGACACTATGAATATGACGGACAAAGAAAGAGGACAAAATATACAGTTCTACATTCTACCCTCAACAATTGCTGTGGTAGACAAAGGAACATCCCTTCATTGTTATTATGTAAAAATGTGTAGAACAGGTGAATATGCATGCGACACCTGTGCTACACATTTTTACATAATAGCAGTGAAGGGATGTTCCTTTGTCTACCACAGCAATTGCTGGGGGTAGAATGAGGAACTGTATATTTTGTCCTCTTTCTTTGTCCGTCATAATAGTGTGACTGCTTTGGTAAAAATCAAAAAACTAATTTCATTACCGGAAGGTAGACAAATAGTCCTGGCACAACTGTTGAGCTCAACCGGCTCACTGAGATGCAAGAGAGCGATGTCATAGTCGTGGATATTCTCATAGTCGAACTGATCGTGCAGGACGATCCGATCGACTTGGATCGTCTGTTCGCATCCCTCTCCTAGCGAGCGGTTGTACTCTCCCATGGTGACCGTGACCTAGAACATGGGAGGTCGAAGGGAGAGAGAAAAAAAGAAAGACAGAGAAAGAGAGAGAGAGAGGGAGAGAGAAAAGGAAAGAGAGAGATAAAGGGAGAAATAGACAAAGTGGGGGATATAGAGACGGAAAGGAATGATGAGGAAAGATGATCGATTCGAGCTCAAATCACCGAGCATTGGAAAAGAAAGACGGTTGATAAAAACTAAAACTAGATATTAAAGATCGAAGGGAAATGAGGAGAAAATATTATTATGTGTGTGTGTGAGAGTGTGTGAGAAGGAGAGAGAGAGAGAGAGAGATAGGGACAGACATACAGACAGACGGAAGAAGAGACGGAGAGGATGTATGCGCTTCCAAAATTGTAGACCATAAAAACACTGTTGTTTCATGAACGATTTAATACTTGATTGTATTCATCATTCCACCGACACTTCATTATTAAAGAAAAAAGAAGGCCTGTAGAATTTCTCACTATGAAATTATGACCTACATGAAAAGACAAGAATTTTTGACTAGTCACCATATCAGCTGAAGAAATCCCAAATTGGGAGGATGGCTGAGATTTATAACAGCATCGCTCGCTCGAAACATAAAAGTGATCCTCAGGTTATTAATTTTATGAAAGTACCTTTATTTCTTCTGGTATGAATTGTGAGTCCTCTAGATCTATCGTCACCAGCATCTCGCCAATGACTTCAGCATCATCGATATTTGCAAAGCAGGAGGACGTGGTCAGTACCCACTGTTGGCATAGCAACGTACCGCTACACGCCATCTTCCAGCCGGTAGATGAGTTCCGATGGATGACTGACAGCCATGGCCACGCCTTCTCATTGGCTTGGTGGTTGTCACCAGCGACGAGTACATTCCCCGCCTCTCCGCATGGCTTGTAATCTGTGCCACAGATAGAATGGCTTAATTTCGTCAAAGATATAGGGCAAGGGCTAGGATTTCAATTGGGCTTTAGGTTATAGCTTTGGGGTTGGGATTAGGTTTAGGTTAAGTGTTTGGTCCAGTGTTCCAGACAGGAATTTCAGTTGTCACCAGAGCATTTGTCAATATTCACCTCGATATCATGTCTAGAGCGGGCTAAGAATATGGAAGGAGGCATAAAACATCGATAAACTGGTAACATCATACCAGGCAAGCCAATGCCCGAGACAACAGACAAAATAATAAATTAAGAGACCCTGAATGGCCATTATAATCATCAATCACCATTACATTATTTAGGGGGAGGGGCACAACCAGCCTATGCCCGCCCCCTTGAAACCCAAATCATTGCCCCTTTTTTCCTTGCCAAATAGTGCCCCTCCCTCCCCGCCCCCAACTTAAAGAATCCTAGATCCGCATCAGGTTGAGAACCTACTCTAACAACCCAACACAAAATATTCCTATTCCTATATCCCCATTGATGATAGACGCGTTTACTACTCTATGGTTTATGCATATTGCCGTCTAGAACCCACTAGGGCGTAATTTAATCCGAGATTTGTGTTCCTTGAATATTGTGCTCCGCGGGTCTCCAGCCCCGCACTAGGGGAAGAAAATGGCTGGTCTTGTTTGCAAAAGAACCCAGCAACCCCCCCCCCCAACCCGAGCCCCTCCCTATCATCCAGAAGCCTTTTCAGCCCCTGTACTTTCAAAAACACTTTGCGGTCCTGTTTTTATTGTCACCTGTGTAACATTTGCTTACTATTTATTGATGTAACTGTGTTTGTAATTTGTGTATGCTATCAAATCTATTGATCATGTGTTTTGATTCATATCATTGGAAATTGCTTATTGATGCTGTTACTAAGTTTTTCTTTACTCTTGTTTTATATGTATCAAGATAATTAAACAGCATAAACTTCCTTATGATAGGGAAGGAAAAGGAAAAGAAACCATTTTTCTTGATGTAGCCTTTTTACCTGATAATGGAGTTCACCGTTAATATGATGTATTGAACATGTATAAGGTCATTTACAGTTCATTGTATGACCGCCACCTACGAATCTCAAATATTTCTGGTTCGTCTACACGGTCAATGACATTCCCTGATATTGACATTGAATTCCAGGTGCTTTGTTTGACTTGGATGTCTGTGAGCTGTCTACTTTGAATTCAGGACCTAAGCTGGTTAAACCTAAACTGAAATCGCTACCTATTTTCAGGATGCACACTGTAGTCCTCAAATGGAAGACAAATGTAGTAAATTTAATTTTCTTTGTTTTTTCTGTTTGGGTTTATCCTCCCCCCCCCCCCATGTTTGTTGTTTGTAGTTATTAGGTGTTGTGCAACTAGCCAGCCTTGTTTAATTACTACCACTTTTTGCAATGTATTGATATTCCTACACTCTTGTGAACGTAATGATGACTGACTTACCTTTCGCTGAAACAAGTGATATTGATTTAGACATATTATTTCACAGTTTGCATAGTCTTGATTTAACTTCCTCATCTGACCAACGATATATGAAATGTAATTCAGATATCCTCAATAGTAAATTTGATGAAATTTTACTTCAGTTTGATCCTAATGATATTCATTATGTAAGAGAATCTCAATACCTTACTCAAAATCAATTTATTTAAAATGTTAAAATCACATCAAAATGTGATTTAAATTTCTTGAACCTGAATATTCGTAGCCTGAACAAAAAATTTGAGCAGTTAACTTTATTGCTGGACAATATTGAGCTGTGTAACTTTATTATCGGTCTCACAGAAACATGGTTGCAAGACCAGCCTCATTCCCTTTTTTCTCTTTCTCAACATAAACTCATATTTAATAACCGTACGAATAAAAGAGGTGGGGGCGTTGCAATGTATGTTCCAGACCATCTGAACTTTAAAGTACTTTCTGATATAAACACAATGAATCTGGCAATGGAAGTGGTCTTTATCAAAATAGTCTTACAAAACAAGAAAAATAGCGTAGTTGGTACTATTTATCGCCCCCCATTCTTCAAATCACAATGAATTCTTATTTGAAATGCAGCATTTACTTGTTCACCCCCTTCTTCAAAATAAACATTGCATCATTGTAGGAGATTTCATTGTGATTTGTTAAAATGTAATGATAATCAGTTCTCACATGATTTTCTGGATACCTTGCTTTTGTATTATTTTGTTCCAGTAATATCAAAACCCACACGGTTATCCACTCAGTCGTGTACCATGACAACAACTCCTTGTTTAAAATTGAAACCCCCATTTGACTTTCACTACTCCGAGAGCTAAGCCTAAAGTAAACACTAGCGCTATACAAAGTAAGGCCCCAGCGGGGGTGATTGTTCCCCTAGAGCATATATTTAATCTTTCCATGTCCCAGGGTGTGGTTCCCGATGTCATGAAACTTGCAAAAGTTGTTCCGATATTTAAAAAGGGTGACCCCTAATAATGGACACTCTGGACCATTTCTTATATTGGCATTATTTTGAGCTAGAAGGAAGGACAGATCAAGCCACTAATTTATTCCTTTGGTTTACCAAAGTGAATAGGAAGGGTTTAGAAAACAATGGCAGAGGGGGAAATTGTACATTTCGGTATACCTGCTAGATCCATTTATTCAAGTCTGAAAACGAACATAATCTGTTAATAACATTTATATCTACTTTTATCACACATGGCCTTGTGCAGTTTATTCCTCATATTCTTTCACACAAACCATCATCAACAATTTAAGCCTCGGTCAAAAATGCCATTACGAACTGCTACGAACGCCGTACGAACGTTTTTCAAACAATGGAAATTCGGGAAGACAATGGAAAAACAAGGAGATTCGTACAAAATTATCTTTCGTACAAACCTTTGTAACTGAATATACAGTGAAACCTGTTTGAGGAACAATCTGTAATGGAAAGACCACCTGTCTATAAGACCCCTTTCGCAGTGTCTCTCTTGAGTGGTCTTTATATACAGGTTTCACTATGGCCGAATTCACAAAGGGGGTTTGTCGCCAAACCTCCTTTGTGCATTTGGGCCATTATGTCTATTTTCCCTAAGGCAATGTAATGTACATGCATGTCAAAGTTCCCTTTAGAAAGATTCCAGATTCAATTTTCATCTGCTATGCCAATATCTGGGGAATGAATGTAAGGCTTTCAAGTCCATTTTTATTTTTCATTTTGTCCAGGAATGTCACAAAATGCTGTGATCTAGCTCGATGTCTATTACTTTTGTGAATAAAAAAAAGGGGTCATAACTGGAAGGAAAAATAAATTGTGTTCTGCTGATTATGAAGTCTAAAAGTATCATCAAAGTTAATGGAAATTTGAATGAGGAATATTAAAACAAACAAACTTACAATAATTGCTTTTATCATAAAAGCCTGCAATGACTGTAAATGATATCAGATTAAAACTATTCTGTAAAACAAAAAAATAAAGAAAATTTGTATGAACATGGCAACTAGGTGCAGAGGAGACAATTAACAACATGCTAAAAGGGGTTACCGGTAAGAGAAATCGTTTTGCTAAATATATTACTCATTGCGGGGTAGTATCAAAAATAATATCGCTAGTGATATTCGTTTGTCTCGCAATGTGGTCAATAAGGTCAATAATGTGGTCAATAGGCCTTGTGCATAAGCTGAACCAGCGGCCGAACCAGCAGCCTGCTGATTGGTCGAGCACTGTGTGCGTCGGCCAATAGGCCTTGTGTGTTATTGTTCCAATTATCGATCAAATTATTGACCGCTGCGCCGGTCCTCCTTTGGAGTATAAAACATGCTTGCTTACATTAGTTTTTATCCCCTGACGAAGTGTTGCAGGGGCGCACAAAACTTTGTGATCTTTTAGATCCCTTATTTACGGAAGCGTTAAAGTGCCATTCTACTTGACGACATGACGAGATATTTCATCTTGTCAAGTCGACTTAATATCCATATCATGTCGACATGTAAAGATATTTAACCTACCATGTCGACTTATCAACTTTTATTAGTCGACATGGCGAAATAAATTATCTTGCCAAGTCGACTTCACAAAAACTTCATGTCGTCATGGCGACATAAGTTATCTTACCAAGTCGACTTCTAAAAAAATACATGTCGTCATGGCGACATATATTATCTAACCAAGTCGACTACCCAAAAAGTAATGTCGACATGGCGAAATAAATTATCTTGCCAAGTCGACTTCACAAAAAGTTAATGTCGACATGGCGACATGTATTATCTTGCCAAGTCGACTTCACAAAAAAGTTTATCTCGTAATAGCGACATAAATTATCTCACCAAGTCGACTTCCCAAAAAGTATATGTCGTCATGGCGAGATATGTAGTGTGACGACTATTTCATGCAGCGCGCGTATATGGCAAGCCCTTTGTGTAAAAACCAGATAAACTCAGTTTATCAGAAAAACTGTGTGTATCAATGATAAACTCAGTTTATCAACAGATAAACAGAGTTTATGGGAGAATAACTGTTCTGTTACTACTTGATCTATCTTCCGCATTTGATACTGTCAATCATATAATTATGTTAGATACTTTGAAATCACTTGGTGTAGATGGAAAAGCTCTTGAATGGTTTAAGTCATACTTATTTGAAAGGTCTCAAATTGTTTGTGTTAATGATTCAAAGTCTGATCCTGCTGCGTTGGTAAGTGGTGTTCCGCAAGGATCTGTTGGAGGCCCAACACTTTTCTCAATTTACTTAAGTGGTCTAAAACAGATTTTACAATGTCACTCTTTTAATTACCATTGTTATGCAGACGATATCCAACTGTATACATCATTCCTACCTAACCAAACCAATGTCATTGATACCATCACAAAACTTGAAGCTTGTGTTCATGATATCAAGAAATGGATGAGCTCTAATTCCTTGAAATTAAATCAAGAGAAATCAGAGCTGTTGTTTATCGGTTCTAAAACTCTATTAGACAGGGTCAGCCTTTCCTCTATTAAGGTTGATGGTGATGTTATCACTCCATCTATATCATGTAGAAATCTTGGAGTTTTATTTGATTCTACAATGTCCATGTCAGTTCAGATCCCGGCTGTTTGTAAATCTGTCAGGTATCAACTACGTAATTTAGGCATTATTCGCAAGTATTTAACCCGCTCGGCCACAGAAAAAATAGTTCATGCCCTCATATCGTCTCGACTGGGCTTTGGTAATGCACTTTTGTTTCAGCTGCCACAATCTCAACTCTCACGGTTACAAAAATTACAAAATGCAGCAGCCCGTATTGTTACCCTTACCAGACGTACTTCTCACATTACTCCTGTTTTGTCTTCACTACATTGGTTACCTGTTGAATCCCGTATTGTATTTAAATTATTATTGCTTGTTTTTCACTGTATACATGGATCTGCCCCAGAGTACAATATTAATTTGTTAATGCCTTATAATCCTCCCAGACGCTTAAGATCTTCCGATTCTCAATCGCTTGTTGTTCCGAAAACTAAGAAATCATGGGGGATCGGTCATTTGCACACGCTGGACCTTACATATGGAATCTATTGCCACAACATATTCGTTATATTTCAAGTGTAGATTGCTTTAAACATGCCCTTAAAACTCATTTGTTCAAAGCGGCTTTTCAGTAGATTTAGTTTTATTTTCACATTGTCGTTGTTCATTTTTGTGTGTATTTTTGTGTACGTATATCTTTTCTTCTCCATGCGCCTCGACCACATTATTCATGTGGAGTTGGCGCATTACAAATACTCTATATTATTATTATTATCAGAGAAACTCAGTTTATCAGTTGATAAACTCAGTTTATCAAATCAGTTTATCATTGATAAACACAGTTTTTCTGATAAACTGAGTTTATCTGAGAAAAACAGAGTTTATCTGAGAAAAACAGAGTTTATCTGGTTTTTACACAAAGGGCCTGCCATATACGCGCGCTGCATGAAATAGTCGTCACACTTCATATCTCGCCATGACGACATATACTTTTTGGGAAGTCGACTTGGTGAGATAATTTATGTCGCTATTACGAGATGAACTTTTTTGTGAAGTCGACTTGGCAAGATAATACATGTCGCCATGACGACATTAACTTTTTGTGAAGTCGACTTGGCAAGATAATTTATTTCGCCATGTCGACATTACTTTTTGGGTAGTCGACTTGGTTAGATAATATATGTCGCCATGACGACATGTATTTTTTTAGAAGTCGACTTGGTAAGATACCTTATGTCGCCATGACGACATAAACTTTTTGTGAAGTCGACTTGGCAAGATAATTTATTTCGCCATGTCGACTAATAAAAGTTGATAAGTCGACATGGTAGGTTAAATATCTTTACATGTCGACATGATATGGATATTAAGTCGACTTGACAAGATGAAATATCTCGTCATGTCGTCAAGTAGAATGGCACTTTAACGCTTCCGTACTTATTGACCACATTGCGAGACAAACGAATATCACAAGGGATATTATTTTTGAGAAATCGTTTTATTTTACATTCTTAGTGATTTGTATCATGGGTGTCGTAAATGATGACTTAAAGTTACAATAATAAACTGTTAGCATGTCTGGCAGTTGAACTCGGACCACTCGTACCTTCTTGGGGTTACTGCCCCTGTGGGATAGTCTTCCAAAAATATGTAATAACTAACAGGTGATTTTAAAAAGAAAACTATTACAATGGTTTTGAAAAATTCACCATTTGCTCACCTTCTAATAACAGTCTTATTTCATGGTACAAATCTCTAGAGTATGGGAGTACAATGTCGGTGTGTAGGAGCTGGCCTTTTCCATCCTGCCTCAAGTTTTGACTGAAGCGTATGATGACAGGGTCTACTGCTTGAAAGGATGGGCAAAGACATCCCCTTTCTGAGGCAGCACCCACATCAATTAGAACGTCTTGGTAAGAGTCTGTATGTGGAGAAGTCAAAAGTTTATGACCATGTTTTCACCTCGTCAAAATACAAAGCCATTATTGCAAACAATATGACTGTTTGGTATACAAAAATGTGCTTGCAAAAAATTAGAATGCAATGCAATGCCTAATTACTACAGGCAGTATTGTTTTTTCGGTTACCGGTAATGGACTTTGCCTACAAGAGTGTGCTTTCTCTACAAAATACGCTAATAACAATTTGTAGAAAAAAAGTACAATGCAATACCAAAAAAAAATTGCAGAAAATATGGGCATCTTGGTATAACTTGGTATATAAATGTGGTTTATGATGAAATTGGGTTAAAATATGAAAGAATTAAATAAGATGTATAAAACCACTCAAACATAATCATCTTCCTAAAAAATATTTTCTGAGACCATGCAGTGTTCACCTAACAGAGAGATGTACAATTACAGCTTTCAGTATCAAAGGACATCTGTAAAGCAAACTACAGACACAGAAGATGTATCAAGCATTCAGGCACGATAAAAATTCAGAATAATGTTGTTGCTTGTGGTGTTATTATGGATATTGTTGATTTTCTTGTTCTCCTTCACGTTTCAACATTTTAAATTTTGCTTCAGACGAACCTTCTGTCCACGATGGCAGCCCTCCCGCCATCACTTCATAGATTTGAATCCTTAAGATGCCAAGGTCTGCATCCCAATTGTCGGCGTAAGCAATGACGACTGTAAAAGAAAGCAAATTGTGCGGATGAGTCTACGATACATATAAACATGAAAGTTACTTTGCCTTCTAAAAGCAAACATTTTGTCCCCAAATTTGATCAGTTCATTACTCAACTCCTACCTGAGCCTAGTTACCAAATAGAAGTATTGCCAAGTTCCCTATAATGCCAGCATTTTAAACCTTGATAATTTTAAAAGCTTTCAATATTGACACAAAGATTTATTTCAGTTCATCATTTTCATGCAAGCTACATATACACTATTTTGTAAATGGTTGATCCAAGTTTGGAAAATTCTCAAATCTGTTGTCAAATCGTCATGGTACTAAATTGTACCAAGGGGAGTTTTCACACCCTAAACATTGAAATTAGAACGGACAAACATGACAGTGAATTAATAGAAAATGACATGAACGGAAAGGAGCTTTTTTCTTGTAATTACTTGCTGTTGCGCCCTGGCTCAATTCTGCTGCTGAGCTACTAGGGCATACACCGGCATGACAGAATGAAGGTGTGTCTGGCTCTAGTACAGGTCCTTCATTTGGCGGGAGGGTAATTGGTTCACGGACGGCCGGTTCTGGGATAGATGGAGGCGATTCCTCATAAGTGCTCTCAAAGGAGGATAACTGGCTTGGCTCTTCGATTTCAATGAATGGCGTTGGTGTTAGCAACGCACGCTCAGGCACACCTGGGATAGAGTTTCAATAAACAGAAACAAATGTAGTTTTACATCACTGATCATCATCATTAGTAACTGATTTTGCTGATGCTCTTTTATTTGTTTAACAGTTGGCGGAATAATCTGTAATGACCTCAAAATAAACAAAATTACAACTTTGCCAATAAAATTGGCATATTTAGGGTAATTAATCTAAAGTTTTTCATTATATTTATTAATTTTTTTTTACTGAAGTAACAAGACCTTGGCTAGCTAGGCTTTGTAGTCTATTTTAAGGGATCCGGTAACGTCGTCTTAGATCCTTTTAAAAGATCCTTGATTTAGCTAATGCTGCACTCAAATGTTTTTACTTTTTTGAGGCACTTCTTGATCATTTTGAGACGCAATTTTTTAGGGCTTCAATATAACACCATATCACAGAAACTGATAACACGTAGTGCCGTGCATCTCAGATTTAACATTGTTAAACGATCAATTCAGTTATGCTGTATACTGTGAACGAATGTTAGAATATGCTTCTATGTAAATACATGTACATATTTATGATTCTTTCTTTTTATCCAGGAGCATAACATCAAATCACCTGTTTGGAGCCAGAAGAGTGTTAACTCATAAAGTTATATACAGAGATAACATTTATGTAATTGATAATAATCATGATTTTAAAAAATAATAATAATTCAAATTATTGGCAGAACTATAGTTAGATTATCACCAAACCTTAAGTATAAAGTCTAAAATAAAGTATCGTGAATGATTTACCATTGATGCAGAACCAATTACTGGAAGCTACCTCTACGCCAGTGTTCCGAATACATGCGAGAGCCATGAGCCGGCACAAGTTGGTGTAGTTCCGTCCGTCTGTCCCACAAACCACTGGCTCATCAGTAACAGGGCAGGAATGGTGACTAATACACCTACACACACCAACACCAGATGAGTCGGTCTCACATTTCTGCCACACCTTGCAACTGACCGAATCACAGGGCCCCTCTGACTCAACGATTTCTGTTCAAGGCGATAAAGTTTCACAGTTAGAATGGGAAGCTACTCAACATGGTATTGTGTTTTAAAGACTTATATCAAGGGGTCCTCATAGTAACTTGACACTGTTCAGGTGTTTACCTGATAACAGGTGTTGCCAATCTTTAAATGTAGACTTAATTCACCTTTCAGACAGACACGTCTTATGTAACGCACTGCATCCTCCACCTACCACCTCGTAAGGAAATCTCATCAATCATAAATATCCCTCATCCTCAAGATTTGAAGGCAAGTTGGTGCATTGCCTGGTGGGCCACAGCTTCAACCGAATCCCGTGTCAGCAAATTATGATGCAATACACAGGCATATCGGTAAATGCATGAATTTAAATTGGGAAATATAAAGGGACTATTCATCCCAACAGAAAACTTGCAAGAAGGCATAAAAATCATCCCCCCAAATTTCTGAGACATTCTGATGGTCGGGATTATAGAGCATACAGGTTATTTGGCTTCCATCAAAGCTGAAAAAGAATTTTAATATTTGCAATTTTCATACCACTGGTAAAATATCTTTACAGAAGTAATAAGCAAAGTGCATAATCTGATTGAAATAAAACTCATGGAACCTGAAAAATACAGAGCATGCTATACCTTTTGAAGAAAATCTTGGGTTGAACTCTTCTTTTAATGAGCACAAGAAACCTACTTTCACCAAGTCTTTACTCTTGACAAACAATATACACAAATCTGTTTCCTAAAACTCACCAACGCAAGAAGGTAGAGGATGGGACCAGTTTCCACTTTCCTGACAATCCAAGAAAGGCTCTCCTTGTAACTGATATCCCTGGTTGCATCCTATGAGCACAGAGTCACCTATTCTGTTCCCTCCTACCTTGGTTCCATGGGTTGGGGGATGTAGCTCTTCACATGTTGCTCCTAGTTATCATAAAAAAACATTTGTTTTTTAAAGGAAACAAAACAAACAAACAAGCAAAGAAAGAGTGAAAAGTGAGATTGAACAAAGCATAAAGTATTATACTCTCTTTCACAGTACAAGAAAAATTCTACACCTGATAAATCTATAATTTCATGTAACTAAATCAGAACTGTATAGTCATTATACAGCATAGTTTCCATTACCATGATATGCATGACAGATCCTCCTACTAAACCATGATTAGGATGAAGGTAAAACAAAAGATATCATAAATTATATGATACTCACATTTTATTATGTTTTGCTGCAATGTATAAATGCTACAAAAATCATTGTGGGGACAGATGTTTCACGAAAAAAGGTGGGTGGGTGAGGGGGGTTTGTGTGTGCGTGTGTGTGTGTGTGTGTGTAGGAGCGTGGGTAACAAGGACACTAACTATACTTTCACTTTGACGACCCTTTTCAATACGAGGACGTCCTCTGTTCAGGAACCCTGCAAAATTGTTTCCTCTGTAATGCAGTAAATTTCCAGATTGTCCTTGAGTTGTTATATTCCTTCAAATATATGTGTCCTTGAACATGTAATAACATACTGATGTGTACATTTGAGTCTTCGATTTACACCAGAAACCTGTCTGTGTGTGTGTGTGTGTGAATTGGGCTTTACAGATAAATGGCATCAATCAGATCTGATAATCTTACATATCTCGGGACAGACCTATAGGTTTCACAGTAAAGCTGTCACTCTGATGATTGGAACCACAAGGATCGAGCCAACCACTAGCTAAACTCACATCTCCCTAATGTACATTTATACATGTACAATGCTTAAGGCTCGCTCAGATATGACGCAGCAAACTTCTATAAAAAAAGTGTGTTTTATAAAAATGTGTAAATGAATAGCAACTGCATACAACAAAGGTCCTTCACCTGTTCACTTTATTAGCTCTGTGTTAAAAGATACAGAAATGTGAAGCATTTATTACACTTGTGTCATCATTCAAAAAATTGCAGTGGTTTTGCGACGTTATATGTGAACCAGGCTCTGTACATGTAATAATTGGATGTGCTCTCATTATGCACAAAATAGCCTATCTTTAATATGTAAATCTGTTTTCATTTCAAATAGATATGCAATGATAGCCAAGATGGAGCTTTAGGACAAAGTACATCAAAGACATATATTGGCTCTTACTGTGCCTTTGGCATCTTGGAGTAGGATGTGACCACTCCCCAAGCACACAGGTCATTGTCCTTTCGCCATCAAGAATGTAGCCATCGTTACAAGCAAATGAGATCTCCTTGCCCATGTAAAATCGTCCATATTCCCAACCGTAGTCATAGTCTTGGAATTCACCGTTGGTTGGTGCCGTAGGACGGTCACAATATATCTCTGCAATTTAATCAAATTTGAACATTTGTGACTTTAAAAAAAAAGAATCATCTACAAAATTGAACGCTTACTCATTATAAGGGGTCATTTTTCTCAAAAAGGACCCATTTTTTTTTAAAAAACAATTTTGGGGTGTTTTTCTGGTGTTTTGATATATACATACAGAAATTTTGCAAATTTTGGTAATTTTGAAAAAACAGACCCATTTTTAATGGTATTTCGGTTTAAAGTAGGACCCATGTTTAGTGATTTTTTGTGAAAAAATTACCCATTTGAGCGGCACACCCCTGTATGTCCTAATATATATAAAACATACATCAATGTGAACAGAGTAAGTCAACCATTCTGAATATGAGGGCATTTGAGCAATCCTTTTCAGGAGATATTTCTACTTTGATATTCTCCAAAACTGACATAACCTTACTTTGTTTAATGAATCTGACAGAGAAGTAAAATTAGTCTCTTTCAGGCAACTACCATTATCTTTTCTCGGAAGCATAGGATGCAGATACATGCACAAAAATTAAAATTTCTGAGAAATAAAAAGAACTGCAGAGTATATCTAAATCATTGTTAGCATATACACTGCAAGATATGACGACCATTTCAATGTACTTTACGGTGCATTTGAAAACTAATTTAGATTTTTACACCTTGTATTCATGTATGATCAGTTATAGCTCAGGAGCTTACCCAATAAACAGAACACTAAAAAGTAACCTCTTTTGGGAGTGTATTTTAAGTGATTTTAAAGTATAGTGCCTTTTGAACTAGATTTAAACGTTATCGACACGTGCCTTCATTTAAACAAAAAAGGTACTCCTGTTCACGTTTTCATCTAACCTAAAAACCACCAGTTTATCACGCGACTGGAGTAACGTGATTCCACTTACCTCTGTAAATCAAGTGTTTATGACCAAATAACTACTTGACCAAGCAACGAGTTTTTTGTCCGTTAACTGATGGTGGCGATAAATAAGTAATTATTTGGTCTTGTAAGCACCTTTATCGATTGGTTTCACAGGTTATCCAAGGTTGATGGTAATAATCACGTTACTTACACCGGCTAATCGTCTTATTGTTCTGTCCGTGAATCTCTGGTTATATCAAATTAGTAATTCGGAGGTGTCTTACACACCTCTTTAAATGGTTTCAAAGTTACCATAAATTTCTTGGTTATGATCGCGAGGCTCAAGCTGATTACTAATCTAAGCTGTGAATCCGTGATATGTAGGTGTGAAAATTTTGTAATTATTAGGTGTCTTAAAACACCTATTTAAATGGTAGTCAAAGTTGCCAGCAGTTCCGCGGTGATGATCTTGTGACTCAAACAGAATATTAATCTAAACTGGGCATACGTGACTTTTAGGTGGGAAAAATTAGTCATGATTAGGTGTCTTAAAGCACCTATTTAAATGGTAGTCAAAGTTGCCATAAGTTCCGCGGTGATGATCTCGTGACTCAAACGGAATATTAATCTAAGCTGGGCATACGTGACTTTTAGGTGTGGATAATTAGTCATGATTAGGTGTCTTAAAACACCTATTTAAATGGTAGTCAACGTTGCCAGCAGTTCCGCGGTGATGATCTCGTGACTCAAACGGAATATTAATCTAAGCTGGGCATACGTGACTTTTAGGTGTGAAAAATTAGTCATGATTAGGTGTCTTAAAGCACCTATTTAAATGGTAATCAAAGTTGCCATAAGTTCCGCGGTGATGATCTCGTGACTCAAACGGAATATTAATCTAAGCTGGGCATATGTGCCTTTTAGGTGTGAATAATTAGTCATGATTAGGTGTCTTAAAACACCTATTTAAATGGTAGTCAACGTTGCCAGCAGTTCCGCGGTGATGATCTCGTGACTCAAACGGATTATTTATATAAGCTGGGTATTCCGTGTTTTCCAGGTGTGAAAATGAGTTATTCTTGGGCGTCTTGATGGTTTCACAGTTCCCATTTAAGTTCCGTGGTGATAATACTGTGACTGTTGGCATATTTCTATGTTCACCAGTTGATAACTGACTGTTGGCATATTTTCATTGCACCAGTTGATAACTGGAGTGTGCATATTTCCAGTTGCACCGGTTGCAATGATGACTGAGTGTCGGCATATTTCGAGTTGAACCAGCTGACACCAATTAATTTGCATATTGAATGTGGGGTGCGTGCAGATCTATGTTTTTAAACAATTTATCTGAATTTACAGCATATTTCTTAATTACTGATGATTTAGTTATATGCAATTCATTTCGAAAATACTACAAATATAAATTACCAGTTATTAGAACATTTCGCTACTTCGTATAAATTACATTTAGTTAAACATGTATAAGGGAAACATTAACTATGAACTAAAATAATTTCAATAAAGTACAAGTATACGAAATTTGTTCTATTAATTCAATTATGTAAGTCTACTTATTACCAATGCCTTTACATTGGAAATACAGACGTACCAGTATTGAAGTATTGTTGCTGTTCAACTGGTTGGAAGTTAACCAAATGGTTCTAATGGCTCAGCTAGACCAGTTGAATTATAACTGGCCTGGATCAACTGGATCATTTAGCCCATTTCAATTTCCAGGGTTACCAGTTGGCATTAAATGGTTCATCAACTGGACCAGTTGCAACTAGCTTTCTCTTCTGGGATGTTTGCACCCCCCTCCCCCAACCCCCTCTAACCCCAAACTGCTTCCGGTGCGCCTGGACGTTATTATGGAAGATCCAAGACACGATGTTCAGAAACGGGATGTTTATTATTATTTTGGTTCATTTACTGTAACATTTGCGTAATTATTGGGTTGAACGCGGGTTACAGTAACATACTTCCTCTTCGACGTAAATTTCACGTGAATGAAGAACATGATTCATCTCAAGTCAGCCTCGTAATATTCACGTGAATTTCATGCAGATATTTTGACTAAAACTATTACTATACGCTTCACGTGTTTCTGTGACGCGATAATTTCGTTTATGAAGATGTAATTTCATAACCAAACAAACACGGGAGTATTAGGTTTACAAGCCATGGTCTCCAAGGTAGGGATAATCACGTTATTATAATGGTGATATTGCAGTGACAATTGCGTGATTTAGTGTACGTGTGTTTTAAGTTACCTAGTGCAATAAACGTATTAACACATTTACGTAAATGTCAGGTGTTTGAAGAACGTAACTCTCCTCAAGTCGATACCTTGATATTGACGTGATTTTCACGTGATTTTGTTTATTGGGTAAATTCAAAGGGGATTGATTTAGGAGACCAATCACTTCCATATCATGTTACTCTATTTGTTTGGGGTTCCATGGCATTCTACCATATTCACGTTTTAAATCTCATAACCTACCTTCTGTAAAGAGATCATGCCAGTTTAAATGCACCCTTACTACGTAATAGCAACTTGTAGACAAGATGCAATATGTTTATGTGCATACATGCGCACAGAAGCTAAATCAAAGTTAACTCCTGTGTGGTTCTTCAAAGTAAATCATTTTTAAAAGCCATAATATTCCCTAATCCTCACCATTTAATTGTCTCTATATGGTCAGAGTTTGTTTTGTTTGGGGGAGAGTTATTATTATGTCTTTTAATGATAAACAAACAGCTGGTCCTCTATAATGGTATCTTGAAAATAATAATTCTAGAATACCACTCCAGAAGTAATAGAATAAAATTTGTAAAAGGATGAGGATGTAACTCATCTTACCAGCAAACTGAACATAGACAGTGTGAGGAGGAGTATAGTCATTAGACCGGCAAGTGAAACGCCCAGATTGTGACGTACGTGGTGGGTTTAGACTCATTACCATTGTTGATAGCCCTTGTCCCCGATAAACAGCAAACTGCAAAAGGACAGAAGACAGCATAACATGAAGTTGATTTCATACCGTCTGTTTGGAACCAGAAAGGCATTATTAAACTCATATATCGTATTTGCCGGCGAAAAGGCCCAGTTTTTTATGGAAGAGAAAATATCAAAAAGTCGGGGTGCAGCCTTCGCCGCGAAAGAGTAAAAAAAAAAAAAAACTTAAGTCAAAACCGGCACGAATTTGCACATATGGGACTACGAACGGTACAATAACTATACCGCTAGGGTATAGGACATTTCCACACATCTTACCGACAATTTTATCTTGCATTGTTGACATGAAGACGAAAATAAATTGCTAAACCAACATTTGCCGATAGATCTTGATCTAAGTTCGTGCCAATTCATGCATTGCAAAAGTAAAGGAAGGGACCATTTAACAGAGCCGCCGCGAAGCATCCATCCGAAGTCGCCATTTTGTTTTCCATTTCATGAAATTTCGCATTACACCGTACATTGTGGTAGGGGTATATATCGGACACCAAATCTGCCCGCGATCACTTTTTTAGCTAAACTTTCGGTAAATTATAGGAATATTGATGAATTTGGTATCAGTTTGTAAAAAAAAAATTAGTGTTTTACGGGAAATTTACAATTACTTTGTTTTGTCCGTTTTTTTTCCCTCTTTGAAATGTCAAAGTTGGGGTGCGGCCTATGCGGCGCTGCGGCCTTATCACACTACAGTCAATACTCACCGGTCCATTTTCTGATTCAAATCTTGCTACGTTATGGGAAGGCACGCGACAAGAAATGTAGAGTCGACTGCGTGGATGAATGACTATTGTTCCATTACTCCTGACGTCAAGGGGCTGGTCGTTTTGAAAGCTGATCGTAGTGTCTGCATCATCTGAAAAAGAATAATCACAGTAAACAAATTGATCGAAGTAAGAACAACAGTCCACATGCAAAAGCCTACTGCTTACAAGAACCATCATATGCATATACTTACGTTGAGCAATTACCCATCGCATGTACAGGTGCACATGTACTAGATCAAACATAATGAGACTTCTGATTGTATATGACTCAGAGTAAAGAACTCCTATTGGTTTCAACTTTGCACATTTACTTGGATTAAGTTTTAGGATGAATCTTTGAATATAAATCCCTGGAAAATAATGCTTAGTATGTTCAATTGGATCGTTTTGCACTTTTTCTGGGCTAAAAACTCAGTGCATATACGTCTATGGGTATTTTAACTCAGATATATTCTTTAATTTTGACTGTGGATTTGAGTTTGCCGTTCAACGCTCGAACGAGGTGTTTTCTTCCTGAATATTATCATGAATTCACGCATAAGATCGAGTTAGTACACAAGGAGGAGATCATTATGACTGCAAACATTTTTTTAACGTTTTGATGCACATCTTTATTTTTGAACTTAAAAATGGTAGGTTTAAAATGCAGTAATAAGAGTGATTGGGTGCGTTTTTGCGCGAAAAAAATACTGCATTGTCTTGAGTTCTGGAGAGACCCCCCATTTGTTACCCCAAAATGTGGTAAATGTTCCTGACAACCATCCTATTGGGTTGGCATCGCTGTGAATGTAAAAAAGATTTGGGAGAGCCATATAAAGTATTTTCGTGAGTGACCTTGAGCTTGAAAACATAGGGCCTACATGATCTCCATAATGTGGGTATATATGTTTTCTTACCACATCTAGGTTCCTCTCCTGTCCAGCTGCTATCAGAACAGGTTCTATTTGCACTACCACGCAACACGTACTGTCCAGGGAGTGAGCAACGAGACACTAGAAACGTCCCTTCAGGAAGCTCATCATTAGGGTAAGTATCAAGTCTGTTCGTCTCTAGTCCGTTCACATACTGGACAACGTGAGAAATGTATCCAGGGCTAGGACACAACCTTTCAATCCTTACTGTTGTAGTCAGAAGAACAAAAGAATACGCAGGTAAAATTGGCAACAATATGGTGACTTGTATATGGTTGACCGATAAAATGTACTTCTGAAAAATTCTGCGAAGTTCTGAGAGTTCTAACAAAAACATATGACACAATAGTACTTTGTTATGAGTGTGTCACAGAATTATACTAGTGTATGAGGGCAAGCAAGATAGGAATTGAACAACAAATACAAGCAATGTTTACAAACGGGCATTTTGTTATTATGCTGGTCTCCTTATGGTTGCTTGTGTATGCTGGTCTCCTTTTGGTTGCTTGTGTATACACAAGTAACCATAAGGAGACCAGCATAATAACAAAATTTGCTGTAACCTGGCTTACCACATATCGGTACAGCGACTGACCATACTCCTCCCTCTAAACATGCTGTCTGCACTGACGGCTGAGCTGTATAGCCTTGATTACAACTAACAGAAATGGATACACGCTCACCAATGGGCAAACCCTCATCAAAGATATTCCCTATAAAACCTCTTATTGAGTAACGCTGTCCGCTCGATCTGTCTGGGAGCATGCATCGAGGAGGGGCTGTTGGAAAAACATAAATTAAAGATGGCATTACAAACAAGAGAAAGTTCATTGAATTGTGGATTCTACTACCAAGCAACTGTCTGATCCTTGCTCAATCTAAGGACTTTCTTGCGTTCATTCAATCAATCGCATAGCCACGGCATCAGGGTGGCCTTTCAGAGCCCATCAAACACCTTAAAAAGCAGGCTATTTCATCCAAATAATAAATCGATAATAGAAGAAATGACAGGTATTGTCTACAAGATGACATGTACCATTGTGGCAATTCCTATGTTGGAGAAACTGCAAGAACACTTTCAGTGTTGATTGAAACAACACACAAGAGTCCTTATAGATTGAATCCATCTCATTCAGCAGGAGCAGAACATGACCTTAATACTGGACACAAAATCGGAAATGATGATGCCCAATTATATCAACTTTGAAATACACTTCTGGTCAAGAAACATCAAAGATTCTATCTGGATCAAAAGGATTAATCCATCAATCAATAGGGACTCGATCTGGCTATTCACTGCCACCTATCTTAGCGCCCAGTGATCTTGAGGCAGCAGATGGCAAGAAACTGTGTGAAGAATGATTTTGTTTGAGAAAGTCTACAGGAGTGGATGAAATCTCGCCTACTCATTTTTTCATTTGCATGCATGGTAGTAGCTTATTATAGTCACATGATCATTTGTTTTGGGGTAACCAAATTCAGTCAAAAACTATTTTTTCATTAAGCTAGTTGAAAGCCAGTCTATAGTATGGCCATCAACTTGAGCATCATCTTAAATGGCTTCTCCCATAGCAACAATATCCATCATATGCTGTGAAGCTCATCACAGTGCTTCAACATTCTTACCCAGGTCATAACTGAGCAGCCCAAGAAACTAGCACTCAAGCATGTCAGCTAACCATTTAAACCTGGATGGGGAGTGGTAAATGTAGATTAACATCTTGCCAATGGACACTGGTGGTGGGCTTGAATTTGAGCCCCATAAGGCTCTAAAAAAAAAGATGTTGTACTGCCCTTTAGGTGCCAAAACATGGGTCGGTCGGTCAGAATTCTTTTTTTCCCTTTTTTTTCTCTCCCTCTTTGGGCTGATATTTTTCAGTTTTGAATGCTCTAATATTTGTTTTCTCTAAAAAAAACGTTTAAAAAAAACAAGAACAACAAAAATTTAAGCGGACCGTAGATTTCAAAAATTTTGGGCGGTCGCAAAGGGCAATACAACATCTTTTTTTTTTTAGGCCGAACTTGTGATCTTTGGTCTGGTGACATATCCATTAACCCCAAGACGCCTCTACAACCTATCATCTCAGTTGCGATATACATATGTAGCAGATGTTGCAGCTCGTGATTTTATTATAAGACTATAACAACCTGACTAAATTGACTTCTTATTTAATGCAAAGTCCTCAGAATTTTTGTTTACCTGCTACTCTGCATGTTGGCGTAGAACCTGTCCATTGTCCATTGACGCACTCTCTCTCTGTAATCCCTTCGATTTCCCAGCCTTCACTGCAGCTATACCTGACCCTGGTACCCTGCACATATCCTTGTACCCCTGGTAGTATTTCAATGATGCTATAAGAGGCCCTCACTGGATGTCCACATGACACTACATCAAAACAATGTCAACACTGAATTTGAAAGTATGAGGTTATTATATAAAGCCCATACAAATAATGCATCCCGATTCGGACGAATCAAATATAATCACAAGAATAATCACAAGAGGGAGATCTGGCTTGAGGTCATGAAGCAGAAGCCATCACACATCTGCCAGATGGTGTGGAAGGCTTAGGTCAAGGTAGATCGTATATACAGGTAACAACTAAATTATCCATACCCCTTGTAAATTTGAGAGTTTTTTAATTTTTTGTAACTCAAGCATGAAAGGTGTACTGGATGAAATATGGCCTTTGTTAAATACTTTTAGATTTTAATCTAAATTAGCTAAATTTTAATATGTCAAATTCAATGGGACAAATCGATTTGTCACCTAAAATTATCAAATGTGGTAAAGGTATGAAATCTGCAAATCTATGAATTTTGAACAAAGGAAATGCATATGAATCGATGATATACTCAATAAATATGTGTCATAATCCATAGTGTATACAGCTGTACACATAATCAAACATGAAACATGGTTGGATAATTAAGAGACATTTTAAAAGTGATTCTCATTAGAAAATCAATGCAAAATAGACGTGTTGGGGGAGAATTACTTTTAATAAGAGAACATACCCTGAAAATAGTTTTCAGAATATTGATTTAGAGGAATGTTAAGAGTATGTTAACTCTGATACTTAACATAGAAGTTAACATAGTTTTCAAAATACTGTCCCACATTATTACTTGATGTTGATCCAAACTTTAAAAGGCGTAAAAAAAAGTTCTAGATTCAAACCTCAACCACAGGACGAGGACCCTCTTCAAACAATAGACTAAACAACAAAAATTGTCATTACCTAAAATGGCCTAGAGTTAGTCACTTTTGGAATTGTTGTCAGTTTGGTGGTGGGACTGAGATATAAATCTTCGACTACAATGCCATCACCAAAACATATAAATATGGGTTCTAGAAATGTAGGCAATCACTTTGGTCAAATGAAACCACGTGACCATGCTTCAGTCTTTCCTGCCACACATACCAAGCAAAAAAGTTCCCATCAGAAAGTGATGTCCCACCGTTAGAAGTGATAATGCATTCTCTCGGTTGAGTTGTGCATATTGGCTCGAATTCACAAAGGAGGTTTGTCGACAAACCTTGGTTTTTGTGCGTCATATGACGCATTTCGACGCGTTTTTACAAGCCATGTTTGACGTACATAAACCCCCTGTTTGTCGACAAACCTTCTTTGTGAATTCGGGCCAGAGTGTCTTTGGCTCGTACAAAGTTCAGATGTTATGAATGATATGCATGGATACTTTTTCCTATGGCTAGGACAGTGATGCACGCATTATACTGTTTGACTGTGCGCTTAAGACTTATTTTATCAAACAAATAATTCATGTTTTGAAGCTTGTGCATTTAATAGTGATATACATTGCATTTGGTCGAGTCATTATCTGATTATGACTAAACCTGCATGCAGTACATATTCACTAATGCACTTGCAAATGGAAGGTCTTTTTACAATGTATATTAAGCTTCATCATAACGCAGGTCCATACCCCTTCCATTCTCTAGTTTCATTTTATATTATATATATATATATATATATATATATATATCGCATATGAAGATTCTAGGCCTCTGACTGGACAAACAAAACTGCATTCATGAAATTAACTTCTGACTGCTGAGCAGTAAAGTGACAAATAGTGACCGGGCATAGTCCTATTAGCTTGCTCATACAATGCAAGGACACAATGGTTGCGTATGAAGTTAAAGTTGATACTCTAAGACAATCCCAAATACTGAGATAATTACATAAATAGAAAGCTTTTAACCTCCATAATAACATCAAATGGTGTCCACCCGACAAAACAAGTTTAGAATAATGAATTTATTCGAGTAAACTCTACCAAAATATCTAAGTCTGAAACCCGGAAGTGCACGTAGAGTCGGGCCTCTATCCGTGACGTCACGAACGGGAGTCATGGGCTCAGTGAGAGTGAATGGCAGTGATATCCCTACGTAAATGCTATCCTGTCAGAGCTTAGATTTGTTGTTGTTACGGAGTATATTTGATGGATTTTCTGTTTTCATTTGAATAAAGAATAACGAAGCAACATTTTCCAGTCGCTGATTTCTTTTTATATCCTCATATTCACCTATTTGGTAGAGATTTAAGACGAGTTTACTGCTTAGGAATTAAAGTTAAATCGTGCACTTATGAATAGGCAGATCATTATATTGTCATCAGATGTACATGAGCAGTTTTGTAAACGAATATGTCTAGAACTATGATAGTACTTATCATAGATGTGTGTGACTGCCTCAAAAAGGATACAGTACCAGTTAAACATTTAATGTTGTAAAATATCAAACTTGAACGAGATCATGCAAGCGCGCTTCCTCTATAATATTTTGGCGAGTGATGCGGCTCTTGCATGAACGTTCGTGGAGCGAGCAGAATCGGGAGGTAAGACCAAGCCGCTGCTCTAGGCGCTGCTTGCTTGTGATGGAACGTACGTGCGCTAGTTATATGTTTATCGGCAATTGCAAGAGAATGAAAGCGACGTTGCCAGCTAAGAAAAACAACTAACAAAGACTTGCTCCTGACAACCGGTGTCAGAATTGGTAGATGAAGGATGTTCAGGGCCAAGGAAGGCGAAAGACATGGGAAAAAGGAAGAAGAAACCATCGGGAGATCGCTGTAGTGTATGGTAATGAACTGTGCATGGGTAGACAGCTACTGTTTACTCCGTGCCTGGGCCGATTTCAACACCAAAACAAAAATTACATGGTGAAAATATCGACTAATAGCACATCGTTGGCATGTATATGTCATAATTTTTAAAAGGGGAATTGATATTAATACTATGAAGTACTAGGGGAAGGTAAAGAATTGTACATAGAATTATGATTTATTAGACTTTTCAGCCTTTGAAACAAAAATATGCAGAAAATCGTATCACTCTGCACATGTTTGCTATGGAACATCCGGGTACGTGAATATACTCTCTCCCGGACGTGAGGTCATAAATAGTAGACCAGCGTCGTGACTGATTTTCTATGCAAAGAGAGGCGGATATTTTAGACATTTCAATTGAGGATGTCGAGTAGACAGAATTTTTTGTGATATACTAAGTAATTGAAAAACTTAAAAATAACATATACTTGCCGTAGGTAACAAATTAAGGGACATTTATTTGCTTAGAGTATCAACTTTAACAATTATGGGACACGCACATTGCTCTTAGAAGGGTACATTTTTTAATAGACATTTTTCTTAGGCAAATAAATGAATTTTGACAGGCATATTTTGTTTAAATATATCTTTTTGAGAACTGACACAGGGGATGCATTATATTCATCGACTGCTTTATTTTTTGGTTGACAGTTTAAAGTATAACTCCTCTGTGATCTTGTGACTGCACTATGCTGTAGAGTACAGTTTCAAGATCAACTTAGGCAATAGTTTTAACCATGCCCCTAAAAGCAGTCAATAGTTGTGTCATTGATAGTGATCATTTTCTCTCACTCCTTACCTCTCTGACATGTTGCCGTTAAGGGTGTGCTCCAGCCACCTCTATAGCATCTTAGCTGTTCTTGGTTCCTACTAAGCTGAAACCCGTATTCACATGAGACATCGAGCAACGTACCATGAGGAAAGTGAGGTTGTGATTGTGAAGATACCATATGATCCGGAAGGTCTGGAGCATGGCAAGATGCTATTCAGGAGAAGTCATGGAGCATAAAATAAGAACAAGAAACATAAATACAATGGAAGAAAACGTATGCCTGACATTTGGTACTTCCATGCACATATAATAAAATCAAATTAGCATAATACAGCATTATAAAAAAATTCAATGACATTGTACAAGATTTAAAATGTATTGAATAATCAATATCAATAATAAAGCCGGAAGAGTGAGCAAGAAAACAAATATAATTACTTGCTGAGAGACAAAATGGATAGAATTATAGAAAGAAAATATGAAAAGGAAATAAGCAGTGAGAGACAGAGAGAGATGGTTTGATTGATTTTTTGGGTGTTTCAAAATGGTTTTCATAAAAATTATTACGCTTTATATACCTCACTTAAGAAATCCAGCCATCTGATTGGTCGAAATTGCAGTCATGGTTTTAGCCATTCCCGTAAATAAACGAAAAATGCCTCGCCCATTTAATAGTTCAAGGGTAAAATTCAAGTTACCGGGAATAGTCCAGTCTTGCTGAAATACAGAGCAATCGCAGATACCATACATATGTGTACGTGTGCGAAGATTTGGTCGCTAGCGCTAGCTTAATTAACCAATTGTTAATACAGCACAGCGCAGACAACCGTAGGCCTACGGCAATCTCGATCGTACTGTATTCCAAACAAGGCAAAAATGGCTGAAGGAACTCTCCCAAGATTTCAACTTCTTGATGATGATCAAATGCAAGACTTTGTTCATTCTGAAGAACACCAAAAGGGTACGTGAAATTTTCCATAAAAATATTGTGTGCTAAAAACCTTCCCATTGAGATTGCACACATCTCTAGATCTAGATCTATGCAGTCCAAGTGCATTGCGCACTCATGCTAAATTTGTCGATGTTTTAATTACCAAAATGAGATTCAAACCAATATTGCTCGTGATCCTGAAGGTGATACTCAATAAGTGAGGTGTCATATAGAAGAGCAGGTTTTTCATCATATTCCCCACAGGGGCCCACCCCCCCCAAAAAATTTTAAAAATAGCTTGCTTAGAATCAGACTAGAAATAAACTCTCAAAGATACACTCATAAAAAACAACCGTGCAGATAAACTAGAGAAAGGCCAAGGTGGTGTCATAAGTTGACACTTTTTTTTGGCATATAAAAGTATTAATGACTGCTTTAATAATCGAGAAATAGTTGTTTTTATACGCTCTCGGGAAGGTTACAATTGTGCTAATGCCCTCGGCATGCCTTGGGCATTAGCACAATTGTAACCTTCCCTTGAGCGTATAAAACAACTATTTCTCTCAAAGTAGTCATTAATACTATAATATTTCTGAAAATTTCAAGGACTGAGTTATTTGCAAAGTTTCAAAGATGATTATTGTTAACAGAGGATTTTGACATGTATGTACAGAGTGTGTATACCTCTTCTGCTACAATTTTCTGCTTAGCAAATGTCATTTATAGAGTTTTTTAGTGTTTTTTCTTCTTTCTCAGCTTTCCATGCTTTCTTGCACAATATGACGTGATTTGATGTTGTGTCATTTACAACCTATCAAAAATAATTTGGAACCCTCAGGTATTACTCTAATTATCTTGTATTACAATTAACATTTCATTTGGTGTTACAGTGAAATCTGTATTAAAAGACTGCTCAAGGGGAACATGAAAAGTGGTCTTTATATAGGCAAGTGGTTGCTAAAGCAGGTTTGACTGTTAAAGAAAGCTTTTTACTTCCAATTGGAGTTTGGTACAATGGAACAGAGGATCCGAGTCCAATGTGATATTCTTCAAAATCTTTTGCTTTTGTATATTCTCTAGATATTGTATTCAGTGACATGCAAGAGGCTGTGGTTTTGAAGAAAAAGGGATATAATGTAATGCAGATTAGCACATGCATACATAAATAACATAGAAGTATTACCTTGAATACACCTTGGATTGCCTGGGACTGTAATTCTCCTATCACACCAATACCTATCATGTTCTTTCTCATAGCCAGGATTACAAGTGAAAGTGATGTTTTCACCGTGGTTGTATAAGATTTTACCATTTAGAAAACCACCATTAAATAGGCGATCAACAGTGCACGTTTCTGAAAAGATAAGTCATCAAAGTACTACTGTCTTAGGAAAATCAATCAATCTTAGTTAAATACACGGTAGGAATAAATTCCCTTGAATGCTTCAGCACTTTTTCATGGTAGCTCGGCTAAAGCTGGGGTAATAATATTATGACAGGGCCTCAGGGAGAACATTCTGATGAGGCTTCCATTGGTAAACAAGACATATTATTATTATTATCATTGATAGATTGCTTAATTATATATAGATAGATGATCATACAAACTTACATGTCATACATGTACCCCTAGATAAAGCTTGGCAACAACTTACTTGTCAAAAGAGCATTAACTCTGTTTAAAATGATGTGAGTTAAACACCCTTCTGGCTCCAAACAAATGATATTTTAAGAGGTAACATCCAATATTGAAAGTCATTAATTTAATCATAATAATTTTTGGGATAGAACAAAGTCTCACATACCAGTCATTAACATTCTCAGATAATGTTTTTATTCACAAAGATGGATAAAGGTGTTGTGGTTCAATGTTTAAGTCTCCTGACAGTAAAGCACAAGGTATGGGGTTCAAATCCCTGTTGCAGCTGTTACACTACTCTACTATAACCCCACTGTACAGCTAACACAATCCTAGAATGGGGAGGGATCAAGGCCTAGCTGTTTCATAAAACTTGTTATCAGTAACAAATGCTAAAATTCTATGACAAATTAGCTCTCAGGCAATTAGATGCCACAATTTCAGTAGCTCATAACAGTTATTGTAACTTTAGAATACTCACCTGGCTCACATACGGGTTTATCTTGGTCCCAGGATGAATCACCGAGACAGGTAAGATCAACATGTCTAGTGTCCGAGCCTCTGAGGACGTGACGGGCGTGACATGAAATTCTGACCTCCTCACCTTCCAATAGAACCTGCTGTGTGGCAACATTAGTGCTTAAGACCACAGCATTCTCCACACGAGGGACAACACATCCCACCCGCATTCCATTCTCGGCACCATTCACTGAAAAAGATTCAAACAATTCATCCTCTCCGGAGGTGTACTGGCTGATGTGATGGAACAACGGATTAGTTCAAATCTTATTCAAATAGATATAAACTAAAGTAGTCTACTAAACTCATCTACTTTAACACAGGTTGACTACTGAATTCTCTCAGTTCCATTGACTTAATACAGGAGCTGACCGTTTCCCGTAGTCAATAGATTAAGATGCTTTTGAGTCGTGACAGAGGAATTCATATTGTATTTGATTTTCACTATTTCACTAAAAAGTTGCAATGTGTAGCATATGTCAATGTCCTAAATGGTATTACTTCAACATCGTTGTCTACAAGAGTTCATTACTAGAGAATTAGAGAAAGAAGCATACCCTATGTAAAAATGACAATATGTATCCGTGCTAAAACATGTCGAAAATAAGAACCTTTGAACTTTGACCTTGTTCACTTAAAATATAATCACTCCATCTTTACATGCTTTAATCCAAGTTTAAAGGTTCTAAAAGTTTTCTGTTTGATTCAAAAGTGGGATGGACGGATGAACAGACAGACAGACAGACAAACACTCCTGAAAACTCCACCACCATGATGGTAGAGGCATTTAAAAAAGGACTTGGCCGCAGTTATCCATTTTTTCAGACAGTTATTCTTTTGGTTATGTACATGCATGCTCACAACAGGTCATGCAGAGTTGCAGACCCGCTACCGTAACCTGGCATACAAAAGATTAAATAAACACTTCATCTAATTATCTACTGCACCATAATAATAATTGCAATATTATTCTGGGTTTATGTAGCACTTAATGCATTGACAATGGCTTAAAGCACTTTACAGATATATCAATTTATTAATTAATACCGTGGGATGAGAAAGTTCATGTGGTTGGATGAGCAAGTGTGCGCTTATGAAATAGCGACTGGCTGGAATGCTCCCCAGGGAGTGGAACATGTGCATACATTGTGTATGGGTAAGCCTGAATTCGATGACCGGGGTAATAATATATCTGTAAAGCGCTTGGGACATCGTTGGATCGATGTATTGAGCGCTATATAAACACAGAATATTATTATTATTATATCAGTTATTCAAATAACCAAACAAAGCCTACCTGATATAGATAGTCCTTGTTGATAGGCCTCAACTTCGCACAGACTGAGTTCTCGCTTCTGGTTATTTATTGTTGGAATGTGCACACTGATGACATTACCGATGACACCGGTGACACCTTCTCCAACACATCTTATGGGGATCCCATGGCTTGCCTCGGTACTACTCTCAATTTGGCGTCGGGTGACTGGCTCTCCGCACAACATGTTTGTGGTGTAATAGTCATTCAATCCAACTCTTATTTCTGCACCCACCAGATCATATCCTACAATTCAAAATATTTTGGTGTAGATTTATTAGTTATAAACCCTGTTCAACTGAAAGTACTACTTTTGAAAGCAGTGTTTGAAGTTCTGCTGCATTTGTAAGCAATGCAAGTAAAGTTTTCATTAAATTCAAAGGGGTGTTTTTCCGTGACATGACCAACGGTTCTTTCATGACCCCAAAAGGCTTAATACATGAGGCTGATGAGTATTCTTTCTTGCATTGAAGAACAATACCTCATTATAATAACATACACATGGAATGACCAACATAGATTCTGTACATAAGAAAATAAAATATCATTTAGGCTTAACATTTTGAAAAAATTATGACTTTTAAACATAGAATAGCCCTGGGTGGTATTCTTAGCTTGATTTAATCTATATAAGATAATCATTATTCTGAGACCACATTTTATCTCAGATTTATTCTTGAATTTGATCTCAATCTCTTACTCCTTGCGTGCCCATTACAGTTATATCTGTATGGTACGCATGACCAATGCTAACACCCATCTTATATCTCTGAAACTCAGTAAGTGCAGTATATTTTAAAGTTATGCTGCTTGTTGTGTGATAAATAGAAACAAAAAACACTGACTACAGATTACATTTCTCAATTAACTAACTATAAGGTTTTCAACTTGTTTTTCAAGATTCTTTGCTGATTAATATCATACTGTACTTGTAATGGTGTTCAAAAGCCTTAGAAACTACCTCGGTTATTTTCAAGGAAATTTTATCGGAAGAGCATTTGAGGCATGCATAGTAAAAACTGTAAAAATCATGCTTTCGATTAGGCTCTCTTGCCCAAGAGTAACAGAACGTCATTCCAATGGCTGAACATGAAGAGAGTGAAATCTAACAAAATTTCTTATTGGTTATCACATCACAAATGGTTGTGTCTTAAAATCTTGCTAAAATGATATTCAGAATAATGATTTTTAAATATTTTAAGGGTATATAATTATCTCAATGAGATAAATCGCACATTCTATTTGAGATAAAATGAATCTCAGAATACCACACAGAGGTGTATTTCACTGAGGAAATTAACAAATTTACTTTAAAATTCACAATATCATTTTTTTTACAAGCAGGTCTGAAAGAAATGAAGCAACATTTAATTAACTATTTAGTGTTTCTAAGCTATACTCCAACACGTGCAATTACATCTCTACCATAGCCTATGATAATACGAGCATAGGAAAATGCAAACAAAATGTTGCCAGAAACTTAAAAGGCTAGAATTTTATGGGCTATTCTGCATGTGCACATAATGAGCATATTCATTGAATCTGTATAACATATGTATTTCTAACATTATCAATACGATTGCCACACTTGTTAATAAATGACGAGGGTCATCTACTCACTGTGTTCTTCCCTGTCAAGACGATTGTAAATTTTCACACCGGTGAAATTATAGATATCCTTCATGACAGCCTTCCACCATGGATTATTAGTCACCTCTACAATGAAGGAAAAAGGAATGAAAACAAGAGTAGACAGCAAATTAATACAGAAAGGTAAGGTTTGATATAAACAGATGTGTAGATTCCAAGAGCTCTTTGGATAGCAGAGCAGTGCAAGAATGGAATACCATTTTAATAAATTCTAATAAATAACTAGACAAAGAAATGAATGAACAAATAAAATGAACAAACAAAATTAACAAAAAAATGAATACATAAGTTATTCAATTTATCAATAAATGAATGAATAAACATAATTACAAAAATAATCATAAAAATATGAATAAAAAATTAAAAAATATATCAATGAACTACTGAATTGAATAATAAGCAAATCAATAGATGCATTTACGTAAAAGAACTTGAATTTTTGTGGCACATATAAATACGACAATGTAGCTGTAAGCACCTAACAAATTCAAGCCAGTCTACATCTTACAGGCATGTACAATGTTGACCGTATCCCCATAGACTCAAGTTCCAATCAGAATGGATACCAAATATCTGGGTGGATAGAAGCAATAAATGCCTTTCTTCCGTCGGATCGAACCCCTTTTGACTATTTGGATCATAAATTCAGATATGATTTGAGCGGTGGGATGTGCAAATTAGCTGAGACATCAGAAATTTATCTGCGGTTTGATAAGTGCAAAAATCAGCGCTGAACATGAAATTTTTCGAAAAATAAAGTGTTTCACAGGAAAGTGTGTCATAAAATAGAACACTAGAGGTATTTTTTTTTTACCCCTTCAACTTTCACCTACACTTTGCAGTACCATTTTATGTCCATAGAAGTGCATGTAGGAATAATTGTTCTCAGCCACTGATGCTATACTTACGTGTTCTTGAGCAATACTGCGGAGCACTGTTGGTATTACCGTCCCTGGCCAACCATGCATTGGCTATCATTCTCTTAGGTGGTGTTTGAGAGACATATGTATGTGAGTCTAGGATGATGTTACGTGCTAAAGAAGAATAGGACATCAATGAGTTTTTTTTAATGTGCAACAAATCAATACATTGAGATGTTCTCTGTACCTTCCTATGGTAACTGAGTATTCTAAATTGAAAATTTCAGTATTCAGTATTTCAAGTCATGTGGCAGTCTTTAATCTTATTTACTTTCATTACATTTATCCTATATAATTTCATTCTATCATCTCTTTTCCTTTCTTTATGTCTACTTCATACCTGCCAACATTTGAAATAAGAATTAAGAATTTTTAGCACGGTATGCCTTCGAAAATAAGAAATCGCACTTGCAGCGGCAGTTTAACTGGCGATACGCGGTAAATCTGTACCAAAAAGCAAATAAAAATTTGCTGCTCGATCATGCAGCCATTCAATGCAAACAATACGTGAACTCTCAAATCGCAGCACATTATAAAACAAGTTTAACTTGGCTTTAGCACAAAATAAATAAATAAAATATTTATTACAAAAAAAAATTAAATTAAATTAAAAAAATTTATTTAAAATAAAAAAAAAAAATTAAAAAAAAAAAAAAAAAAAAAAAAAAAAAAAAAAAAATTGTAAATTCAGAATATTCCGGATTTTCAGGTCCTAGAAATCCCCCAAAACGGAATTTTCTGGATTATTCGGAAGGGTTGGCAGGTATGCTCCTTACACAATGTACCTCCTAACATCCCAAAAGCTAGTTGTTTTGACAAAAGAAGAAATCAGTAGCCTTTCAAAAATGCTACAATATGGTATTACCAAAATCCTCGATTGTGAAAGCAACACCCCAATTTCATTGGTCTCACATGTTCAGAAAGAATCTCATAATGTAGAGCTATATTTTGAACAGGATATTTGTACTGTAGCATGTATGAAAGCATCATATCTTCCCATCTATCTATTTGTATGCCTCTACCATTAAATTCCATTCTACACATTCAATCTCCATCACCATTCCCTTAACCTGCGTTCATGCTATGTTCACTCTCCCCAACTTTAGTCTCTTTTATTCCTCCTGTCTTTTTCATCCTTTGGTTCAGTAGATTAGTTCTTTTCAGCATCATTGGTAATAAAGCCTTCATTGAATATTCATAGCAGCTCATTTATATACACAGAAATCTATTTATATTCATGCCCTCCTTTTATTTACAAGTTCTGTTATTTGAATATTTATTATATAGAGTTGTCATACAAATGACATACAAAAGATATATGCAAAATAAACCCCAGAGATTGCAAGATTACATAATCCCAGGCAGCTCCCAACAGGCAAGCATGGGGTGAAGATGTGTTTGTTGTCCTCTGCAAGTTAGAACAAGGACTTTTAAGAGCCACGTCGTGCCTTAGCTGCATATAAAGGCCACCCTATACTAATCTTATATCCCTTTTTTATTGCTTTATTGTTTTTTATGCATGAAGCATCTTGATAAAGTCATATGATATTCTTACATTGTGTGCACGTAGGAATAACTGTCAGCCACTGTGACGCATTGCAGACTGCAGTTCCATTACCATATGCAGGAAGGTATCCCGAATCACAGTTGACAGTTACCTCTGTTCCATAGCTGTATTTCCCATTTGCCTGAGCTGTTCCGGTGTAGTCAACACGACCCATTGTGTCTGGGATAGGGTCGCACGGCTCTAAAAGAGTTTGAGCACACCACAGGTAAAAACATAGTGTTATTGGGAAAGTCACAGGAGTTTGTTTACGCAATGAATTCGTTCATGTCAAAACTGCTTAATTGTTTGGATTATATATGATACTAGCAGGACCCGCGGAAATCCGCGGGATTCTAGAGGGGGAGGGCGGTGTAAATAGATATATAGAGAATGTCTAAATTAAAACCACCAAGAACGTTATTTGCCATTCAAGCCATTAAAAAATATACATGTTTAGCGTCCCCGCCCGCTTCCTTTTTGGGGGCCGCCTCCTATTTTTTTTTTTTTTTTTTTTTTTTTTAAAGAAAAAAAACATCGTCCCCGCCTGCTTTCTTTTTGGGGGCCGCCTCCTATTTTTTTTTTTTTTTTTTTTTATTTATTTTTTAAAATTTTTTTTGAAAGAAAAAAAACATGAAAAGCACTGCTAAAATGTATTTTTGATTTTAAAAAAGAAAAAAAAAAAAATTGTCGGCCGCCATCTTGAAAAATAGCCCGAATGCTAGGGAAAATGTACGGAGCGGCCATTTTGAAAGAAAGAAAAAAAAAAAAAGCGCCTCCTCCTTCCCATTTTTCAAAAAAACAGGACGCTATAAGCATGTATTTTTTTAATTTGGCCTTACATTAAATTTAAAAAAACAATCCAACTGTACCGGTAGTTATTCTTTAAGCCACTGGAACTGCGTAGAGTTCCGTAGTGTGGCGTACCGACTACGCAGAAATTAGGCTGCGTATTAATGGGAAAATAGTCCCTGCGTAGGTTATGCGTAGGCTGGCGTACAGGTTTGCTTATGGTTGCTTACTGTGTGGAAAGCTTTTACTGCTTAGTCGATCTGGCGTAGGGTAGCGTACTGTTGCGTAGGCATGTAGCGTAGTGTTGCGTAAAAAGGCGTACTTTCTGCGTCAAGTTTCTACGCCGAAAGTACGCAAAAAAAATTAAACATGTTGAATTGTTTTCGTTCACCTTGCGTACCCCTTTCCGTCCCTCAGCATAAAGTGACGTAGGCCAGCGTAGTTGGTACGCAACACTACGCAACTCTACGTATTGACCCCAAGCCAATTAGTGACCCGCAAGTGTCACAAATAAAGTATTAAAAATATGCTCATCTGACCCTAATTAAACGCCTAAAACCCCCGAGCTTTTGGGGGTTTATGGCCCCTTGAAACCTGTGGACCCCACGCCTATTTTATATATACACTCAACTCGCTGCGATCTGATCTCTCCCCCCCCCCCCCAACTTTGAAGAACGTAACCTCCATGCTTTTGGGGGTTTATGGCCCCTTGAAACCCGTGGACCCCACGCCTATATTATATATACACGCAACTCAGGACCCGTGGAAATCCGCGGGATTCTAGAGGGGGGCGCAGGCAAAAAATTAAGTTTTTCATTTCGGGGGCTCCATTTCAAATTTTAGGGAAATTCTCGGGGGCTCTTTTTTCTGGGGCTACTTTTTCATTAATTCATATAAGGATAGGCCTACACTTTGTTGAGATTTGTTTAGTAGGCTATTAGGTTTCAGGCTTCCTTCTTCATAATTGCCTATTTAAAAAAACAAAACATTTTTCTAGTTCAATAACTAAGTTTTCATGCATTGATTTGATGCAAGAACTTTAACATAATAGAACCTAGATTGTGAATATTTCTGACCATTAATTTCGATAATCATTTTTCAAAGTAAAATTTTCACAAGAAAATCTGACAGTCGTTTAAAAACGTAGACATTAGTAATACTTTTACTAATTCTAAGCTCAGGTTTCGTTAATCTATTCACGAAACTATATTAAAATCGCGGCAATAATGATGCAAACCAACAGATAACAATTTCAAAGTGTCAAATCTCTTCGACTCAAGCTTAGGTGAACTCACACACACTGCAGCGTAACTCCTTAAGCTCAACACCGGCGCCGCAGGCGTCGGACGCCTACGGTGCGCGGTGTTGGAGCTTACTGCAAGCTCATCGCAACTCACACACACTACACATCAGTACTGCACTTTGTGTTGACTGAAGGCAGCTTGCGACGGAACTGTCAGTCCAATGGTTTTCTTGGGAAAACTTTCTTTTAGAAAATGATAATCAAATTTTAGTATACATTGCCGTAATAATCACAAAATAAGCTTTCATTTCATACCTACATTCACGAAAACTATATACAAATCGCGGCAATAATGATGGAAATAGGTCTCTAAGTTTGGACGTGGACGGGAAGCTTCGTGTGTATCTCTGTGGCTTGTGCCCGACCCTGTGCATAGTGCATTTAATACGCAACTTAATGTGAGTGGATGGTCATCGGTCGTGTGTCTACGGATGTCATGTTGAATATCCATGAGGTATCTCTGTCGTCACGCATATCCTGCATTATGCATGTCGCGTCTGTTTTCGCCCTGGACGTCGACACGGAGGAGGACCTCGGGCGGAGTATAGCCAATTCGCTAGAGTAGACTCTCCCGCGGACGATGGCACCGGGCACGGGTACCCCGAGGGGAGGGTTCAGGAGGAGATAGCCGCACCAACTTGGGTCGGCGATCTCATTAAAAAACAATAGAATACAAAGGCTCGCCGAGACGTCGCGCCCCCCGCGGAGCCTTAGCGTATTATTATTATAGACAATGTAACATGGTTGAATAAATCAGGCGACTACCGGTAATACATTTGTAAACTATTCATACTTAGACCAAACAAGGATATAAGTCCATTTTGGTACAACTATTTCACATGAATATCTTCTAGGTATGACCCATAATATTTCTCACATGAATTGTTCGGTTTTCAATTAATTTCTGACAATACCTCTGAACATTCATTTGTCATGACTATAATGGGACTAGAACAGAAAATTTGGACATACTTGGATCACAGCGGATATCATGACTGCCTTCGACCCATACTCCATTATCACATCGACTCATACTGAAGCTTCTTGATCTGTAACCTGAACCGCATCGAAGGAGCCGGGTGTCTCCATGAAGTGGGTTTTCATGATGAACTCCATCAGGGGTTGTGTAAGTTAATCTCCCATGGGATACATCTTCCGCTGGGCATGGGACTACAGTCAGTAACAAACAAAACACCGGACCCAAAGCTTTTAAATATACAGTGTGTCCAAGCACCTCATTCCATTGTTTATATTCAATAATGCATGAATCATGAATAATAAGTTGTGCATCAAATGAAAGAAGAGAAGCAGAGCTTTTCATACAAGTATATCTCATCAAGGAAATTATTCATTATGATTGAAAATTCCTGCCATGAAATTCGGTTTCGTCTTTTCTGGGACCCACTGTGTAGCATGAAAAAACAATGTCATCATCTGGTGTAATGGGTACTTTTCACTGACATGCAGAATTACCTGCTTAATCAACAAGACCTGAGACTTAACTCTCCATTGGAAAGAAGAAGTAATTGGGATGAAATTGACTAATAAAACAATAAGATTATTCTCTGGATGTACAGTGTCATAGAACAGATGTTTTATACAGTGGTTTATAATGTGTTGAATGCAGTATGATTACGGAATAATATTATCATAAAGTGGGGGGGGGGGGTATTTTGCAAGGGGGAAGGGGTTGAGTGGGGTGGAAGCCAGAAGGTGGAAAGGTGGGGAAGAATTAAGGGTTACATCTTCCCTTTGGTACTCCCATATATTATTCCTCTGTTTTGTGCGAGGAATCATTGCAGCAAACCTGTCAAGAAGCATGTTTAGCACGATACTCATAAAGTAGGAATACTGGAAGATTATGCACGTTTGATCTTATACACAATTTTGGTGGAGGTGTCATGGTCTGGTGAATACAGCACCAAACTGTGAATCATGTGGTTTGCGGTTCGAGTCCGGCTGCAGCACTCATGTCCATTGGAAAGACATACATCAACCTACTTTTGCTACTCTCTAGAACCCAGATGATGTAAATTGGTACCCAGTAGGAAGAAATTCCTTGAATGCCAGAGCGCCTTATAAGGGCAATTCGGTTAATGTTAAATTTAGGTATAAATGAAACAGTGTTTAAAAACATGAAGTACTAAGTACTGTATAAATGTTGATATTATCATTATTATTATTGTTATCATTATCATTTTTATTATTACTAATATTATTATCACAAATATTTATCATTTTTTTTAAATTATATTTCTTCTAATAGATTCTGACTCTCTTTCCTTTTACAATGAAAAGACATGCCATCCTAACCATTACTTTGTTTAATATCGTAACTAGAGAATGTCCTCCCTCAAAGCCAAAATGTACAACAATAATGAAAGAAGGATTTCGCATGATGTATAATCACTATAAGTAATACGCTAAGACTCCGCGGGGGGCATGACGTCTCCGCGAGCCTTTGTATTCTATTGTTTTTTAATGAGATCGCCGACCGAAGTTGGTGCAGCTATCTCCTCCTGAACCCTCCCCTCGGGGTACCGGTGACCGCTGCCATCGCCCGCGGGAGAGTCTACTCTGTGGAATTAGCTATACTCCGCCCCAGGTCCTCCTCCGTGTCGACGTCCAGGGCGAAAATAGACGCGATATGCATAATGCATGATATACGTGACGACAGAGATACCTCATGCATATTCAACATTACATCCGTATCAAAGAGACACACAACAGATGACCAACAACTCACATTATGTTGTGTATTAAATGCTCTATGCAAAGGGCGGGATTACCGAGAGTAAAGTGTCTTGCTATAGGATGTGCTTTGTAGTAGCGCTGCACAAGCCAGAGAGATACACGGGGCTTCCCGTCGACGTCCAAACTTTAATAGAGACCTATTTCCATCATGATTGCCGCGATTTGTATATAGTTTTCGTGAATGGAGTTATGAGATCAAAGCTTATATTTTTATTATTACGGCCATGTTTACTGAATTTTGATTATCATTTTCTAAAGGAAAGTTTTCACAAGAAAATCATCGGACTGACAGTTCAGTCACAAGCTGCCTTCAGTCAACACACATACAGTACACACAGTGCTGCTGCGCTGTGTCGGCCGTGCCGGGACTTTGGCTGAGTGAGGTAGAGTCGAAGAGTATGGGGGGCCAAGCAGGCCAATATTTGTACAACTATACAATTACACATACGTCTATCCATCCATGGAAGAACCCGTCAACACAACAGCGTACAGGCCGAAGTGCCATAATTTTGTACACCTATACAGCTATAAAACTATACGACTCTACGTCTACTCAGCCATTGGAGACTAATATTGTCTTATATCTACAGTAAATTACAAGAAAACTTAAACAAGGTTATGAATTGTACATTTACATTAATAGTTCAATATCAACCAGACAGAAGTATGTGACTTCATGCATTGCAAAACAGTCAGTTGCGTAATGAGTAAAATCGTTTCAGGGGGGGGGAGGAGGGGGAGTGCTGAAAAAAATCTGCATCACCATGCACCATTCTTACATGTTACATGCAGACTCCAAGAAACGTTTTTCAAAGGGTGGGGGGGGGGGGATCAGTTAGATCGCAGCGAGTTGAGTGTTTATAGGCGTGGGGTCCACGGGTTTCAAGGGGCCATAAACCCCCGAAAGCTCACAGGTTTTAGGCATTTAATTAGGGTCAGATGAGCATATTTTTAATACTTTATTTGTGACCCTGGCAGGTCACTAATTGGCATGGGGTACATACGTAGATTTGCGTAGTGCTGCATACCAACTACGCTGGCCTACGTTACTACATGCTGATGGACGCAAACAATTCAACATGTTTAATTTTTTTCCGCGTACTTTCGGCGTAGAAACTTGACGCAGAAAGTACGCCTTTTCACGCAACACTACGCTACTGTACGCCATGCCTACGCAACAGTACGCTACCCTATGCCAGATCGACAAAGCAGTAAAAGCTTTCCACACAGTAAGCAACCGTAAGCAACCATAAGCAAACATGTACACTAGCCTATGCATAACCTACGCAGGGACTACAAGTAACATTTTTCCATTAATACGCAGCCTAATTTCTGCATAGTCAGTACGCCACACTACGCAACTCTACGCAGTTCCAGTGTGATAGAGGCTTAAAGAATAACTACCGGTAGAGTTGGATCGGGTTTTTAAAAAAAATAAATGGCAAATAAAGTTCTTGGTGGTTTTAATTTAGAGAGTCTCTATCATGGGCGTCAATCCTTACGTAATACCTATTGTTCAGGGGGGATGAATGAATAGATCCTCCCCCTGAACAATAGTTATTACGTAAGGATTGACGCCCATGGTCTCTATATATCTATTTACACCCCCGCCCCCTCTAGAATCCCGCGGATTTCCGCAGGTCCTGCTAGTCAAGTTATAATCAAGTTATCTTCTATATCTTACCTAGCTCGCATCTGGGGATATTATGGTTATAGCTGCCTTCCTCGCATCTTCTCTCAGTCACCCCTCGCAGGCGATAGCCCCATGCACAGTCATAATGTACTCTGGTGTCATGTTGAATAAGGTGGTTGAGCCGATCTTCATTAGAGACGGGTGGATCGTATGTTATGTTCAACGCCACATCACTGGACCACCTCACTTCGCATGGAGCTATGGAAAACAATAAAATAAACTATAACAACATGAATATTGATATAACATTATTTGTTTAAAACTGGATGATGAATTGTTGAAATAAGATAAAAAGCTGTTTGTGGCTTGGTCGAGACATGTCGTGTTAGTAGACCATGTAGTCCTGTCTGTACTGTATTGCGAGGCAGGGCATTGGCATTGCGTTGCAATGTTGTTGTGATTGCCAAGCGGTACGTCAGCTTCTCCGTACTGTATGTACGCGTTCACCAAAGAGCGAAATCGAGGGCAGTCTGTTTGAGACTGCCGAAGTGTCCCTTTCATTACAGCTACCCAATAAAACTAAAAATTTGTTTTTTCAAAAACTGTCTCGAATCCCGCATCCATTACACATACCAGTTTACCAATTTGAGATTAGAGAGGTATAAATGTCATTTATAGAAACAGAAAGATATACAGCTAAAATAGAGAGAGAGAGAGAGAGGAACAGAAAGAGGGAGAGAGAGAGAAAGATATTTCCTGTTTGAAGTACATGATAGCTGGTAAATATGTAGCAGTCAAGTGAAGAAAACTTACTTCCTCGACAAAGGCGATGTACTTCATCACTATCAGACCACACTCCATCATTACATTTCACACTGCTTCGTCTCTCATCGAATCGCCAGTTACATCCCAACTGCAGTCTTGTATTGTGGGGTACACTTGTTCCTTGTGGATATTCATTAGCATTTTGCCACCAACCATCTCTTGGATAAGGAGGAACAATGCAAGATCCTGAAAGAACAAAAAAAATGTCATCAAAGGATTTGATACAGTAATTTAAGATTCTTCAGTGCCTTTCTAGTCACAAGTTATTCACCAGAGAGCTTGTCGAGGTGTCGTGGTAGAGTGGATTTGTCACCGGACTGTCGATCACAAGGTCCGCGGTTCGAATCCTGCCGCGGCACTAATAACCTTTGGCAAGACATTGATCTACATTTGCCACACTCAACCCAGGTGATGTAAATGGGACCTATGGCAGGAATTAATTCCTTGAAATGCTAGAGCACCGTAATGGCAGCCGTGCTAAAGCCAGGGAAATAATTGGGAGCACATGCATGAGCGCTTTACAAGAACCCACCATTATTATTATTATCTAAAGCAACATAGCCACAGTCTGTGATATATAATACAGTCAAACCTGCTTTAGCAGCATGTATAGAATGACCACTTGTCTATAAAGACTGATTTCTTTTCAATTTCTTGTGAAAATCATTTCTCATTGAAAGCTGTAGTAAAGAAACCAGTACAGAAAGACCACCTGCCTATAAAGACTTTTCTTGTCTCTCTTGAGCGGTCTTTGTATACAGGTTTCACTGTACCCGTTATAGGATATATGACTAGCCAAATGGTGTCAACTTTGCCTGGAGTACCCACAGTAATCTATTGTTAGAGGCTAAATTTATTATTTTTAGTTCTTTAAATTGTTTTCCTCTAGTCTAGCTACTCATGCCCTATGCCTCATTTCCATTTTCTTTTCATCATCTTCACCCATCCCATGATTCTATCGTTCATCATTCATTGGTATTATTCAGGGCATTGCTCCTGAATCATCCTCGTCCCATTTAATCCTCATTGGTCCATCTTTCAATCTGGGTTCTTCCATTTTCTGGGTTCTTCCATTCTTCAGTGTCTCTATTGGTTATCTTTCTGTATCCTTTGAATATATTTGAAAATATCTGCACTGTGCATCTCAATAAATCAGAGCACTTCTGGACTTCTTTGGGTCAACATATTTCATTTTGACTACTTCTTATTCAGCTACATATATTCTGAGGTTCTTCATTCTATTAATCAGGTGCTCTCACTATCCATTTCTTTGCCTGAGTTTGGTTCTTTTTTGATTGATTGTGGACTGTGGAGTGATTCAGCAGCATTTATTGTGTGTGTTACACTATATCTTTAAAGTCCCTGTCGGAAGTAAAAAATGAAATAGATCAATTATATACCAGCGGAAAGCTTATAATCCATAGGTTACAATAATATCAATTATATGCTATTTAGGTATTTGTCAGAAGAGTAAGAGCTTTTGAAACATTGGAATCCAAAGCTAAAACCTGACGTCGTTGACCTAAAAAGTAGCTATCGACTTGATGGCGTCATCTTTAGTGGAGTATGGAGTAAATAACATGAGAGTAAAATCTAAAAACATTTCATACTGGTTTTCGCATCACAAATGTGTGATAAAATCTTGCTAAAATGATATTAGGGGTATTTCATCTCACTGAGATAGTATGTCAGAATACCACCCATTGGCAGGTGTTTCAAGGCTTCATTACGTTGACAATATCTCGCTGAATTAAGAAAAATTAGACAATGTACAAATAAATACAAATTAGCCCGTTATATTTTATGCTCCAACCTTAATCGTGTTCTTCTTTTTTATTCACCATCATCTGTCTTTACATGGGATACCATGCCCACAGGCGTAAAGGCCTTTTTTGTTGTACTTCACAAACCATTTCTTTTGTTGAACACAATTTCATTACCCCCAAATATGTTTTTACCCAATATTTTATGAATTACTTTATTGTTCTATGCAATATTGTATTTTCTATACCACCAGATTTATATATCATGTTATATTCATAACATATTTCGATCATGGGTTGTGAAATAAAAACAAAATGGATTTGAAATGAATATACATATATATAATATACCGTGATCTAAGATGCACACACCTGGTTTGAGCCTTTTAAAAAATTCCTCATTTTTAATACTCATACTTACCGACATGTCTGTACCTGAGCCTCGCCAGTATACGGTACCGGTAGTTTGAATATGGCAGACATCTCCTGCAATAATGACTCTTCAACATAATTGAGACAAGCCCCTGTCCAGGGTAGCCCATGACTACTTACGAGCAAGTCCGCAACCAGGACCACCCCCATCTCGAGACTTTTGTCATCTAGCTATGTCCGAAAATGTCATCTTTACCACGCCCATGTGGAGACTTTCAACATCTTATTAGTCCAGAATCTAACCGGTTCTTTATATTCCCTACACACTTTTCGCCGTGCCTCCTAATTAGTGTCCCTTTAGGCTTTACAGGAACAATGATCACGCCATCTTCGGCTGGTAGCAAGTAAGTGGGGGAGGTATAAAGCGTTGGTGTGGCCGGTGGAGATAAAAATTAAACAGGCCAGATTCTGGACTACATCTAAATTAGACCGAAGCTTCTGTCTCTTTCGTTCATTAGCCTCTGATTGACCTCTAGCACTTCATTGCAAATACACACGACACCACACCATGGGTATCGATTTGTATCCGTGGTTGGGGGATGATAGGTGCCAAAATATTTTTGGCAATGAATCAAAGGAACCAAGAGGTAGAAGCGTGTGGCAGGTTTCATCCCCTCCCTTCCAAGTTATTAACTTTTTCAAGTCACCCTCAATAAAGATAACATTTCAGAGAATATAAGAGCGGTAATAAAATTAAAAACATGCTAAATGTTAGTCCTGACTCTTGCCTGCAGTGGAGGCCTACCAGACTGATATCATCTATTTTTAAACGAAATTTAGACATTACCCAAAAAAATCCAAGGGTGAGGGATATCAACTTGTGAAAGTATTATATTACCAGCGAGCAAATGCATTAATAAGCAACCAGGAAAGGTTCATGTAGACAGAAAATTCTTTATTTCCTGGTGATAGAAACAAACATTTTATGAATATTGATGTCTCCAAACAACATTCAGCGTGAAAAACCCATTCCAATATTCTGTGTAAGGAGATCTCAAAAAACATAGTTCTCATTAGTAAATGAAAAACATATTGCTTTTGGTTCTTCATTTGACTCTCTTCCTTCTTTAATTAAACCAACTGAATCCTCTCTGCGGGAAACTCAATTGAATGAAACAGAATATCACTGATGCAAAATGTGGTTCTCAAAATGACAGAAAATTTCCAATCCTGATCTCATACAAACTATCTGTTTCTTAAAAACATAATATAAAACTTACGTTCCAACTACCAAACAACAAACTTCCATTATCTCCTTCTTCACCCAGATATACTTATCATACCAGATATGCTCTAAAATATAAGCATCATATTCCCCTAAGGCCCTGACCAGAGCACTATTTTTTTCTTCAAAAACTATAACCAGTCTTTAATAAAAGGTGCATTATTATTGGAAGGGTGTTATAAACAAAACTTCAAACTTAATAACATTCTAACCTTCAAAAACACCCTAACTATCTTATGCCTGTTACGTTAGTATACAATACATAGGCCTACATCAGCTTTTCAATCAAACAAAAATAAGTTGTGACATAATAATCTTTCTCCAAAATATCGAACTGGAGTATTCTGTTGTATTGCATGTTTATGTACTTACAAAGAGCTTATTTTCAAGAGGCACTAGATCTATGTGTGTAACTTAAAAAAGAATTCTTTGTTTACCTTATTTTGTTCAGGTGTCTATGGAAAAATTGTTATTAAAAGATGAATGTGTTCATAATTCCTCTCGTAATTTAGGTTAATAATTTTGTTCAAGGTAAATAGAGGAAAATGTATATCAGTATCTCTATTTGCTATCAAAAGATTTCGCTCTTTTCGGAAAATAGCTCTTCAAATGTTTTACATGTAGAGATATAAATAAACAAAGAAATGGATGAAATCAATAAAAAAAAAAATAGATACCATAGATACCGAGTATGAATCAGGGAACAAACTGAAAATTTTGTCTCCTATATGCTGCAATTTGGACAAAACCGTCTTTTTCTCAATGATAAAATGTTTTATGACTTTACTTGCATGATGAAAAAAAAATGCATCATCAACCCCACATTCTGGTAGCTTTAAAAATCACTTCAGATTGAACTGGCCAAAAGTCATGTGATATTCTTGCTCAGATGCTTTCCTTTACCTTTAAGAGTTCTTTATATTGGGGAATTGGTTGATATTTTTTCTTAGCAATAATGTCAAAATTAAAAGAGTTAAACAAATACAAGACTGTAACATTTGGCTCGTTGCTTTTTAACACTGTGGCTTTGATTGAATAAATTCATCAATTCCTGATGAAGCTGTATATGAGCGAGAATTCAATTTATTCTTGTCTCATATAGGCCTACGGATGTCTCATTTTCTTAGTTTTCTATTTATATATGTATGTACCGGTTTTATGAAAATGAGAATTATTGGGGGGGGGGGGTGATTGTACAGGCCACCCCCCCCCCCCCCCCCCCCCCCCCCCCCCCCCCCCCCCCCCCCCCCCCCCCCCCCCCCCGGATCGACACCCATGCACCACACACTATTGCATAGACTGCACACAATAGAGCCGATGTGGCTGATCGGCAAATTTGACACTATATTATTATATAGACTTACATGCAATTTGAATTTTTAAATTATTCATTTTATAGCATCAGTAAGTTGAAAAAAAATGTATTTTACTGCTATTTAGGTGTCATCATTTGTCACTAAAGTACCGATTGTGAGTGAAATCAGTTGAGTTTTGTACAGTGGTATTTACTGTTTGAAATGTTGAGAATACAACAACTTTTAATACACAGCCAGGATATAGTAATGCAGCTATGTTTTGTGTGGGTAGGGTCAGCTCCTCTCTTTAGAGAGGAGCCGACCCGGCCCGGCCTACTAGAGAGGAGCCGACCCTACCCAAATCAGAGGCTAACGAACGAAAGAGACAGATATTTCGGTCTACATCTAGTACATTTGAACATATCTGACGTAGTCCACGTCCATGTCAGAATTTCATGATCTACTTACGAACATGTCTGCATTGGGGCAACGGTCCTGTCCACGATCCATCGGTGCATGTTGTTCTCTCAAAAGCCGTGGGCAGAATCTGATAAGAGACACCACACTCAATACTCGCAACAGTCCCGTCAGGGTGGGGTGCTAAACCCTCCGGTTCATAGGTGATTTCCGCAAAATCAATCTGATTGATGTTATCGCAGCTCGATGATACCCCTGAAATCACACACATAGTAATTACGTTTAGACAGGATTAAACAGATGATAATTAAAAGCACATATCATCAATATGTCCTATATGCATGCGCTGCAAAGATGATATTAAAGTGAACAATAGTACTAGAAAAGAGAGAGATTATTAATTAAGATGTACTTCGTCAGGTCAACAACACAACCATCAGCAGCAGCAGCACCACTATTACCAATCACCAATCACCACAACACCCTCGTACAAACTAGGGGATCGGCCGTTCGCCCCCCCCCCCCTTGTTGCTCAAGAGAGAGGGGGGGGGGGTGTTGATTTTTTTAAGTGGTGCTCCATGCCCCCCATCACTTTGCAACCCCCCCCCCCTTTGAGCAAAAAAAATAAGAGCTCATTACCCCCCCCCCCCCCCAGTTATTCGCCTCTAAATATTTTCTCACGAAAAAAAATTGCTCATTTCTCGGGCTGAGTCGCTTCGCTCCCTCACAATTTCTTACCCTTACATCTGGCTCAAAGTTGGCAACCCTAACTCCCTAAGAACCCCCTCTTAAAAAAAGCTTGAACGGGCTTGCGTGCACAACCACCACAACAATCACCACCACAAAAACTTACTACAACTGCCACTATCAACATCACCATCACCACCACCACACCATCAATATCACCACCACTTCCATCACCACCAGTCCACCACCCTACCATAACTTCCAACACCACCATCATCACCACCACATAACCACTTCCAATTTCTTCACCATCACAACCACCACTATATATACCAACACCACCGCTACCACTACCACTACTACTATATATCACCCTTATAGGCCTATGTTCTTTTGGTGTCATGTCAACGGTGACAACAAAAAAATTATTCCAAAAACAAATAAAAACGATTTGATAAGACAAGAGACAAATTATTGATGATCTTATTTTTTTTTTTAATATACTTAACCCTGTAATGCAAAGTTGAATGTGCATGAATTTGGCATGAATACAGATGAAGAGATTGTAGAATATAAACAGAAAATGCACGATGGAGGAATAGACTTATGTATCTACAAAGTGCACTATTCAAAGCTGTTTAAAATGGTTCTCATGTCAGTAGAGTAGTAGCTCTGTTTATGTATCGAATTGAATACATATCCTTACTGCATTGACCTACGAGAGAGAGGCGGCAGTGAGCACAAAATTTTTTTTTAACCCCCGAAAATGTGAAAATCGCGCCGACCGATATTTCGCTCAGTGGGGGGGGGGGGGGGGGGGGGGGGGTAAGGAGTATCTACGTGTATTACGCTTCACAGACCATGACACTTTTACTGATCTCAGTACTGAGCTCAGGGGGGGGGGAGGGGGGTATATAAGGAGTATCTACGTGTATTACGCTTCACAGACCATGACACTTTTATTGAGCTCAGTATTTAAAAAAAAAGGAATAAAACAACTATGATTTTATGCGTAGGCCTATATTCTTTTTTTTTAAAATATATATAATGATACAAATTTGCCGTGGTTTACCACTTTATATCTGAACAAACATGTATAGTGATGGTGATTTAATGAAGTTGATACAAATTACAATATTTGTTTTCCAGAGTCCATAAGGCTCCCTCCCCTGTATATGGTATAGCAGAACATGGAATGAGGGGTGGGGATGCTCAAATCATGAATTAATGTGCGATTGGTCATATGGTATAAATCTTGAAAAGATCGTGATAATCCACTTACCGTCACTGTGTAACAGGCAAAGAAACAGTCCTGTGAACAGAACTAAATAATGAAAACTCTTTTCCTCCATTGCTTGTCGATATACTAGCTCTCGATCGACCCAACACTAATATTCCATGTTCCTTTTGTAAAGAAATGAACCGTATTTCTAAGTGTACAGAATGGGCGTGACCACGCTCCGAACGGTGCTCGAATATGGAGAGTGCTGATTGGATAAAGATCAGAGGAGAATGTGTCAATCAAAATTATGGGGGAGCCATATATCGTAGATGTCGTGTTTTATATCCGTCTATACACTATACATTGGAAAAGTTATGTTATCACAAAGGTGGCATCAACCATTTTAGTTGCAAGCTTGCTGGACTCATGGAACCTGTCAAACACTAGAGGGAAATCATATTGATAAATCTATGAATATTTGTAAATAATACAGAGCATAATGTACAATAGGCCTAGAAAAATACATTTTAGAAAGTATTTGGGATCTACTAGTAGTTGATTTGTGTGAAGAGGTTGGTTTTCTATCGAATTCGCTCAGACGCTCACTGCAGTGAAGTAGCTAGGGGCAAATGCGACCTGTGGTTTAAAAAAAGGGGGGCCGATAACCCGAGAAAAAGAAAAGAAAAGAAGATAGAGGGATGAGGACATTTCCTGCAAAAACCACACAAGATTAAACGATCCCTTTAATGCCATCACAAAATCCCTAAACTTGGGGTATATTTTGTGCTGAAAAATCCCTAAAAGTGCCCTAACTTCTCAGATCTCGGTCTTAAACATGGGTTACTATTTGGCTTCAAGGTTATATCATTCTCACCCATAATCTCGCTAAATTGAATATTCCAGATGCAAAAATATATACTTTCTCAGTTGGATTTTGTACATCTTTGTACATTTTGTTGTTGTTGCAATTTTGATCCCGCCACTTTCATTTTCAATTTTTCATTGATTTGTATAAGTGTTGATTTAACACTGGGTATAAATTATTAGAGTTAATTGAACAGTGGGATTCCATGAGAAACCACAGCATTCTTACTTTCCGTCTCTTCACAAGTTGCGATCCTATACCGGGCACATGCAACAGGATTCACTTCCGCAGAGATTGTAATCTCTTGCTATCAAACTCAATAACAGGCTCCTGATTTCTTTCCGGAAAACAAGGCCTAGGTCTATTCATATTATGGACATAAGTGTAAGGTAAAGAAAAATATTAAAGGGGGCATCTTTCGCGAGAATAAATTTGAAAAATGAAGAAGAAGAAACCAAAACCAAACATCAGAACAGAAACAATCGCATTAAAGCCGGGCAGTACTTTGGGCAAAGAAAAGAAGATGGGGAAGAGAGATGAAGAAGAGAGATGAAGAGAGAGATGAGGAGAAATGGGGAGAAGAGAAAATGGGGGAGAAATAGAGAGAGAGGTGGAAGGGGTAGGGAGGGGGAGAGAGAGGAGGAAGAGAGATGAAGAGAGAGAGAAATTGGGGGAAATAGAGAGAGAGGGGGGCGGGAAAGGGAGAGAGAGAGAGAGAGAGGAGTGGGGAGGGGAGGATGTGCAGGGGAGAATGTGCATGCGGCTATTCATGCTTAAGGTTTGCATAAACATCTTTAATTCATAATTAGTAGTATAACAATTCAAAGATACCAAAACCATTAAAAATTTATCTGTTTGATATTTTAATTACCCCTTTTTAATATTTTTTTTTTTAAAAGTGGACGGTTCAATCGCCCACCCCCAACCCGACCCGATCACCCCATGCGTGTGAGGGAAGTAAAACCAAACAGCTAATTTGGGGATTTTCCCGATTTTGAGTTTGTTTTGTTGACCTTCATGTAGGTAACCCGGGATATCCTTTGTACTAGGGATATTTCACTGGCACGCATAATTATGTGCTATACCATGGAGCTATAAGCAAAATATTGTTTGTTAAAACCTGGTGCAATATTTCGCAGAATCATGTAACGAAACTTATGTGAATTCTAAGGAATTTTTTTTTATTGATCGGTAGAAAGTCTTTTGAAAGTTGAGGTCCATGATCTCTCTGTCGATCACACCCTCCCTTTTTTTTTCTCTCTCTCTCTCTTTCTTATCCTCCCCTTTTCTCTCTCGATCAATTTACAAATCTTGATCAATTTACAAATCTCATTGTTTTCATTGCACAAAAATATCTTAAAATTTAGTTGGTAACTTGAAATGAGACATATTGCATCCCCCGAGTTCTTGATATTCTCCTCCCCTCTCCGACCGTTTTCTTCAACTCTCTCTTTCTCTCTCTCTTTTTTGTTGTCTCCCTTTCTCTCTCTTTCTCTCTCTCCGTCTCTGTATACCAGGTATAATTCGTGTGTGATCATGTGTCATTTGGAGTTCATAATGTCACTATAGAGAGTAGTAATGAGATAGAAAGAGGCCAAACATAATGGTATAATGAGAAGGATGAGAGAGAAAATGAGTTGTGTAAGAAAAGGAGGAGAGAGAACGGTAGGACACCGGGGGGGGGGGGGGGGTTGGGGGATGTGGAAGTGTTTGTGTACTACAAGATAGTGAGAAAGGGATGGAGAGAATTGCATTGCGGATTGGGTTAATGAGAGAGAGAGAGTGTGTGTGTGTGCGTGTGCGTGAGTTGTGCGTGAAAGAGATAGAGGGAGGAGGGTGGGTAAGAGAGAGAGAGAGAGAGAGAGAGAAAGGAGGAGGGTGGGTAAGAGAGAGAGAGAGAGTGATAGGGAGTGAGAGAAATAGAGAGAGGGCGTAGTGTAAGAGAGAGGAGAGGAGAAAGGGAGAAAGAGAGGGTGGGGGTTAGAGAGAGAGTGATAGGGAGTGAGAGAGAGAGAGAGAGAGAGAGGGCGTAGTGTAAGAGAGAGGAGGGGAGAAAGGGAGAAAGCGAGAGTGGGGGTAAAGAAAGAGAGAAAGAGTGTATGTGTGTGCGTGCATGTGTGCGCGTGACAGAGAGAGAGAGAGAGAGAGAGAGAGGAGGGTGGGTAAGAGAGAGAGAGAGAGAGAGTTAAAGGGGAATGAGAGAAAGAGAGAGAGAGAGGGCGTGGTGAAATAGAGGAGGGGAGAAAGAGAGGGGGAGAGGAGAAAGAGACAGAGAGAGAGAGGGGGAGAACTAGACCTTTATATAAAAAAAATATGTTATCGCAGAGCAGTGAACCTTCCTACTATCTTTTCTCACTCTTTCAGTCTAGTATTCTCTCTTCCTTCCATTTTGACTACCACAAATCATCCACTTATTTTATATAATCATTGTCATCCCCGTTATCTCCCTTTCTCCATTTGCCTCTACCACATATACACTCTGGCTCCTCCCTCTCTGCTCTCTCTCTCTCACTCTCTCTCTCTCTCTCTCTGCTCTCCCTCCTTCACTCTGCCCCAGCTCTCGAAACAAAATCTAGTGATCACTGACTTTACTCCTCTGGAGAGTGAAAATGTAGTGAAATAGAGTGAACATTCACTCTTTCTTCTTATTTAGAGAGCACTCTAATATCAATCAATATTCACTCCTAAATAGATAAGTTATCACTAACGTGACTCCCGGGGGAGTGAAAATAGTTAACATTCACTCTTTTCTTCTTAGAGATATATCTCACACTCTTTTTATTAGTGCGTTACACCGTGAAACCTTTATTGCAAAAAGGGGAAGATTATAGAGTTCATTGTTAAAATCTCAGAGGTTAAAAAAAAGGGGAGAAAATATATGTTCGCCTCCATCATATTAATAAGAGTGTTCTTATCGAGAAGTTTCCACACAAACGCAACATTTCAACTTGACAGTATTAAGAAAATCACGATATATTATTTTCCAGCGAGCAAAGTAAAACAAAATGTCATAATATTCACGTTTCTAGAAATTAAAAACTGGCCGACAAGAGTAATTGTCTAGAATTTATAAGTGATATTAGGTATAGTTTTACATAACATATTTACGTAATACAACACAATAGTGGATGGTCATATTGGACTCGTATGCACATGTTGCAGCCATGAAGCAGTACATGTATCTCAGCATGATAAGTAAATATTTGATTATGCTACATAAATACGGTTAGTTATCTGGGCCCTGTTTCATAAAATTTGTCATCAATAACAAGTTACGATAACTGCTACTGAAATCGTGGCATTTGATTGGCTGAGAGCAAATTTGTCATAGGAATTTAGCATTTGTTATTGATAACAAGTTTTATGAAACAAGGCGACGGACTAGTAAACCTCGACCACCTTTAAATTACCAATAAACCATTAACTATTCAGTTATTCTGATATCACACATTATAATACATCATACATTTATATTTGAAAGACGGAAGAAAAAGGTTTCTGCCCCGAAAAAAAAAGAGAAAATGGATGAAAATAAAGAGGAGAAGAAAAAAAGGAAAAATGCATTCTTTCAAGTTACTTGTATTCGCCAGTGCCACTTTATTTTTTAATCAATCCACTGATGGTTCAATCAAACACCGTCGAATAATTTCGGTACAGTTTTTCAGGCCTATCAGGGTTTGGACTTTGGGGATCTATTTATATATATATATTTTTTTTTTTTTGGGGGGGGGGGGAGGGGAAAAAATGTACAAAGTCTATGCCCTCCGTAAAGAAAAATGATTAATACATCTAATAGCTAAATTGTGTTACTAATTCCCATCCCAGGTACATTTGATCTATCTTTTTAATGCAAGAGATATTTGTTTCTTCGATTACAAAAAATTACATAAAAATTAGGATTCCTCTCATACACAAACGTTTCAATTGCTTTAGCCTTCATACAATATCATGACATTTCTTCAAAACTGAAAGAAGAGGAATGAAATATATCCCAGCAAGTATAGGGGACCATTGCTGCAACGACTGGTGGACAAATCTCCCCAATTTCTTCAATTTCAGGAAGATTGCCCCACCCCTCAGGTAAACACTTACACAAAAATGTAAATAATGACATACATCTACAGCAAACTAAGCCTATCTATACGCTGAGGTGCTCTTTAGAAATTAGAATATGTTACTTTTCAAAATTAAAAATCTCTCTCTCGGTCGCTATGCATGCTTCCTTGTGAATGTATATACTTTAACTCTACAATATAGCTGATCTGTAAACCGCAGGTACATCATAAGCAAAGAGCAGTCGTTCTCCAAAATCGGAAAGTCTCACCATAAGGTCTGAATGATAATTTAACGCTGCCTTTACCCATACGAATAAGAGAGATAATGGGATAGATATCAAGCATTGAGTATGGTCGCCGTTGGGATGTGATTATTGAAGCAGTCATCAGTCACGTCGTTGATCCATCCCTTAAACCCCGGTTCGATCCTTGTGAAGATACCGTGTCGACTGCGTCGAGAGCACAACTCCCCCTTCGTGCTGATGCCTAACAGCGCCCATTTGTCATCTCCACTCCTCTGGTACATTAGCGGTGATCCACTGTCGCCATGACAACGAATGTCCGTTCCGAGGCTAAAATGTGTTGTAAAAGTTGGAGATGCGAAGTATTTGTATTGATCTTGAATGCAATTGTTAATGGTACACTTTATAATGCGAAAATATTGATGTTAGAATACGCAACAATTTAGCCTTATTTGCCTGCAAAACATTGTCAAACAAAAGCAGTATTGAATTGCACTGTGTTGTAGTAGTAGTAGTATTTATTTCCATATAAAACATAGTAAAAATGCATAAAATACGATGGAAAGCCCACATTCAGCTAACCCGACATGGGAAAGCTGGTCTTCCGTGGGGTCCGGAACTATTACATAAACAAAACAGAACATAAATACATATATGAACAACAGTAAATACATTTTGAAGAAGAAAAAAAAGTAATATAAAATAAAGGGGAAAAAAAAAGCACATTTCATAATATTGTATGATTTAAGATCTCATTATCCATTCTTTACAAGGTCGTATTCTGTCTATTTTACATAGATTTCACGTATTTACAACATACAAATACACTGAACAAAAGTTGTAAGTTTTAAGTCCAAACCTGAAACTTAAAGTTACACATGTGAGAGATGAAATATTATGATATCATTTCTTCATCTGTCGCACTGTCAGAGTAAGGGATATCTGCAACTCCGACGACAGTTATCAACGAACAATTCTCTCCATCAATCCTAGACCAAACACCACACCCAAACTAACCACCACAACTACCCCCGGACAACTATCACCCGGACAACTACCCTCTGGGATAGTTGCCCGGGTGTAGTTGTCCTAGAGGATGGTTGTCGTAGTGGGTAGTTGTCTGGGGGGTAGTTGTCCGGGGGTAGTTGTCCTAGTGGGTAGTTGTCCGGGGGTAGTTGTCCGGGGGTAGTTGTCCGGGGGTAGTTGTCCTAGGGGGTAGTTGACTGGGGTTTTTGTCCGGGGATAGTTGTCCCGGGGGTAGTCATCCTAGAGGGTGGTCCCCCTAGGGGGTAGTTGTCCTAGGGGGTAGTTGACTGGGGTGCATATCCGGGGGTTGGATGTCCAGGGGGTAGGTGTCCTAGAACCTTGTATAGTTGTACAGATAAGAGTTTCTTCATTCAAATGAGTCTGGTTGCTTTCATACATACCCATCTCCCGCACAAAGCATTCTATCTGTCAAATCGATCCTATCGTCAAGTAGATCTCTTGCGTGGTCTACACGACATTCGTCTTGATCAGCCAGCGGCATCGGGAATTGGAGAGGAACATCGCGGGCATTCTGGGGAAGCCCCGAGGCTGTACCCCATCCCACCACTATGGGTTCATGAGGAGAATCCGTTTCTGTTTCAAATTTGAAGGGACAAAAATATAGGATAGAGGTGGGAACATTGATATGGACAAAGAGACACGCAAATGGGTTGGTGGGGTGGAAAATGAGAAATAAAATCATGATGCAAAGAGAAGGTTGAGTTCTGGGAAAGGTGAACAAATTATTTGAACTTTTTCATTCTTTTTATATTATTGTGAAAGAGTATAACAACAACAACTGTCCCCTGAAAGGCTGAAAAGGATGGTCATTCAAATGCCCCTAACATTTGAAGTACGTGTATGACGAGTACACTGTGAAAAGGTTGGGCAATATTTTCCAACACTTTGCCCAACGTTGTGCCAATAGTCAACCCAACCATCTATTGGGCAATATTTTGCCCAGTGATATTGGTAAACGTAGGTACCTTACTTCACACGTGTATAATTGTTTCGTATTTTGACCAAAATTTGGGCAAAGATATGACCCTTCAACTGCCCGACTACGGTAGGCCACTTGTTGGGAAAGTCTTGACCAGCTGATGGGCAAAATACAAAACAATTATACAGGTGTGAAGTAGGGTACTTACGTTTACCAATACCACTGGGCAAAATATTGCCCAATAGATGGTTGGGTTGACTTTTGGCACAACGTTGGGCAAAGTGTTGAAAAAAAATTGCCCAACCTTTTCACAGTGTACTTGTCATACACGTACTTCAAATGTGTAACAGCTAAAGGTTGTGGACCACAAATATAATGCCACATGTTTGTGTAGTCCCTGTCATAATATACTCATTTCTGAGTGCATGTGAACTTTAGCAAAACTGGGCCGATTTCACTTCGTTTTGATGGTTCCAAAACCTCACAGTATACAGCAATGTGTGCATGATCAGCCTTTTCAAATTGCTTCTACGCAGTTTCAAACATAATCAGAACTCAACTTTATCTTTAAAACCAGAACAATTTCAAGCACAACTTTTGATTTGACATCGTTGATGCCGAGAGCATTTAGACAAACTAGTGTAGTTGAACTCTTAAAGCGAAAAAATGTTGTATCTATTGGTCGTAAGAAACTAAGAAGTAATACATTCTGACTGCTTTGGTAAAGATCAAAGAAACTAGTTAAATTACCAGAAGGTAGACAAATAGTCCTGGCACAACTGTTGAGCTCAACCGGCTCACTGAGATGCAAGAGAGCGATGTCATAATCATGGATATTATCATAGTCGAACTGACCGTGCAGGACGATCCGATCGACTTTGATCGTCTGTTCGCATCCCTCTCCTAGCGAGCGGTTGTACTCTCCCATGGTGACCGTGACCTAGAACATGGGAGGTCGAAGGGAGAGAGAAAATGAAAGACAGAGAAAGAGAGGGAGAGAGGGAGAGAGAAAAAGAAAGAGAGAGAGAGAGAGAGACAAAGTGAGGGAAATAGAGAGGGAAAGGAATGATGAGGAAAGATGATCGATTCGAGCTCAAATCATCGAGCATTGGAAAAGAGAGACGGTTGATAAAAACTAAAACTAATATGGAAGATCGAAGGGAAATGGGGAGACAATATTATTATGTGTGTGTGTGTGTGTGTGTGTGTGTGTAAGAGAGAGAGAGAAAAGAGAGAGAGAGAGAGAGAGAGAGAGAGAGATAGGGACAGACATACAGACAAGCGGAGGAAGAGACGGAGAGGGTGTATGCGCTTCCAAAATTGTAGACCATAAAAACACTGTTGTTTCATGAACGATTTAATACTTGATTGTATTCATCATTCCGCCGACACTTAATTATTAAAGAAAAAAGAAGGCCTGTAGAATTTCTCACTATGAAATTATGACCTACATGAAAAGACAAGAATTTTTGACTAGTCACCATATCAGCTGAAGAAATCCCAAATTGGGAGGATGACAGCATCGCTCGCTCGAAACATAAAAGTGATCCTCAGGTTATTAATTTTATGAAAGTACCTTTATTTCTTCTGGTATGAATTGTGAGTCCTCTAGATCTATCGTCACCAGCTTCTCGTCAATGACTTCAGCATCCGGGATGTTTGCAAAGCAGGAGGAGGTGGTCAGTACCCACTGTTGGCATAGCAACGTACCGCTACACGCCATCTTCCAGCCGGTAGATGAGTTCCGATGGATGACTGACAGCCATGGCCACGCCTTCTCATTGGCTTGGTAGTTGTCACCAGCGACGAGTACATTGCCCGCCTCTCCGCATGGCTTGTAATCTGTGCCACAGATAGAATGGTTTTATTTCGTCAAAGATATAGGGCAAGGGCTAGGATTTCAATTGGGCTTTAGGTTATAGCTTTAGGGTTGGGATTAGGTTTAGGTTAAGTGTTTGGTCCAGTGTTCCAGACATGAATTTCAGTTGTGACCAGAGCATTTTTCAATATTCACCTCGATATCAAGTCTATATAGAGCGGGCTAAGAATATGGAGGGAGGCAGAAAACATCGATAAACTGGTAACATCATACCAGGCAAGCCAATACCCGACACAACAGACAAAATAATAAATTAAGTGACCCTGAATGGCATTATGATTATCAATCACCATTACATTATTTAGGGGAGGGGCACAACCGGCCTATGCCCGCCCCTTGAAACCCAAATCATTGCCGGTTGAGAACCTACTTTAACAACCAAAGGTAAAATATTCCTCTCGCCCCATTGTGAGTTTGTTAGTGTTTTTCTTCAAAATCATGCTCTGCGCCCCCCCCCCCCAGTTTTCTAATTTCTAGATCCCTCCTAGTTGAGAACTTAAAATAACTATATATTATGCACAAAAGAAAATATGCCTCCTTGCCAAATCGTGCCCTTTCCTCCCCACCTCTTCAAAAGCCTGAAACCGCCCCGAAGTTGAGCTTACCTATCTCACTACTATTCACCAGACCGGTGAGAGTCTGGAGATCTTGAAAAGACTCAATGTAGAAGAAGTGACTGGTAGGGGGGTAGGAGGCAATTTGTTGGAGAGCCGTCTGGTTGATCTGCCTTCCTACTCCGACTGCAAAGATGTCCAAACCTAATGAGTACAATACAATATACATGTGAATTAAAAATTAATGATCCTGGATTAGCTTAAAAGGCGAATTTTAATTGAAGACAAAGTTGTTAAAGTCCAAATGTCTCAAAATCTCTGATCAAAATGTAATGGAATATTTGGTCTTCTGTACTCCCCCACCCCCTCTCCAATCAGAGAATACTGGATGCCCCATTTGGGAAAACCAACGGTTGACTCTGTACATCGTTGCGAGTATACCTACCTTTTTCTTTGAGATCATTTGCTACCAAGAAAGGGTCCGCTGTGTTGTGTTGTCCGTCTGTGAAGATGAAAAGGACATGCTTGGCTCTTTCTCGCATGGTAGGATAGATTTCTGTAGCGACCATCGACAGCCCCTCCTTCAGTCCTGTTGCGCCTCCTATGTTTTCCTGGAGGGCGTTTCACAAAACTTGTCATCAGTGACAAATTGCAGTTTTTGTTATAAGCTACTGAAATCCTTGCTTCTGATTGGTTATCAGCAGATTTGTCACTGAATTTTGTCATTTGTCATTGAAAAAATGCTTTGTGAAACGGGTCCCTGTACAGTATTACACAAGGCATTTAATCCACATGATGCCTCCCTTTATCCAGGATTGTGGGAATGTGGGGACGAACTCTTTTTTTTCTCAAGACATTTCGTCCTTGTTTTCACGAAGTGACGGTAGTGAGGAAAATTGTAACGCAAAGTGAATGCATTTTTTTTTCACTACCGTCACTTCGTGAAAACAGCGACGATTTGTTCTTCTTCTCGTTGAAACATGATTAAAATCAGCCATCCCAATGAAAAGCACTCTGGGGTGGGTGGGGGAAGGGTAATGGAAGGAAAATAATAATGAAATCTCATATTATCGGGCAATTATTTACCAACTGGAATCATTCATGCCGGCCGTTTTCAGGGGCGGGGGGGGGGGGGGAGGAGGGGGGGGCGTTGTGGGAACAATTTTTTTTTAATGTGTGATATACCAGGACACCTCCACCATGTCCACTGTGACAGAAAATTACCGTCAAAGCGTCAAGACGAGCAAACACTTGCTCCTCGGTTTCGACTCCGGCTGAATAATTGAAAGCCATCTCTGCGGTGCTTGAGAAGGTTAGTGCAGCTACTCGAGTTCCGCCTAAATAAAATGAAGGGGGAAACAGAAATGGAGAAGTTAGCGTGCCTAAAATATCTTCAACCATTATGACTCTCATTTTCTCCCTCCGTCCCTCTCGCCCTCCCTCCTCCCTTCCTCTGTCTCTCTGTCTCTCTGTCTCTCTCTCTCTCCCTCTTTCTCTCTTTCTGCCTGTTTGTGTGCGTCTTTCTCTGCCTCTGTGTCCATCGATCTCTTTATATTCTTCTCTCGTATGTCTGTCTCTTGAGTCTCTCAGTGTGTCTCTTTTTACACACTTCATAGTCTCCATTTCTGAATGATGGATATGAGCGCCATGATTATAAGAAGCCATAAATATGATTAACGAGATCCCTTGTATACGTTACCTTCATCATACGACACGCCAAAGTTCGAGAGAAGCTGCTTGGTGAAATTGACGACGAGCTGGAAATCCGTTACGTCCAGGCTTGACGACCGATCGTATGCGAGGACGATGTCGAGTCCTAGACTAGGAACATTGGCGCTACGAGACGAAGCTTGACGCATGATGCTCGAGTTGGTATAAGATGTGAACGGGTCTATGATGTTTCTCTTGATGTCTGTCGCCACGTCACCAAGTGTTTTTTTGGCTAAGGAACGAAATGGAAAGTTATCATTCAACAGATCAATTTGAACATTTGTTTCAAATACATGATAATTCGAACAGGGATTTGAAAAAGGTTTTCTTGTATCATGATAGAGTCACGTACCTCTGATTTCTTTTAACCATTTCCCAATTAAAATAGTTTTGCAGTCTGAAGTAATCATCAAATAAAAATTATAGATATGACAGATATCCCATTTCATATCGTTTTCAACTATTAATCAGAATGTTATCGAGAAGACGAGAAACATTATTGTTATAACCATGCCTGTCTCGTCGACTCAGTGTCCTGCTTTGGAGCAAACAAGATATTAATTCTTGTTGTCTCAGCTTCAAGTTCAAAAGTTTGTAAAACTTTATTTACCTTAAAGAAAGAGTTATTTACACAAAATAGGTTGGTGGTAAAAAACAGGAGTGTATGGATATCATTGAATGATCAACTCTTTCAATTGATTTCTAGATTTCCATTAGTCGTAAGAAGAAGAGCATTGGTTGCTTTTGATCGTTTATAACTCAAAAGTTCTACTCAATTTATAAGTAGAAAGTTTTATGAAATTTATTTGAACACTTTCATAAATAGTGCTTAATTAGTATTTAATTACATTTTCACTTTTAAAGAAAGATAAAGCTGCAAAATCTGTGGATATTTCAGAGCACCTCCCTCTTATCCCAGAGTCATGAATAATTATCTATAATGATTATATTACTAAAAATAATGATAATAATAACAATAATAATAATTATAATAATAATAATAAATAATATACCCCAGCAACTGCCAGATACCCATTTACACCTGGGTGGAGAATGGCAAATGTGGATTAATGTCTTGCCAAAAGACGTCAGTGTTCGGCTGGGATTCGAACCCCAGCCCTTGGATTGAGAGTCAAGTGAATGAATGAAACTGACTAGCAAAAGTTTGGCATGTTCCATGAGCAGTCGTCATTTTCTACTTCTATATAGTAAAACAACAAAAACATAGTTACGTTTGCATCTTGGAGCTCTCCCGGACCATTGTCCATTGTACCGACACTGTCGTATGCCGTTTCCGATCAGATCATAGTCGTCGTTACACACGACAGAAATATGATCATTAGCACGGATGCCGCCGAAGGTTTCGATTCGGCCATGTAAGGGGGCTACCGGCTGCGGACATCTGATGGTTATATCTGTTTACCAGGAGAAAGGAAGAAAACAAGAGTATAACAAGCGATATTATATTAATTGAAGGCGATTTGCCATGTGAGAATACTATCGAAAAAAAGATCCGGGGATGATAGACGCGTTTACTACTCCATGGTTATGCATATTGCCGTCTAGAACCCACTAGGGCGGAGTTTAATCCGAGTTTCGTGTTCCTTGAATATTGCGTTCCGCGGGTCTCCAACCCCCCCTCCCCCTAAAGGGGAAGAAAATGGCTGGTCTTGTTTGCAAAAGAACCAAAAAAAAAGCCACCCGGAGCCCCTTCCTATCATCCAGAAGCGGTCCTGTTTTTATTGTCACCGGTGTAACATTAGCTTCTTATTTATTGATGTAACTGCGTTTGTAATTTGTGTATGCTATCAAATCTATTGAATATTTGTTTTGATTCATATTATCTTTATTTTACCTCCTATTTTATTGAAGTATTTCTTGTTTCCAAACTTTTTGTTATGATCATTAATCTTGTAATATCAGTTCACTTTTATCTAAACGGGGATGCATCACTGTCCAGGTTTCTTCTAACCTGTTTGGTTTTTACTGTCTTCATGAACATAAGTACAAATTCAAAATACATGTAGTGTAGCAGAACATGAGACAGACATACCAATGCATCTGGCTGTGGCGTTATTGTCGTGTTCCCACTGTCCCCGTAGGCAGGTCTGTCTATCATCTCCTATTAATATGTAACCACGATTACAGCCGAAGTCCACACTGCGTCCACGATCTACCCTGATGAAGCCATTGGCGGGAGCTGATGCGGGCTCACAAGGGATGTTATCCTCTGTTTGGGGGTAAAGTTTTAGATGGTTACCTTGCTACCATTTCGTTTTTTAATACAGTTCTCAATTTCGAATGCTGAAATGAAGTCAAATTTTGTTTATTTTCTTTATTTTAATAATAATTGTTCATGGATCGATCGGGTGGGTGGTACATGCACACATTACTTATCATAGGCTCTGTATAAGCTTGGCTTGTTAGAACTCTTGTGAGTAATGTGCCGCGGGATTCCATATCCTTAAACTGTACTGCTGGCGAACAGAGCAACAAGACCAAGCTCTGTAATTATTAGGATCTCCGTCCAATAGTGCCGTGTTTGTGCCATCAACCTGGATCGACCAAATCAATTGATTCATAATATATATAATATATTTTCCCCGTGACATGAGAGTAATATTAATCGCTTCATTCTTTTAATTAAATGTAATATTAATTGTTATTGTATAATTGTGTAAAGTGGGGGCACGCTACAAGAGTCCTATCTCGTACCCCGGGGCAAGGTGTCTGACACGGCCGGTTTATACATTAATCTGATCTAAGAAGACACGAACGAACGAACGGGGTAAAGTTGTGCCAGGTTCGAAAGTCATTTCACACCTTAAAGACACATAGAAGTGGGCTCTTATCGGGAATTTAACACCGTTCGGGTTTTTACCCGATAACTGGTGTTTTCAATCACCAAAGTTAGCCTTCAGTTTTATGACCAACATGCTTTATGTAATGCTGTGTCTTTCCCCCTCATGGTAAAGTCATTATCTGACATTATTTTGCATCATCCGAAGACTCTCTGGGACACGAGGGGTTATTTCCTTATTGCTTTGTGCAAACGCGTACACCGTATTAGTGATATTTCAATCAAGTCTGGTGTCAGCAAATTATGACCTTCTGCACATGAAAACGACCCGCTCCCTTTAAAGCCTATCCGCACTAGTTTGACCAGGAGGAATTAGACCTCTCTGCGTGGTCACTGACAGGTTGTTATCTCATCAAATCAGCTCTCAAAAAACAATAAGGAAAGGGGACCATGGGGGACCAATGGGTACCGTTCAGGCATTGTTTGCTGTATAGAGGGCGCAAGTAGCTACAAGTAGTGCAGTCCCCCTTTGAACATACTGACCTGGGCCCGCTTGGACTGTCGGCTCACTTGTACTTAATTACGACGGCTTTGTTAATCGCTACCATGTGATCTGTTAATTACCTTCGCAGTGTGTTCCATTGCCAATGTAGTAACGCCGGCAGGAACAGGTGTATGATCCTTTGATGTTCAAGCAGTCTGCATTAGTACTATGACACAACTCAGCGGGCAGCGGAAGCAAGGTCCGTCCCTGACATGTCACCTGGTTCAACTTGTCGAGGAGGGGGTGATCCTCGACAACCGGTGCGTAGTCGGTACTATAGAAGGACGATTCGTCGTCATCACTGACATCCGCGAGGAGCCAACCATCCCTGCATTCATCGATGTCTGTTCAGAAGAGTGTGCAGGAAGGAAAAAAAACGATCGAATAGACTTTCTAGAAATCGAATCATTAAGGGTAAAAAAAACATCACCATCAGTATATAATATTATTTCAGAGTTCACTTATTCTGTGACAATATCAATGTGAGTCGTATTTGAACATGCATCCAGAAGAAGCGCTATTCAAATACATTATCATCGCTATTGTCATAATTTTTTCATTATCATTACATTTATAATTTAATATTGTAATTATTATTAATATTATTATTATTACTATCATCTACATCATTAGTAGTATAGTGTTATTCATCATTGTTATAATTTTTACAACTATTTAAACAAACTGGACAGCAAGTTAGCTACTACATTTGAATAAAAGAGATAATATCATAAATACACGGTGATGAAATGTAAACGATAAAGTATTGTTTTCACCTTCACATGTTGGTCTGTCCTCATTGAACTGTCCCGTGGTTAGGCACCAAACTGCCTCGGGTCCCATCCTAACGAATCCATTGTTACAACAAGCGGAGACCATTTCCCCAACACCGACCGTTGAATCACCTTCTTGTGCAGCGTATGCTCCATTTTCAAGGACCAGATCGCTAAGGTTACACGCGTCTAATGGGGGATTTGATATCACAACCAATTATTTTCAATTTTAAGAAAAAATGATCTGAATACAGGGCGTTAAAAAAAGTGTACCCGTCTTTGGTAGCTTCTAATCAAAGAGTTATAACCTATTTGACCTTAAATCATAGTTCATTGTAAGGAAGAACTAATACTCTGTCTAATGATGTCACTTTCATACTTGTGCTGCCAAGTGAACAGCAAGCTTTGCAAAAAAGTATGTCAAAACCCTCTTGTACCAAGTTTGGGCTGAAGTAATGAATATGGGTCAAAAGCCATAATGTTTGTGTTCTCTCATTCCAAAAACAGTTGCTCATTTATTTGCATGGAATTTTAGGCAGTTGAAGAAAAAAAAAACTGTTAATATCAACTCAAACCTAAGGAAATGCTAATTACAAGCACGATTTAAGATATTCTCTTTGTTATGATGATTACAATCTTGACTTCATTCGCTTCCCTTATTGCAGGCCATAAAATGAAAAGGCTTAATTCTATTAATTCTAATGGCATTTGAAAGATAATACTAAACAGAAGGGCTTGAAAATGTCTTTTTGTGTGAAAATAACTACCGATAGTTGTCGAATCGAACTTAGCGATTGTGGTCGAATAGTCTGATTTTCAAACCCTTGTACCGAATGGTCGTACGTTTTGTGCTGCGCAAATATTCAATCATGTTAATTTTGGCCATTACAAGAAGTGGGTTATTGATGTGGACAAATGCTCATGTACCCTTTACAGCTCATTTTATGTATGTTCTTACCAAAGAATAAAAGAAGTCAACCAGTCACTCAATAGTGTCTGACAGTGAAGTGTAGAAAGTAGACAGTTTTCTTGCATAATTTGAATACTAGGACACTGCTAACGTTTACAGATAGGACATACGTGACACACTTCCTGCAAAGTTCTACAGATTGAATTTGATGTTGCGGCTGCAAAAGGGATACACTACCTTTAAAGGTACCATGTCCCTTTTGCAGCCAACCTCAAATGCTGTAGAACTTTGCAGGAATTATGAATATGTCATGTATGTCCTATTTGTGAAATTTAAACGTTAGCAGTGTCCTCATATTCAAATTATGCAAGGAAACCCGTTTACTTGCTAGACTTCACTGTCAGACACTATTGAGTGACTGACTGGCTTTTTTTCTTCTTTGGTAATAACATACATGAAAAGAGTTGTAAAGCGTACATGAGCATTTGTCTACATCAATAACCCATTTCTTATGATGGCCAAGATTAAACTGATTGAATTTTTGCGCAGCATAAAACGTAAGACCATTCGGTACAATTGTCTGAAAATCAAGATTATTACTTTTGGGCTCTATAGCCCTAAAGTCGATTTGACAACTAATAGTCGTTATTTTCCCACTTGAAGAAATTTTCAAGCCCCACCTTTTTTTAGGGAAGTTCTAAATTAGTATTATTTTTCAAATGCAGTTGGAATTTAACTTTTTCATTTTTGGCCTGCAAATGGGACATAGTACCTTTAAGGTAACTTTGTCATTGAGTAATACAAAACGGACAGCGTTTATATATTTGGGATGCCATACCTTTAAAAAAATGGAAGTCTGCTGTCAATTTCTTTGAAATGTAATCATTATGTGCTCTTCCTTGCATTTAGGTTTAGTATCCTTTAAGTCTTCACACGCTATTCGAGATAAACATTATGCTCCTTACGTATGTGAAATAGCGCAGTGGACAAGTGAGCTACCATGAGACAAGAAGTTAGTAGGTTGTTTAAAATAATTAAAGGTTATTCCGTTGGATTGAAACAAGGTTCTGTGAAAGCCTAGAAACATTGCATCATTTTAAACAATGAAGCACTGAAGCACGAGGCAGAATTTACATTTTAAAAGGATTTTAAACGAAAGAAGCACATGCATATGGCCTGACCCACATTCCGAACTTGGAACAAGGCGATTTTGACAACACATTTTAAAGACCCTGGTGCTCATTCACCCGTGGCAGAATTATTATGAACAGGGTATCATTGGACAGAAGGTAAGTAAATCTTCATCATGAAACTAATTTCCCGCTAATTTCAAAGTCATATTGGTTATGACTTTTTAATTAAGAGCTACCAAAGTTGGCTACACTTTTTTTTATACGGACTCTATAGACCAGTTCGTAGATACCCGATAACCTCAAATATCTACAGACCTTATAATCATTGCCAATGTCAAGGAGGTTCTTCAAGATCGAATATGGAAGAGCAGACGTTATGTCCGGCAGGGGCGGCGCTCCTGGGGGGGGGGGGGGGTTGCACAGCTCCTCCTCCTCCCCCTATTTTACATAGGAAAAGTATCCCTTACCATATTTCATAATTGTACCTCTGATAATCGCCCCTATTTAAATCTGAGAGGTGCCGGCCCTTTTCCTTTGACAAGTGCCCTTTTTCCTGTGTAAATAGTGTTCCTTCCCCCTCTAATAAGTGCCCCTTTCACCTCTGATAAGTGTCCCTACCAAAATGTGACAGGTGCCTCTTTTTACCTCTGATATTTTTACCCCTGATATTTTTACCTCTGACATTTTTACCTCTGATATTTTTACCTCTGATATTATTACCTCTGACATTTTTACTTCTGATATTTTTACCTCTGATATTTTTACCTCTGATATTATTACCTCTGACATTTTTACCTCTGATATTTTTTACCTCTGATATTATTACCTCTGACATTTTTACCTCTGATATTTTTACCTCTGATATTATTACCTCTGATATTTTTACCTCTGACATTTTTACCTCTGATATTTTTACCTCTGATATTATTACCTCTGATATTTTTACATCTGATATTTTTACCTCTGACGTTTTCACCTCTGATATTTTCACCTCTGACATTTTTAACTCTGACATTTTTACCTCTGATATTATTACCTCTGATATTTTTACCTCTGACATTTTTAACTCTGACATTTTTACCTCTGATATTATTACCTCTGATATTTTTACCTCTGACATTTTTACCTCTGACGTTTTCACCTCTGATATTTTCACCTCTGACATTTTTACCTCTGACATTTTTACCTCTGATATTTTTACCTCTGACATTTTTACCTCTGATATTATTACCTCTTATATTTTTACCTCTGATATTTTTACACCGAGCCTCCCAGAAAGCCCCAGACTCGTTTGTGGATAAGATCAATGCCAACTTTCAAGTGCATTATGAATCATGACATCAATATATCCATTCTTCTCTCTCCTTCTCTATAGTCTCTCTCTCTCTCTCTCCATCAGGGATGGGGTTGGGCTTCGTCCCCTTCATCCTTAATTCGGTACTGCCTACTTTCACAAACATTAACAGTCATAATTATTCTTGCAAACGCATGAATACATCCATACACATCAAATAGAACGAAAAACGAATCATATTTTAAACTTAAATTTCACAAAGCAATTAAAAAAAATCGGCTTACCCGTCTGAAGCCCAATAAAGCTGGAAAATAAGAGCAGGCACGCTGGTAGAATGGTTTTGGACACCATTTTGTGTATAGAATGCCCCCGTTTACGGTTCTCATATCAATTGTAACTCAAAACCAATAACCAAACTCGCATGCCGTGCAAAAAAGGTGGAGCTTAAGTGGTATTTTTTCTGACTCTATGTGCACTAGTAGGCGTTCTTGAGAAAAAGTGGGAGAGAGAGAGAGAGAGAGAGGGGGAGAGAGAGAGTTGTAGTAGTAGGGCCACTGTTCGACCCAAGTTTTGCACTATTTCCTTCCTTGTCGCTACATCCCTGGAATAACCTGGATGCACCTTCATAATTATGACCGCTTCGATCAAATTGCTTAAATATGAGACTGTTTACTTCAAATAATGTTTCCTGGATCCTTTTTAAGAGGAAATCTAGGAAACGGTGCTTTGCAGAGATTTTCATTTTTTTCTGGTTTCTTTCGTTTTGCTTTTTGGTAAACATAACACCTTTTCCTGCTTTATTTCACAAAGACACACAGTGTTTTCTTGTTATCTTGTTTCATGTTTGTTTTGTATTTGTCTGCATGTTTATTTAGTTGTGACTCCTTTCAATTTATCTCTGAATAAAGGCCTCTAAAGTAAACATAACTTTTCATAAATATTTCCCCCCTTTTTAAATACATTTTTAAAAATAGTTTTTGAGGTTATGAAATTGGTCAGTTTGGGGGATAGGCAGTCATGGATAATAACTATGATAATTTCCTCCGATCAGAATAGACTCCAATCAGAATAGACTTGGGCCCTATTTCATGAAACTTCTTATCTCTACCAAATACTAAATTTCTATGACTAAATTGCTCTCAGCCAACGAAATGCCATGATTTCAGTAGCGTATAACAGTTAATGTTCTTAATAACAAGTTTTATGAAACAATGAGGGCCCAGTTTGTAATGCACCCCCGTACTCTCTAAAAAAAATCGAGTGATCACGGACGTCACTCCTCTGGAGTGAAAATGTAGTGAAAATAGAGTGAACATTCACTCTTTTCTTCTTAGAGAGCACTCTAAAATCAATTGATTTTCACTCCTAAACAAGTGATCACGAACGTCACTCCCAAGAAAGTGAAAATAGAGTGAAAATTCACTTTTTTTTTAAAGAGAGTACAGACTAGGGGTTCGGGGTTCGCGTGAACCCCCCTCCAATATATATTTTTTTTGCTCAAAGGAGGGGGGGGGGGGGTGTTGATTTTTTTAAAATGGTGCTCCATACCCTGCCTCCCCGTAAGCAACAAAAAAGGCAATTTGGAGATTCACGCGGGTATATAGTGATCTCATATTTCAAACATTTCAAACTCCCTAAGTATTCACTATGAACATGACTGACAATGAGAGCGGACAAAATATACAGTTCCTCAGGTAGACAAAGGAACATCCCTTCACAGCTATTATGTAAAAAGGTGAATATGCATGTGACACCTGTTCTACACATTTTTACATAATAGCAGTAAGGGATGTTCCTTTGTCTACCTGAGGAACTGTATATTTTGTCCGCTCTCATTGTCAGTCATGTTCATAGTGATTGGTCGGATTTATTTCAAAGTTTCTGTTTGCTGTAATCATAAGGATGGATCGCCCTCTAACGTGATAAAACAGTCAGCAAAGGATTGCATTAAAAAAAAACTCGGGGTGATTAGAGAGTCAGTAGGGAAATAAATAACGGTTTCATTTTGTGTATATGATAATCATTAAGTTTTATGAAGTATTGCCACGGCTATAAGCAAAGCTTATGCGGCAATCCTTCTTTATGATTATTTTATGTTAATAATACAATTTAAGTACTTTAATGTTGATGATGTATTAATCATATGTTTGTTTATTGTCATGATTATGTTGTCATTGGTTTGTAATTTTGGAAAAAGACTATGAAGAGAAATAAATGAATCAACTCAAATCGAATCAAACCATTGTACAAAATGCATCCTTTTGCTTTAAAGATAAAGTTGAGTTCTGGCCATGCGATTGCATTGTGAAAGAAACGGTGTGGAATCGATCAGAAAAAGTTGATCATGTAGCATTGGTGTGTACTGCAAGGTTCGGGAGTCATCAAAATGATAAAAGAATGTGGCCCAGTCTTGGCAATTAAAGGAACATTACTGTAACCAGAAAGATGTATATGGGACTACACAAACATGTGGCATAAAAATCGGGCCTCATGTCAGTTTAAGCTGCATGTAACTTATCATTATGTAGAATATGAAGGCATTTGAAGAGCCATGCTTTTCAGGGAACAATTTTTCTCTGATGACCTTCCACACTTGCATAATAACAATGATAACGCTCACAAATTATTTTTCACCTCTTCCCAGAACTCAGCCTTCGTTTAAGTCTAACATAAGGAAGAGAAAGACCCATCAATTAAAGGTGATGCTCAGTTCAATTCACCAATTAAAGTGAGATAAACATTATTTCTTTTCGAGCAGAAACATAATGTAGAATAATTTCTTCCCACTAACTTCAAAAGACTTTCTACTGATCGATTTAACGTATTTTCCTTAGATTTCACATACATTTCCTTACATGATTCTGCTAAATGTTATACCAGGTTTTAACAAACACATTTTGCTATGGTATAGCACAGATGCGTGCCAGTGAGATATCCCTTGTACAAAGGATATCCCGTGTTATAGGTCAACAAAACAAACAAAAATTCGGGAAAACCCCCACATATTTAGTTTGGTTTCACTTTACTCACAAGCATGGCATGATCGAGTCGGGTTGAGGGGGTGGGGGGGGGGGATGGGGGTTGTACGACTAAACCAGTCCACATTTTTCCAAAATTTCAAATAGGTTTAATTAAAATATAAAACTGATAAAATATATATTTGATTTTGATATGATTGATACTAATAGTTATGAATTAAAAGGTGTTTATTCAACCCTTATGCATGAATCGCCGAAAGCGCATTTTCGCTACTGCCCCCTCCCCTACCCCCACACCTCCCTCCCTCCCCCTCTCTCTCTCTCTCTCTCTCTCTTTCTCTCTCCTCCTCTTCTCTCTTTCCCCTCTCCTTTTCTTTGCTCAAATCTCCTCCGTTTGATCTTTATTCAATAAGTGCTGCCCGGCTTTGATATGATAATTCTGTTTTGATGTTGGGTTTGGTTTGCTCTTCACTTTTCAAAATTCTTCACGGAAAGGATGCCCCCTTTGATATATTTTACCTTACACTCATGTCCATAATATCAATAGGCCTTGCTTTCCGGAAAGAAATCAAGAGCCTGCGATGATGAAACCCTCGTGAAAACAACCGACTTCTCGTTATCCTGTTATTGAGTTAGCAAGAGATTTCAATCTCTTCTCGGAAGTGAATCTTGTTATTGTGGCCGGTATTGGGTTGCAACTTGAGAAGAAAGGGAAAGTTAGAATGTTCTGGTTTCTCATGGAATCCTTCTGTTCAGTTGACTCGAATCATTTCCACCCACTGCAAATTCGATACTTCTAAAAATCAATGACGAATTGAAAGTGAATGTGGCGGTATCATAAAAAGCAAAACAAAAAAACTTGCTAGAAACGACCCTTTTACAGATTTATAAAATCCAACTGAGAAAGTACCAAATAATTTATACACTTATTTGACAAGTTTACTTAAAAGTGTTTATTTTTTTTCCACATCTTGCCCTCTTCATAATACAATGCTAGTACCAGTTTTGCCCGACATAGCACCGTTCAATGTCAGTGTGGGATTCTGGTGATGTTCACAACGGGTTGACATTAAGAACACGCACTCACATTGGCCCGATGAATCCTTAAAGAGGTAGTCTACCCTGATACTAAGTTGGTTGTATATTAGAACAAAACGAGAGGAACAGGTCAGTGAAAGTTTGAGCAAATTCCGATTAAAAATAAGAAAGTTATGAATTGGTGATGCTGTTGCGATCAATCAAACACATTTGTGTCTGATTCTATAAAGTATTAAAGCCCGTCTGTACTAGTTGACCAGGGGGGATTAGACCATCCTGCAAGGTCATTGACAGGTGGTTATCTAATCAAATCATAAAAATGACTATGTTAATCACTTCGAACCAACTACATGGAATTAAGGCAATGCATCGTGTATAGACGGATATAAAACACGACATCTACGATGTATGGCTCCTCCATTTTCAGATTGACACATTCTTCTATGATCTTTATCCAATCAGCGCTCTCCATCTTCGAGCAGCACTGTTCGGAGCGCGGCCACGCCAATTCTGTACTTATTTTGATTGACACATTCTCATATGATCTTTATCCAATCATCGCTCTCCATCTTCGAGCACCGTTCGAGCGTGGCCGCGCCCATTCTGTACGTTTAGAAATAAGTTTCCTTTCTTTACAAATGGAACATGGAAGGTAGTATTGGATCGAGAGCCTAGGAGAACGACAAGCAATGGAGGGAAAGAGTTATCATTATTTAGTCCTGTTCACAGGACTGTTTCTTTGCCTGTTACACAGTGGCGGTAAGTGGATTATCATGATCTTTTCAAGACTTATACCATACAACGTGACCAATCGCACATTAATTCATGATTTTTAGCATGCGCTTCCCCAACCCTCATTCCATGTTTTGCTATGCCATGTAAATATCCAGGTGAGGGGGCCTTACGGATTCCAGAAAAAAACAAATATTGTAATTTTTATCAAATTCATGAAATCACCATCACTACATGCCTGCTCAGATATAAAGTGGTAAACCACGGCTGATATATGATTATCTAATTATAGGCTATGAATATTTTGTTATTTTTTGTTATTTTCTGTATTGAGCTCAGTATAGAACTTGAATACAAAACTGTGAAGCGTAATACACTTAGATACGTGTAATCAATAATAATTATAAAAAACGCCTGAAATAGTATTTTAACTAAGCGGCTGAACTATATAAACTTTCCGGCCATAGTATTTTACCATGCATTTATATGGTTTGTTGATAAGCCGTCTTGACTATTATGTAGTATAATCTTGCACATTACTAAAGCGACAGCTCCAGATTTGAGAGTGCACCATCATTTTATACCATTTCTCTCTCGTTGGTCCATGTTAACATTAAGGATATTATATTCGATTAATAGAACACCCACTACTCTACTGACATGAGTACTGTTTCAAACAGCTTTGAAGAATGCAGTTTGCGGATACATAGGTCTATTTTTTCGTTCATATCATTCAATGTTTTCATCTGTATTTACGCCATATTCATGCACATTTTAAACTTTGCATTACGGTGTGAAATATTCAAAAAATATCTATTATCATCAATTTATTGTCTCTTGTCTTATAAACTCGTGTCTGTTTAGTTTTCGACTAGTTTTTCTGAATAAAATAAAATGATATTCAAAATAAAGTTCAGAACATTCTTCTTAAGTGAACCCTTCACCATTGACATGAAAAAAAAAGAACATATAGGCCTATACTTAGAGTGATAGTAGTCAGGCGCGGATCCAGGATTTCTCAGGGGAGGGGGCCCAACTTTTTACTTTTTGCTCCCAAAAATTTGAAAATCGCGCCGGCGGAAAAGTCGCTCAGTGGGGGGGGGGGGGGGGGGGGGGGGGGGGGGGGGGGGGGATGGGAGGGGGGGGGGGGTAGTGAGCACATTTTTTTTTTTTTTTTGGTCCTCGAAAATTTGCACCCCCCCTTGAGCCAGGGGGGGGGGCCCAACCACTAAAAAAGGTAAAAAATCACGTGTTTTTACATGATTTTTTTCTCAAGGGGGGGGGGGGCGGGCCCCCAAGCCTCCCCCCTGGATACGCCACTGATAGAAGTAGTGGTGGTGGTAGCGGTGATGTTGGTATAGTGGTGGTGGTGATGGTGAAGTAATTAGTAGTGGTTGATGTGGTGATGTTGGTGATGTTGGTAGTTATAGTAGGGCGGTGGGGTGGTAGTGGTAGTGGTAGTGATGTTGATGGTGGTGGTGGTGATAGTGAACGTAGTGGAATGGTGATGATGATGGTGGTGGTGATGGTGGTGATGATGATGGTGGTGATGATGATTGTGGTGGTTGTGGTGGTGATGGGAATGGTGATGAGGATGGTGATGGTGGGGATGGTGATGGTGGTGATGGTGATGGTGGTGATGGTGATGGTGGTGGTGGTGGTGGTGATGATGATGGTGATGTTGATAGTGGTAGTTGTGTTAAAGACGGTGGTAGTTGTAGTGTTGGTGATTGTTGTGGTGGTGATGGTGGTAGTGAAGATAGTGAGCGTAGTGGAAATGGTGATGATGATGGTGGTGGTGGTGATGGTGGTGATGGTGATGATGGTGATGGTGATGTTGGTGGTGGTGGTGGTGGTGGTGGTGGTGATGGTGATGTTGATAGTGGTAGTTGTGTTAAAAATGGTGGTAGTTTAAGCAGGCGCGCCGGAAGCAGTTTGGGATTGGGGGGGGGGGGGGCAAACACTCCAGGGGGCTTACCTTCCAGGGGCAGTGACGTAATGAGCAAACACGTTTGGAAGGGGGGGGGCAGAAGAAAAATCTGCATCACCACCACTCTTACACGTTACATGCAGGCCCCGCGTAACGTTTTTCAAATTTCACTAATTGGCGGAGAGTCCAGGGAGCAGAGCCCCCGGAAGCTCAGGGGTTTTAAGTATTTAATTACGGTTAGATGAGCATCCATGGGCCCTCTTTAAGGCCATTGATGTGGTCCAGGGGGCAGAGCCCCCGTAAGCTCAGGGGTTTTAGTCTATTTAATTATGGTCAGATGAGCATCCAGGGGCAGCTTTAGGGACCCCTGCCTTGACGGGGTTCGGGGGCGGAGCCCCCGTAAGCTCTGGGGGTTTTAGGCATTTAATTACGGTCAGATGGGCATATTTTGATACCTCATTTGTGACATTGGCAGGTCACTTATTTTTTTTCTCTTTCTTTCTTTTACTCTGTAACATACTTTTTCAAAAAGTGAGGGGGGCTCGAGCCCAGCCGTTTTGCAGACCATGACATAAAGGCTTCTAAATAAGCATATTTTTTGCCTGACTGTAAATTTGGGAATTTTTAATTTTCCAACAAACGCATAAAAAGTATGACTTACAAAAAATAGAGAAAAAAAACACCCAGAAAATCATGTCAATTCAGCAACATTTATAAATTACTGGTATCGAATTAGAAATACCTCCCCCCCCCCCCCCATCAGTACGCCAGCGTTCAGGGGCTCATGTCTTTTCACCCCTATAACAACAAAAAAACAGACACGCTTTCCAATTCTCTCACAATATGTCCACGATATGTCTCTCACAATATGTCCACGATATGTCTCTCAAAATATGTCCACGATATGTCTCTCACAATATGTCCACGATATGTCTCTCAAAATATGTCCACGATATGTCTCTCACAATATGTTCACGATATGCGCTTATCGCTATTATAAAAACCTCCATTGATACATGTGGCATGCGCAATGTTTAGGAAATTTAATTCCTGTTTATACCTTTCCTTTTCTTTGAATGGAATTTTATATGTGATTTAATTCAGATTTTTATTAGAGTTATGTTCTTTTGGTTAACAATACAAACCATCTTTACTCCTTTACTGTTTTTTTTTTGTTTTGTTTTGTTTTTTGTTGTTTTGTTTTGTTTTGTTTTTTGTTTTTTGGCCCCCCCCCCCACTTCCGGCGCCTATGAGTTGAAGTGTTGTTGATTGTTGTGGTGGTGATTGTGGTAGTGATGAACGTACTGGGAATGGTCATGATGATGATGGTGGTGATGGTGGTGGTGGTGATGGTGGTGATGGTGATGGTGGTGGTGGTGGTGGTGGTGGTGATGTTGATAGTGGTAGTTGTGTTAAAAATGGTGGTAGTTGAAGTGGTGTTGATTGTTGTGGTGGTGATGGTGGTAGTGATGAAAGTGAACGTAGTGGGAATGGTCATGATGATGATGGTGGTTGTGGTTGTGGTGATGATGGTGATGGTGTTGATCGCGATGGTGGTGGTGGTGGTGATGGTGGTGATGGTGGTGATCGTGATGGTGGGAGTGGTGGTGGTGGTGGTGATGGTGCTACTGCTGCTTCTGGTCCTGATGGTGGTGCTGGTGGCCTGAAGAAGTAGGCCTTCATGTAAATTTCACTCTTTTCTATTGTTCACTTATATTATTATCTTAATCCTGTCTCATTAATAAACGTTACTATGTGTGTGATTCTGTTTAAATAACCAGGGGCATCATCGAGCTGCGATAACATCAATCCGATTGATTTTGCGGAAATCACGTATGATGAACCGGAGGGGTTAGCATCCCACCCTGACGGGACGGTTGCGAATATTGGGTGTGGTGTCTTTTATCAGATCGTGCCCACGGATTTTGAGAGAACAACATGCACCAATGGATCGTGGACAGAACCGTTGCCCCGATGCAGACATATTCGTAAGTAGATCATGGAAGTCTGGACGTGGGCGTGGTCCCCGTTGCGGACGTGTTAGTAAGTATTCTTGGTTGCATCAAGTTACCCTGGACAAGGGCGTGGCTCAATTATGTTGTAGATTCATTATTGCAGGAGATGTCATGTCCGTCATTCGAACTACCGTATATTGTCAAGGCTCAGGTACAGATAATTATGTTGGTAAAGTATAAGTAAGAATGAGGAAGTTTTGTAAGGGCTCAAACCAGGTGTGAAATGTGCATCTTAAATCACGGTAAATATATATATATATATATATATATATATATATATATATATATATATATAAATAATAATTAAAATAAAAATCGTTGAGAGTTCTCTTCTTCACTATGACCGATTTCAATTTCATTTATTCAGATAGTTATATGCAAATTCGTTTGATTTCATTTCGTTTTGATTTCACAAACCATGATTAAAAAACAAGTTATGATTATAACATAATTTGGTGGTATAGAACGTAGGAAATTGCTTAAAACAATAAAGTAATTCATAAAATATTGGTAAAATAAATATTTGGGGGTAAATAAAATTGTGTTATACAATATAAATGGTTTGCGAGGCACACCTAAAAAGGCATAGACGCATGTAGGCAAGGTAGCCCTTGTAAAAACAGATGATGGTAAATAAATAAAAAAGAAGAACGCAATTCAGGTTAGAGCGTTAATATATTACCGGCTATTTTTTATTTATGTTTTTTTATTTATTGTCTTTTTCTTAAATCAGCGAGATACTGTCAACGTCATGTAGCCCTGGTCGAGAGCTACGGACGGGATTGTCAGACCCCATGCAGGCAGCGTCCTAATGGGGGTTGTCCTCCAAACAAGCGATGTCACTGCGATGGGGTTTGTGGATGGAGTTGTATTTCAATTTGTAAGTACGGACTGCTTCACGTCAATATCTAAACAAATCGTCCAAAACTATTTGAAATGCATGTCACTAAAAAGAGAACAATATGGCTATAATATATTATTTACAATAAATGAAATTCGGAGCATACTATCAGAACTACCTTTACAGTAATTAAAACAAAATTTATATATAACATTTGAAAAATGACGTTGTCATAATGTGGCACGAAAGAATTATACTCCAATGTTGTTTATAAAATCGGGTCTTTGCTTTGTTTCCGTCAAAACAGTAGGCATTCTCCGCTGTCATACATTGGTTCACAGACCTGCATCAATCCAAATACCTGAGTTGTATTAATTTTGTTAAAGTTGATTTTAAGAAAATAAAGATTAGCCTACATATGAATACATGCTTTTAAGCACGGCGAGGGGGTCGGGAAACGAATGGCGAGTGGGGAGAGGAAAGAGAGGGGGTAAAAGAATGACAGGGAGATGGCCGGGGAAATAAACACCTTCCCCAATTCTTAGCCATGTTCTCTTGCATTTCAAGAACGACCTTGCCCTCACCCTTCCATGACACGGACCCAAGCTATACGCCACTGCTTTGAAGTACAGGAAATACTCGGTTATGATATACATGTACATCTCTATTATTCAACCTGTAATAATTCATTTATAAAATGATATTTTTTAACTCTTTTCCAGACGAGGACAATTTCTGCCCAGAAGTGGCTCACCAAGCAGGTCTTTTGGTGACCTACGACACCCCTGAACGGCGATTCAATGGCTACGCCAATTTCTCTTGTGGTGAGGGTTACATTTATCATTCTGGGAGCAGCAGGCTACGGTGTATGAGCAACAGACAGTGGGGCGGAGGAAACGAATTTTTGTGCATCCCAAACGGTAAGGACCATTCCGAATTCATGTTTCAAGTTAAAGAGAAGGTTGAGTTCTGTGAAAAGTTACAAATAGTTTGTGAGCGTTGTTCATTCTTTGTATATTAGTGTGGACGAATATCGTACAGAAAATGCCCACTGAAAATGATGGGGTCTTGTTCCTAAATGTTGCGCACCGATCAAAGCCAAAATATTAAACTCATAATAATGTCATACCCTAGATAAGGGTTTAAATATTATTGGGATTTAGATGCAGGGAAATGATTCGGGCACCTCGCTGGCATATTTTTTCTTCTGAATAGCTGCAAACTTCTGTAAAACTCGTTTCTAAAGCCTCGGTCACAAAGAATATTACGAAATGCTACAAACGCTGTACGAATGATTTTCAGACCATTTCGCTGTACGAAGGCCGTACGAAGCCTCTCACGTAAACCACGTAGTCTGTAATTGTATAACTATATCATCTCCGCAATTTATGGAAGATTCGTAGATTCACTGATTTTAAGACATGTCACCATGCTGTCCGAGCTCTAAGTTCTTTCTAGGTTGATTATTGCAAAAGTCACTGTTTTGTGTGCTAGAGATAGAAGGAAAATCGAAATTTTCCAGAATCGTGCCGCTAAATCAATCTTCTTTGGTCTTGAGTCTAGAACACTGGGTACCTCTCCAACAACGTATTCTGTTTGAATAAATGTTTGTATGCTTTCAAAATACTCGATCACTGATTTAAGTAGACCGAGTAAAATTCGGTCTATGATTTAAGGCACCTGAATATCTTAATGACACCCTCCAAATATATACACTATCTCGTAATCTACGCTCAGCAACCGACACATATAACTTATCATTCCCAAATATAGACTCTTAACAGCTGAAAAACGTTTTGCAGTAGCTGCATCAAAGACTTGGAACAGCATCCCTCTTTCCATAAGGGAGATTACCTGTCTTGCCACCTTCAAAAGATCCCTCAAAACTTTTCCTGCCCCAGTGATCCTCTTTTCATATATATTTGTAAGCGCTGTGGTAATTATTGTATTTAGCGCTCCTAAATATTAGATATTATTATTATTATTATTATTATTATTATTATTATTATTAAAAAGTTGGCTGGCCCGAAGATGGTCGTGGGTTCGATCCTCGACCCATCACAGAACCTCGATAATCCTATTCACATTGCTTTCGCGCAGGTGTTTGTGCCCCATATTGCGACCCCCTACCCCCGCCTCTGACACGCCCCCTTTATCTGCCTCTGTCTCTCTCTGTTTCTATCTCTCTGTCTCTCTGTCTCTCTCTCTCTCTCTCTCTGTGTCTCTCTCTCTGTACGTCTCCCTGAAAAAAGGCGTCCCTCGCGGGGTTCTTACCGCGTACCGGTCGCGGTGGGGGAGGGGGGGGGGGTTATTGGGTGCTATATAGTCGTGCATACTGCACTGGCGCTGGTTCTGTTGCTTTTAACACGTCGCGACCAACACTGTTAGGTTACATACTTCTGAGTTCTACTTCTATAGCTTTTGACACAGAAATCCGTCTGCTGCTATATAGCTTGGATCTAGCAGGGTTTGTGAGTTAAACACCTCCCTGGATCTAGCAAATTCACTCGATCTCTGGTGGTATAAGATTTTAAAAATCCCACACATAGAGTGCATCAATTTTGTCTTTCGGCACGCTCTCAATTGAAACATCGTCGTACCGGTAATTAATCTCAGCTGAATATATTCCCGAACGAAAAAAGATCGACTTTTCGGTCTAATTTACAGGTAACCATTTATGATTAAGGAGTGTATTAGTTAGCGATCCACACAGGAAGTAGGCTTCGTGAACTAAAAGAAACTGCAACGTGAAATATTTTAGGAATCTTTTTGTTTCAGTCGTCTGCAGAGATCCACCCAGCGCAGAACACGCCTCGCTGCAGCCAAGCGGGAAGCAATATTTCCTACCCGGTGACACCCGCTCATATACATGCAATCTCGGCTACATAATCCGTGGAAGTCGGGACATTACTTGTGGCGACGACTATGGGTGGTCGGAACCAGACTTCACCTGCAGGCGTAAGTAGGCCTATCAACGTTATGGATGGGTTTTAAATTATTATTTTTTGAAAATGTGTAAAAAGATGCTCTGGTCAAACATTTGTGTTGGTTGCAATCATTATAAAGCCACTTTCGACAGGTTTTAGGGGGAGCAGCTACAGGTTACATGCAAACTGGAGTCCCCTCCAAACATGGTTTTCATGATTTGGGGGCCGGGGGGGGGGGGGGGGGGGGGGTGTCCACTGTCCAGTCAGAATATATCACTTTACAGATGCATGATGACAGGTTTTCCAAGTAATTGGGATATTCTACAAAGACTACAATTGAATCGGTACAAATATATTTTCAATTAGTGCTGTAGTCAAACGTGTAACCTTCCGGTATCCAACCGCCCATGGCACTATCCATTTTCAATTGGACGGTTTCGTTTTCCCTTTTGTTTAACCCAGTCAGAAAATATCACTTTACAGATGCATGATGACAGGTTTTCCAAGTAATTGGGATATTCTACAAAGACTACAATTGAATCGGTACAAATATATTTTTCAATTAGTGCTGTAGTCAAACGTTTAACCTTCCGGTATCCAACCGCCCATGGCACTATCCATTTGATATTTGATATTTCCATATGAAATTCCATACATTGAGATTGTTATCATAATATCTCAAGAACCACTGGAGATTTAAACTTCAAACTTAGTGATAGTGTGTATCACTATAGGAAAACAATCTGATTACATTTTGGAGCACGTAGGTCAAAGGTCAAGGGTCATAGAGGTCAACTTATGAAATTCCATACATTGAGATTGTTATGATATCTCAAGAACCACTGGAGATGTAAAAACTTCAAACTTAAGGATAGTATGTATCACCATAGGAAGACGATCTGAATAGATTTTGGAGCACGTAGGTCAAAGGTCAAGGGTCACAGAGGTCAACTTATGAAATTCCATACATTGAGATTGTTATCATAATATCTCAAGAACCACTGGAGATTTAAACTTCAAACTTAATGATAGTGTGTATCACCATAGGAAGACAATCTGATTAGATTTTGGAGCACGTAGGTCAAAGGTCAAGGGTCACAGAGGTCAACTTATGAAATTCCATACATTGAGATCGTTATCGCGATATCTCAAGAACCACTGGAGAATTTTCACTTCAAACTTAATGATAGTATGTATCACCATATCATAATATCTCAAGAACCACTGGAGATTTAAACTTCAAACTTAATGATAGTGTGTATCACCATAGGAAGACAATCTGATTAGATTTTGGAGCACGTAGGTCAAAGGTCAAGGGTCACAGAGGTCAACTTATGAAATTCCATACATTGAGATTGTTATCATGATATCTCAAGAACCACTGGAGATTTAAACTCCAAACTTGTTTTAAATTGCTCTATGGCGGAGGCATCATTTTCGACTGCGCGCAGTCAAAATTCCATCTAGTTTTGGTTGTTTTTTGTAATTTTTATTTATATATATATATATATATATATATATATATAAATATTTTTTTTAAAGTTCTGATTTATGCCCCCCACCTGGCACTATGCCTGGCAATGACTCCCAGCTCAGTAATCGGGGTGTTGACTCACCACTCGGAAACTAGAACAACACTCCAATTTGTCTGTCATCTTGGTTTGAAAGTAATCTTTGTAATAGATCTCAATATGTAGTTTATATTAATAATTCCTCCAATTTTTCTTCTATTACACATGGCGTACCACAAGGTTCTATCCTAAGTCCTCTACTATTTTTAATTTACATTAATGATCTTACACATTCTTCTAAAAAAGGACATTGTTACTATTTGTGACAATTTAACACGATCTGGCTTGCTGCAGACAGAGTCGGCAAAAAAAACAACCCCAAAAACGTCCGGTTTTGACTGGCGGTTAAACGGAATTGGAGATATCCGTGATTTTCAATTATACCATAAACGTCCACACTATGTTTGTATTTGTTACTTTAACTGTTGCAGGTCACAAAATTTTGGACTGTAAAGTGTAAAAATATTGATTTTGTAGTTGTAAACTGAAAATCTCCATAATCATAACATGTTATATCATTATTACTTTTATTTTTATGTAATTATTTACTTTGGGTACAGCTCGCCCCTGCACCTACCCTGGTAGAATATCTAACGCTGATCTCACGACTCAACTATTCCAGTTTAAAGAACGGGCAATATACGTTTGTAGGGAGGGGTATGAGAACCCGCCCTACACCCTGCCCTATAGGACCTGTCAAGCGAATGGCCAATGGACTCAAATCTTACCAATTTGTGAACGTGAGTAGTATCTTGTACATAATTTCTATACATTTACGAATGGAAATCAATTTTACTCTAGCTCTTTTCACCCTTTGGTGGATGTTGGTCACTGAGAAGATCTTGTCAGCTACAAGCCAGTTGGGCATTGAAGGGTGATTCAACCCTTGTAATGAGTTAACCTCAAATTGGCAGTTTGTCATGGATATATATATAGTTCTGCCATTTGTTGTTTTAAAAAAAATCAGTAATTTCTGTTTGTTTCAGCTCCCAAGTGAATTCACCCTTGGGGCACTATACTTAAAATGTTTTATTATAGGTCCTCCGAAAAGGAAGACATACATTTTTTTTAAATTGAAATTTTAGTCACTTTGTGTGTTCTGTTTTGGGACAAATGGGAAAGTTGTCTGCCAATACATTACTGATTCAGCCAATTTGAGGAGCCTCTACATTTAGTGATTGCAACTTTAAAAATTCATAGTGTTTTGACTGTTCTGACATTACATTGGATGGATAATAAAATTGTACTAATGCCTCCAAAAATTATGTGAATTATTTGCTCCCAGGCAAATGCCCAGGCTTTTTTGGTCAAAATTGTTTGGGTTAGGGATTGGGTTTTAGGTTAGGTTTAGGTCAAAGGTGATGGTTAGGGTTAGGTATAGTGACTGTGTGCTTGAGAATAAGGTTAGTGTAGGAAATTACTATAAATCAAATATTGCAGGAGCAATGGTTGCACAGCCAAACTGTTGATGAGGGTGCTGCTTGCAATTGATAATCAGCCCCATCGCGAATAGACCATTTTACTTATATTCAAATTTCATGCATTCTGTTTAAAGAAAAGTTGTTCTTTGACAACCCGCAAACTTGCCTGAGGCGTGCCAAACATAGCAACAAGTAATGTATGCAGACTGGATTCCAAGTGTTGTAGTTTATTAATTAATAACAGGTTGATGGAATACCTTAATTGTCACTAGGTCCCCGGGAAAAAAACATCCATAAATTTGAATACATGTTAGTAAACCGTTCTATTGAATAGATATATTGGGCGTCTAAGTTGCCCAAAGTGAAATTGAGATGATAAATCGGTGTGTAAATTTTACAAAATGATCAGTTGCTCAACAGGGAAAATAAATGTCTGGTCATGCACATATATCTACTCTCATACTCTTTTCACACTGGTTTTGCTTAACCCCGTACTTTGCTTAGCCCCGTACTATCCTTAACCCCGGACTAACTTTTTTGGCTTTTCACACACGCTGTTTTTAGTCCCGTACTAGCGCCTATTCCAAAATAAGAAAATTCACGCTGTTCTCACTGCAATTCGTTAGCCGCGTACTAGTGAATATATGATTTGACAGTGGGCTCCTTACTGCCAGCTGCGATACGCTCTATTGCGTAGTACCGGACTATTTTTCGTTTCTGTTCTCATTCATTTGCTTGGTACCGCGATTGCGGTGTTATCAGGAGTTAGCACCACAATTGTGGGGTTAGCCCTGCTATTTTGCAGATCCAGCTAACCCCGTACTATAGGTGGGGCTAGCCCACTTTGGTAAATACGAGTCTGAACAGAAAGTGGAATAAGCTTATAACCCGGACTATAGGTGGGGTTAAGACCCCCCCCCCCCTTAACCCCACCTATAGTACGGGGTTAAGCAAAATTTTGCCAGTGTGAAAACGGTATAAGGTAATCATTTGATTATGATCTACCACATTATTGTATAATTAATAAAATCAACCAGTCCTTTCCAACTTATCTTCACAGCTATTCAGTGTCCAGCAATCCTTGACATTGCTAATGGGAATGTGGATAGCCGTGGCAATGATTTTGATAGTCAAATCTATTTTACGTGTAATGACGGGTACCGCCTTGATGGAACAGCGCGACGGGTTTGTCAAGGAGACAAAACTTGGAGTGGACAAGAGGCTGTTTGTACAGGTATGAAAATCTAGGACTTATGTTATGATGCCCCTTTACATCATACAAATACTGCATGCTGCCATGCTCCGACATATATTATAACAAAATCATTATTTGTATGAAGGATTTCTAGCCAAGCAGAAATATCAGCATATCTTGTGCTTTGAGCAAAGTACCAGGATGGCAGTGCAACTTTCATACAGTATGCAACCCTTGCAAAATACTTGCGTAAGGACAATTTTTTTTCTCTCTGCATGTTTAATGTGCAAGTTAATGCAAAAACATAAGGATGTAATAGTGAAATTAAAGTACTAGGTTTCATAAAATGAATAATATTCTATCCCTTATCGTAAGATTGTTGCATTAGGAATGTACACAACAAGAAAAAGAAAAGTTTTACTATAAAAGACGTTTCCTGCTGACTACATCGGAATAGTTCATTTTTTTATTGCTGACGTCACGCATAGTCCACTTTTTCCCTAGGGAAAAATTGAACTATGCGTTTTCCCAGCGAGCGTACAGGATTCAAGCCATGCAATTGATGCTGTGCGATAACTGCACTACAGTAATAGCACAAGCTAAACATATTTACATCCTTCAATGTTTCATTTGATCCATGCAATTTTCTTTCATTTCTTTTCAATCTGAATGTAAGATGTGAATGTGAGTATAAGGTTCATGTTATTACAGAAGTGTAGGAATAATACAGATGGAAGGGACATAAAACAAATATAAATTGACTCATTCTCGGAACAAGCTAAAACTATTCGCACTCAGGAACATCATTGGTACTTTTCTCTGTCGGGTAAAATAGTACTAGTTGATGTTCCTTCGATGCGAATAGTTTCAGCTAGATCCTCGAGTGTCATTGTATATTTGTATAATATTGAATGGATTTTCTTTCGGGTTTATCCCACTCGCTTTGGGAATATTTTGTGCTGACTCCTGAAAAAGACTCAATAGTTCATGGGATATACCCTTGTTTCCCACTCGAGGCCATTCCATGTTATATATGAACCAACAAATGCTGATATTCGCGAGTAATGTTATATTTCACCGAAATAGAAATATAATGGCACAAAGAAAATTCTGACTTGGTGGTGAATATACATATTGAACAAAAAAAAAGCATGCAATATTTGTTATAAAAACATAGGGTATTTGCGATCTTATCCATAGCTCCTTTGGAGTATAGGCCCTCTTGAATACATTCAGGTTGCCTTCACAAGTTCACATCAGGGCCCAGTCTTACAAAGGGTTGATATCAATCGCAACTTAAGAGATAAGAGACTGCAAACTTGCGATTGATTAGAGGACTTTCGATTGATTTGGATCAATCACAACTCTATGTATTAAAGACAGGGCCCAGATGCACATGGTTAAGTCAATGCAAACAATTGTTATGCACAGGGAAGGGAGGCACGTTGTCTAAGTCACTTTTGTATGCATTTTACTTTGCAAAACATTTCTGATAAATTGCACGCTCATGCACATAGTTAGTTGTTGTTGTTGAGTGTCACGTCACATGTTTTTAACCAATAGGATACTCACTATTAAACAAAATTAGCTCTACTTTACATCACAAATCATATTGTACATTTGAAATGGCATTAAAGGCAGGTTTAACAATGGTCAGAAGCCTGTCTTTCCAAAATGCTGTGAAGCTTGAAGTGTCTGATCCAGATTTGAAATTCAACAGGAATTTAATGTTACTGTACTTCCTACAGAAATCATCTGTGAAGACCTAGGAGTCCCGGTGAATGGCTACATGGCAAACGAAAAGCAGGTGTACCATCTAGATGACGTGGTCTACTATCACTGCAATAGGGGAAAGACATTGGATGGAAGTATACTCAACTCTTGCACAGAGTCAGGAGAGTGGCGATACCCGGTGCCCATATGTGGTGGTCAGTATACCGGGTGGATAGTCGATTTTGATTTGATTTGTTATATTGTCCACATTAAATGGAAATTATTTTTTCACATGGTTTACAAGGTATATACAGTACATAAAGTATAGGTCAATTGATTATGCGATGAATAAAATCATTATCCCCACTGAACATGTATAGTATGTGATCGGAATAAGACATTTCATGACCAAGTTGAGCTGAAATGCTCATGAAGTGTTGACATACTTCAAGTATTAAACACCTGCCAATGGGTGGTATTCTGAGATACTATCTCAGTAAGATGAAATACCCCTAATATCATTTTAGCAAGATTTTATCACACATTTGTGATGCGATAACCAGTATGAAATGTTTTTTGAGATTTTACTCTCATTTTATTCTGCCAATAGAATCAATCTCTGCCAAGTCCAACTAAAAGTCAATCTTAGTCTTTGTGAAACACTCCCCAGAAGTGCTCTCATTTTATATTGGGCTGCATAGCAGACTCCAATTCCATGCTTGTACAAAGCATATTCATATGTATTCAAATATATTCATAAATATTCATCTATTAAAATATGTTCAGATATATTTAAATATGTTCAGATATATTCAAATACGTTCAGATATATTCAAATATGTTCAGATATATTCAATTATGTTCAGATATATTCAAATATGTTCGGATATATTTAAATATATTCAGATATATTCAAATATATTCAAATTTCAAATATATTCAAATATATTTAGATATATTGAAATGAAACAGAAAGATACTGTAACCAATAGAGACTGAAGAATGGAAGAACCCAGAAAATGGAAGAACCCAGATTGAAAGATGGACCAATGAGGATTAAATGGGACGAGGGTGATTCAGGAGCAATATCCTGAATAATACCAATTAATAATAAACGATAGAGTCAAGGGCTGGGTGAGGATGATGAAAAGAAAATGGAAATGAGGTAGAGGGCATGAGTAGCTAGACTAGAGGAAAACAATTTAAAGAACTAAAAATAATAAATTTAGCCTCTTACAATAGATTACTGTGAGTACTCCCGGCAAAGTTGACACCATTTGGCTAGTCATCCTATAACGGGTACAGTGAAACCTGTATACAAAGACCGCTCAAGAGAGACAAGAAAAGTCTTTATAGGCAGGTGGTCTTTCTGTACTGGTTTCTTTACTACAGGTTTCAATAAGAAATGATTTTCACAAGAAATTTAAAAGAAAGTGGTCTTTATAGACAGGTGGTCATTCTATACATGTTGCTAAAACAGGTTTGACTGTATTCTCTGATGTTCTATGATGAATCCCTTGGGACTAGAAAGGCACTGAATAATCTTAAATTACTGTATCAAATCCTTTGATGACATTTTTTTGTTCTTTCAGGACCTTGCATTGTTCCTCCTTATCCAAGAGATGGTTGGTGGCAAAATGCTAATGAATATCCACTAGGAACAAGTGTACCCCACAATACCAGACTGCAGTTGACATGTAGTAGCTGGCGATTCGATAAGAGACGAAGCAGTGTGAAATGTAATGATGGAGTGTGGTCTGATAGTGATGACGTACATCGCCTTTGTCAAGGAAGTAAGTTTTCTTCACTTGACTGCTTCATATTTACCAGCTATTTAATATGTATTTCAAACGGAAATCTCTCCCTCTCTCTTTCTATCTCTTTCTCTCTTATATATGTATATCTTTATGTTTCTGTTTTTTTTTCTTCATTTTTTCATGGAGAAAAACAAATCGTTATATTTCTATAAATAACATGTATATCTCTCAAATCTCAAATTGGTAAACTGGTATGTGTAATGGTATGTAGGATCCAGGACAGGTTTTGATACGACAAATCATTAGTTTTTATGTAGATATAGGATGCTAATATGTCACTGAAGTAAAGGGCTGTTCATATATATATATACAGTGGTAATCCACCCGCAGTGTAGTGTTAAAAAAAAGCATTTCATGCTTTATATTTTTGTATCATATGACACAGAAGAGTGAGTGTGCATAGGACTTTAGTTGCGCACAGTTACTTGCCATTCATGTAGTATCCTTTTAAAAAATATATTAAAAAATTGACATGTGACGGTTTCTCATGGCATGTGCCCGCCCCCCCCCACTCAGTGTTATTTAGGGTACGCATATGCGTGTTCCCAGCACCCCCCCCCTTTCAGCATAAGTCCGATGTGTAAAGTCAATACAGGTAGACCTTTTTCTTTTGTTATACCAGCCTTTTCAGCACCCCCCCCCCCTTTTCAGCATAAGTCTGGTGTGTAAAGTCAATACGGGTAGACCTTTTTATTTTGTTAAGAGCCAGAGATTTTGGGAACATGCATGCGGTCCCCTCCGTTCCCGGAGTGGGGGGGGGGGGGGGGGCTGGGGGCATGTGTGAACAAACCTTACATTTTGTCTTCACCTAATCCAGTAAAGAGATTGAAATTGAGCTTGATCAAGGTAAATTTTTTTGAAAGATTGTAAATGATCATTTTGATTGACTATGAAGGTACTTTATATGTACATTCACTCTTGCTATAAAACACAGAGACTTGAAAGCAAGTGGCATTCCATTCAAACTGGTTGCCTATGTGACGGATCCAGGGGGGGGGCAGCCCCCCCCCCTGTGTAAAAACACGTTATTTTACCTTTTTGGGAGATGGGCCCCCTCCCCTGGTGCTCAAGGGGGGTGCAATTTTTCAAATGTTTGAGGGCCCCCCAAAAAAAATTAGTGCTCACTACCCCCCTCCCCCCCCCCCCACTGAGCGCATTATCGGCCGGCTGTTTTGCCGCTAAACATTTTCTCACGAATTGGGCCCCCTCCCCTGCCGCCGGCTGGATCCGCCCCTGTGCCTAACACCCTTGTGTGTATGTGGCCAGAATCCCCTTTTCTTTTTTCCAGATGCCTCATGTTTGATATGCATTTGAAAAATATAGTTTTCAAATCCTAAATAAACTGTTCTAAGTAGTAGAGTTGGTGAAAGGGTTTGGACGAAGGATGGCTGTTGACAGAAAGATAAATAAATGTTATCGCCCTTCTTCCTAGGACTACCGGTAGGGGCGTCATTCTTGGAACAATTTTACAAAGTAGGGGAATACATCGGTCATATGTTTGGATATCATGATGATAAAGGTACCTAGACAAAGAATTAATGGAGTTATTACATGGCAGACTGTATAGCAGTTCAGAATTTTCAAGTCTTAATTAATCAGCTTTGCCTCCCTAGATTGGCACCATTTATTCTTATCTTTCACTTTGACATAGTTTCAAGCAAATTAAAAAAAAAATTGTATTGAATTATGAACCAATGTGAATAGAAATTCACAAAAAAGTAACATAATTGCCAATTTTAACAAGATAATGGTGATTATAAATTCTACTCCATACTAACAGTTTAGAGACTTAAATTGTTCTAATTTATAAATGGCAAGCACACTGTACTGCTACAGAAATAGAATAGAAGTTTTCAGTGATGTTTGTTCTTTCTGCTCTTGTATTGTCTGTAGTTGAAAGCATTTGTATCAAAAGATTTACAAAAACATCACTAAAAGGTGATGCTGAACTGCAGTGGATTCAGAGGCTTTATTTGAGAGGGGAACACTTTGCCCACATGAAATCTCCTAAAAGGCTGCACAGTCCGCCTGAACAGACTTATGAGTGTTAGTGTGCAAGCGTATACATATAGTCTAGTGTCTTGACTAAATATCATCCCCAATAGACAACTAGCCCTTGGATGTTTACTGATGGACAACTAACCATTAACCCCAACCCCTAAACCCTAACAACTACCTCTACCCCCATTGTCAGACAAATACATATACCACTTCCTCTAGCAGTTCACTCATGGACAACTAGCTTTCCAGGTCCCTTAATTTGGACAAATACCCCCTTACAAAATTACATTATAGTAATAACCTCTCTGACAACAGCCAAGGACCAAGGTGATAATTTCTTAGGGTCATGCAGTTGTCCGTTGGTAGTTGTCCTGGGTCCTGGGAAGTAGTTGGGGGTAACTGTTCGGGGGATACCGGTAATTTTCCACTGACTTATCGGTAGCAGTCTAGGAGATTCATTTATCAGAAGAAAGCTTACTATTCTCACACAGAATGAATCCTACTCAAGCACAAAGACACTTCATAAACCTTCTTTTGAGATATATTGATAAACTAACAAATTCCTGCTGGAAATCATATTTACTTTAATACATCTCATATTTCCACATGACATATCTTGTCATTACTTTGCTATTATTTTATTATCATTACTATTGAATATTACTCGCTAATAGTTTATGAACTTTATTTTATTGTTTTCCAAAGCTCCATGCGGAGTGAGGTGGTCCATTGATGTGGCGTTGAACATTACATATGATCCACCCATCTCTGATGAAGATCGGTTCAACCACCGTATTCAACATGACACCAGAGTACATTATGACTGTGCATGGGGCTATCGCCTGCAAGGGGTGACTGAGTCAAGATGCGAGCAAGGAAGATATAACAATAATATCCCCAGATGCGAGCTAGGTAAGATAAAGATAATCTGCAAAATCCTTCTTAGATTACTGTTGAACATGTTGGCATTGAGGGAGGACATTCTCTAGTTACGATATTAAACAAAGTAATGGTTAGTATGGCATGTCTTTTCATTGTAAAAGAGGGTTAGAATCTATTGGAAGAAAAATAATTAAACTAGATGGAATTTTGACTGCGCGCAGTCGAAAATGATGCCTCCGCCATAGAGCAATTTTAAAAACTCAAGTTTGATTGTAATCCATCTGTCGGTTTTAATGATAATGCACTAACAAGCTATTTATATGCATACATAATGAGCCCCATGGGCTTTGACCTGATGACCCTAAAATCTAATCAGTTCATTGGCTCTGCAAGATACATATATATATATACATGGCTTGAGTTTGATAGTAATCTGTCTATTGGTTCTCATGATAATGCGATCACAAGCTATTTGTGCATACATAATGAGCCCTGTGACTTTTGACCTAGTGACCCCAAAATCTAATCAGTTCATTGGCTCTGCAAGATACATACATGACCCAAGTTTGACAGGAATCTATCGATCGGTTCTTGAGATAATGCGATCACAAGCTATTTTTGAAAACATAATGAGCCCTGTGACCTTTGACCTTGAACCTCGTGACCCCAAAATCCAATCAGCTCATTGGCTCTGTAAGATACATACATGACCTGAGTTTGGCAGGAATCCATCAACCCGTTCTTGAGATAACGCGATCACAAGGTATTTTTGCATACATAATGAGCCCTGTGACCTTTGACCTTCAACCTTGTGACCCCAAAATCTATTCAGTTCATTGACTCTGTAAGATACATACATGACCTGAGTTTGGCAGAAATCCATCAACCGGTTCTTGAGATAACGCGATCACGAGCTATTTTTGCATACATAATGAGCCCTGTGACCTTTGACCTTCAACCTTGTGACCCCAAAATCTATTCAGTTCATTGGCTCTGTTAGGTACATACATGACCCAAGTTTGGCAGGAATCTATTGACCGGTACTTGAGACAACGCGATCACGACCTATTTTTGCATACATAATGAGCACTGTGACCTTTGACCTTCAACCTTGTGACCCCAAAATCTAATCAGTTCATTGGCTCTGTGAGATACATACTTGATCCAAGTTTGGAGGGAATACATTTATTGGTTCTTGAGATAACGCGATCACGAGAACGGGATGTACGGACGGACGGACAACCAGAAAACATAATGCCTCCGGCTACTTTGTTTTGGAGGCATAAAAACAAATATATATATATTTATGATAATAATATTAATAATAAGAATGATAATAATAATAATAATAATAATAATAATAATAACAATGATAATAATATAATATAATATAACATAATAATTATAATAATAATAATAATAATATAATAATAATAATAATAATAATGAAAATATTAACATTTATAAAGTGCTTCCCAGAAAAAATGAAACCGAGAATTATCGATGTTTTATCATAACTTAATCACAATTATAACTAATAAATGATACATATTTGTAAAGCTTAGAGCCTCCTCTTTCATTTGATGCAACTCATATGATGCATATTTCACGCATGAGTGATTAAAATTAATTTGAAGAGAGGAAACCAAAAAGTCATTTGGCAGATGGTATCTGAATTTCAAAGAGAAAACTATATTTCTAGAAAGTTGAGTTTCTGCCCTTTCATATGACACCTCAATCAGGAAAAATGAGAGAGGAATGACAAAGTTCTGTTTGTTTAAAGTAGTGCTTGCATTTCCATAATTTTATCAAACAAATTCGTTTTCACTGGCTGCCACTGGCTTCAACAAGCAGAATTGACAAAAGACTTAACTCTGTTTCGTTGACAATCTGCCATGCATGAAGTCTTTCGTCTACGGCTGATTGTCAAGGAAACAGAGTTAAGTCTTTTGACAATTCCGTTGGAGAGTACAGCATCCTAGAGAGGAAAAGAAACTAAATTTCATGGCAGAAATTTGTTATCATAATGAATAATTTCCTCCATGAGATATACATGTATAAAAAGCTCTGCTTCTCTTCTTTCATTTGATGCACAATTTATTATTCATAAGTTACGCATTATTGAATATAAACAATGGAAAGTGGTGCTTGGACACACTGTATATTTAAAAAGCTTTGTGGTCCGGTGTTTTGTTTGTTACTAACTGTAGTCCCATGCTCAGCGCCGGAAGATGTATCCCATGGGAGATTAACTTACACAAACCCTGATGGAGTTCCTCATGAAAACCCACTTCATGGAGACACCCGGCTCCTTCAATGCGGTTTTGGTTACAGATCAAGAAGCTTCAATAGCAGTCGATGTGATAATGGAGTATGGGTCGAAGGCAGTCATGATATCCGCTGTTATCCAAGTAAGTCCAAATTTACTGTTCTAGTCCCATTATAGTCATGACAAATGAATGTTAGGAGGTAGTGTCAGTAATTAATTGAAAACCGATCAATTCTTCTGAGGAATATTATGGGTCATACCTAGAAGAGCTTGATGTGAAATACCTTGTACCAAAATGGACTTTATTATACCGTTGTTTGGTCTAAGTATGAATAGTTTACAAGTGTACAAGTTACCTGATTCATTCAACCATATTGCACTGTATCATAATCCAAACAATTAAGCAGTTTTGACATGAACGAATTCATTGCGTAAACAAACTCCTGTGACTTTCCCCAATAACACTATGTTTTTACCTGTGGTGTGTTCAAACTCATTTAGAGCCGTGCGACCCTATCCCAGACACAATGGGTCATGTTAACTACACCAGAACAGCTAAAGCAAATGGGAAATACATCCATGGAACAGAGGTAACTGTCAACTGTAATTCTGGATACCTTCCTGCATATGGTAATGGAACTGCAGTCTGCAATGCGTCACAGTGGCTGACAGTTATTCCTATGTGCACACAATGTAAGAATATCATATTTTGTTCTGTGTGTTCAACAATTATTCCTCAAATATGTCCGTTGTAAAACAGAGCTGTAATTATGTTCCATCCATGATTTTATCAAGTTGCTACAGTTAACCTTGCTTAAAAGGCAATGAAGCAATGAAATATGGACAGAAGATTAGCATGAGATACTTTCTGGACGTGTGAGACCAATTAAAGTGGTATGTAATATGCTTTGACAATCGAGGCTTTTGGTAATACCATATTATAACATTTTTGAAAGGCTGCTGATTTCTTCTTTTGTCAAAAGAACCCGCTTTTGGGATGTTAGGAGGTACATTGTATAAGGAGAAAAAAAAGAAAGGAAAAGAGATGATAGAATGAAATTATATAGGATAAATGTAATGAAAGTAAATAAGATTGAAGACTGCCACATGACTTTACTGAAATTTTCAATTTTGAATACTCAGTTACCATAGGAAGCTACAGAGAACATATAAATGTATTGCTTTGTTGCACATTTAAAAAAAACATTGATGTCTTATTCTTCTTTAGCACGTAACATAATCCTAGACTCACATACCAATGTCTCTCAAACACCACCTAAGAGAAATCAAGCTTTGATAGGCAATGCATGGTTGGCCAGGGATGGTAATACCGACAGTGCTCCGCAGTATTGCTCAAGAACAAGTAAGTATAGCAGCAGTGGCCGAGAACAATTATTCCTATGTGCACTTCTATGGATATAAAATGGTACTGCAAAGTGTAGGTGAACGTTGAAGGGGTAAAAAAAAAGGTACCCCTAGTTTTTAGCTCATCCGGCCCGAAGTGCCCGATGAGCTATATGGCGTGGCGTCCGTCCGTCCTTCCATCCGTCCGTCCGTCCGTCCACAGTTTTCAAAATGCTTCTTCTTCGTTATTTTTCAACCGATTTTGATTCTGATTGTTTCATATGATAGGGCTAGGAAGGGGATTTAAAACTTCTACACAGAATCGTGAAATTCATTATCTATGCTAATTTATGCAAATTTATTTGAAATCACAAAAAATGCTTCTTCTCCTTCATTTCTCGACCGATTTTGATTTGGTTTACTTTATCTGGTAGAGCTAACTTTGGTACACTAAAATTTTACACAGAATTTTGAAATTGTTCTCCATTAATTAATTATGGTAATTTATGCAAATGTATTCCAAAAATAACAAAAATTGCTTCTTCCTCATTTCTTGACCAATTTTGATTTGGTTTGCCTTATTTGGTAGAGCTAAATTTGGAACACTAAATTTCTACACAGAATTTTGAGATTTTGCTCCATTGATTAATTATGGTAATTTAGGCAAATTTATTCCAAAAATAATTTAAAAATCACAAAAAATGCTTCTTCTCCTTCATATTTCGACCGATTTTGATTTGGTTTACTTGATATCGTAGAGCTAAATTTGGAAGACTAAACTTATACACAGAATTTGGAGATTTTGCTCCATTGATTATTTATGGTACTTTATGCAAATTTATTCCAAAAATAATTTTAAAAATCACAAAAAATGCTTCTTCTCCTTCATATTTCGACCGATTTTGATTTGGTTTACTTTATCTAGTGGAGCTAACTTTGGTACATTAAACTTCTACACAGAATTTTGAAATTGTTTTCCATTAATTAATTATGGTAATTTATGCAAATTTATTCCAAAAATAACAAAAATTCCATTTCCTTTAGTTTCTATTTAATCTTGTAAAGCTAAATGAAATTATGTCCCTTCCAGTGCATCAAATTTTTATTTTTTGACCAGTTCAAAAGTGAACCAGATAAAATTGACGTTCTGGTTTATTTTATGACACAGTTTTGCTGTGAAATATTTTTTGAGAAATTTCCTGTTCAGCGCTGATTTTTGCATTTATAAAACCGCAGATAAATTTCTGATGTCTCAGCTAATTCGCACACCCCACCATTCAAATCATATCTGAATTTACGATCCAAATAGTAAAAAGGGGTTCGATGCGATGGAAGAAAGGCATTTATTGCTTCTATCCACCCAGATATTTGGTATCCATTCGGATTGGAACTTGAGTCCATGGGGGTACGTCAACATTGTACATGCCTGTAAGATGTAGACTGGCTTGAATTTGTTACGTGCTTATAGCTACATTGCCGTACTTAAATGTGCCATAAATGTTCAAGTTCTTTTTAATAATTAAATGCATCTATTGATTTGCTTATTATTAGTCAATTCAGTAATATTAGTATTTTTTATTTGATTTATATTTTTATGAATTATTGTGTAATTATGTTTATTCATTCATTTATTGATAAATTGAATAACTTATGCATTCATTTGTTTCTTTGTCTATTTATTAATTAGAATTTATTAGAATGGTATTAATTCCATTCTTGCACTGCTCTGCTCTCCAAAGAGCTATTGGAATCTACACATCTGTTTAAATCAAATCTTACCTTTCTTTATTAATTTGCTGTTTACTCTTGTTTTCTTTCCTTTTCCCTTCATTGTAGAGGTGACTATTAATCCATGGTGGAAGGCTGTCATGAAGAATATCTATGATTTCACCCATGTGAAAATCTACAACCGTCTTGACAGGGAAGAACACAGTGAGTAGACGACCCTCATCATTTATTAACAAGTGTGGCAATCGTATTGATAATGTTAGAAATACATATGTTGTACAGATTCAATGAATATGCTAATTATGTGCACATGCAGAATAACCCATTTACTAAATTCTAGCGATTAAAGTTTCCTGCAACATTTTGTTTGCATTTTCCTATGCTCGTATTATCATAGGCTATGGTAGTGATGTAATTGCACGTGTTGGAGTATAGCTTAGAAACACTAAATAGTTAATTAAATGTTGCTTTATTTCTTTCAGACCTGCTTGTCACAAAAAAATGATATTGTGAATTTTAAAGTAAATTTGTTAATTTCCTCAGTTAAATACACTTCTGGGTGGTATTCTGAGATTCATTTTATCTCAAAGAAAATCTGATCTCATTGAGATAATATACCCTTAAAATATTTAAAAATCAATATTCTGAAAATCATTTTAGCAAAATTTTAAGACACACCCATTTTTGATGAAATAACCAATAAGAAATTTTAAATACCTCACTTAAGTAATCCAGCAATCTGATTGGTCGAAATTGCATTCATAAACTTTAACTGTTCCCGAAAATTCCCGGTGACCATGGTTAAAAAACAGTTCAAAATCCCAATAACCATATTGGGAAAATAGGTCAGTCTCCATGGTTACCCCATAGGTTTACATGTTAAAAAATGGTCTGAGCGATCGAGGATACCGTACGTGTGCGAAGAATTGGTCGGTAATTTCAATACAATTGAATCTCGATCGATCTTACCGACAATTTTATCTTGCATTGTGGACATTAAGACGAAAATAAACTTCCAAAAACAAAAAAAAAACATCTGCCGATAGATCTTGATCTAAATTCGTGCCAATATGCATTGCAAAAGTAAAAGAAGGGCCTGTTTAATGAAGCAGCCGCGAAGCTTCCACCACGCGAAGCCGTTTTCAATCCATTTTAATGTATATATAAGAAAAAACTGCTATGTATGGGAACAGAGCGCGATAGCCGAGCGGTTTAAGGCGGCGGTTTTCGTTACATCACCTTTGGTACGCAAGAGATCGAATCCCATCTTCGACAAAAGTTTTTTTTTTTTTTTCTTCGGCATATAAAAGTATTAATGACTGCTTTCATATTCGAGAAATAGTTGTTTTTATACGCTCAAGGGAAGGTTAGAATTGTGCTATTGCCCCGAGGCGTGCCGAGGGCAATAGCCCAATTGTAACCTTCCCGAGAGCGTATAAAAACAACTATTTCTCTCAAAGCAGTCATTAATACTATATTGTTAAATTCACTTTCTTCATGTTCAGCCAATAGAATGACGTTCTGTTACTTTCGGGCAAGAGAGCATAAAAGCATGTTTTTTTACAGTTTTTTACTATGGCTATGCGTGCCTCAAATGCTCTTTTGATAAAATTTCCTTGAAAATGACTGAGGTAGTTTCAACGCTTTCGAACACCATTATGATATAAGTTAGCAAAGAATCGTGAAATACAACTAGAAAACTCTATGAGTAATTTAATTGATAAATAGTGTTATCTGGAATCATTTTTTTTCTCCTATTTATCACGCAACAAGCAGCATACTTTAGAATGAATACTGCACTTACTGACTGTCCGAGAGATAAAATAGCACCAAATTTTTAAAAACATTTATTTTTTCTTTCACATAAAATAAGATGGGCGCTAGCTTTAAAGTCTTGCGTACTATTTTTATACCGGTAACTGTAATGGGCACACAGGCTGTAAGAGATTGAGATAAAATTCAAGATTAAATCTGAGATAAAACAAGATATTTTAGAGATAATACCATGCTTAGAACACTGCCCTGGGCTATTCTAATGTTTAAAAGTCAGGTTACAAATTTTTTTCAAAATTTTAAGCCTTATACCCCCTTCACATACATGGATTTTCCTTACGAGTCCTTACAGATCGCCATCTCGTAGTCAATCGCAAGCATCCGTAAATAGCTCGTCACAACTCGCAACAACTTGCAGACACTTATAAATATCCGTGAAAGGAGAGGCAATTTTTTTGACATGTCAAAAATCTTCTTACGATTGTCCACGGATTTATTTGTTCGTAAATAACTCGTAAATAGGTCGTAACAATCCGTAAGTATCGTAAATCCCTCGCATCAACACGTTACCATCCGTAAACTGCTCGCAAGAATCCGTAGATGACTCATTCAGATTTCTTTAACGATTTTTTTTCGGTTGGTGTACGATTTGTTTATGGATTATTTACGTATTACTTTACTTTACTTTCCTTTATTATTTACGGATTATTACGAGTGCTTACGTGTTGTTTATGATTTCATTGAGGTTGTGTTACAATGGCTTTACGGATCGTTACGAGTTATTGCGAGCACTTTACGTGTAGTTACGAGTACTTTACAAATAGATACGTATACTTTAAGTATTCTCATGTATCATTTACGTTTTGGGGGACAGGTATAATAGCTGCAAATTTGAACACTTCACTTTCAGTTGTTATTATTTGGTTAAAAATCGTAAGGACTTGTAAATACTCGTAACTAACTCGTAACTATTCGTAACAACACGTTAACAGGTCGTTACTAACACGTAAGTTGCTCGTAGTTATCCGTGACAACTCGTAACAAATCATGGAATTCTGCCGTAAGTATATCATAATAACTCGTAATAATCCGTAACAAACCGTAAATAGCTCGTAATAACTCATAACAACTCTTAAATCGGTCGTAAAAGTGGCCAAATTGTAAGGACCCATAAAAGATCCTTGAATTTGTGCGATCCGTAAGGACTCGTAAGAAAAATCTGTGTATGTGAAGGGGGTATAAATGACTTTTTTCTTATGCACAGAAGCAATGTTGCTAATTCCATGTGTATGTTATTATAATGAGGTATTGTTCTTCAGTGCAAGAAAGCTTACGTATTAAGCTTGTTGGGGTCATGAAAGAACCCTTGGTCACTGTCACAGAAAAACACTCCTTTGAATTTAATGAAAACTTTACTTGCATTGCTTACAAATGCAGCAGCTAGAACTTCAAAAACTGCTTTCAAAAGTGATACTTTCAGTAACTTCTTAGTTACAATTGAACAGGGTTTAATATAACGAAATAAATCTACACCAAAATATTTTTGAATTTTAGTATTGGATCTGGAGGGTGCAGAAATAAGAGTGGGGTTGGATGCAGATTACGCTACAAACCTGTTGTGCGGAGAACCAATCACCCGACGCCAAATCGAGAGAAGTACTGAGGCAAACCATGGGATCCAAATAATATGTGTTGGAGAGGGTGACACCGGTATCAGGGGTAATGTCATCAGTGTGCACATTCCAACAATAAATAACCAGAGACGAGAGCTCAGTCTGTGCGAAATTGAGGTCTATCAACAAGGACTTTCTATATCAGGTAGGCTTTGTTGTTTGGTTATTTGAATAACTGATAAATTTATGAATAAATTGATATATCTGTAAAGTGCTTATGAGCCATTGTCAATGTATTAAGTGCTACATAAACCCAGAACAATATCGCGATTATTATTATGGCATAGTAGATAATTAGATGAAGTGTTTATTTACTCTTTTGTATGCCAGGTTAGTGGGTCTGTAACTCTGCATGACCTGCTGTGAGCATGCACATACCGGTAACCAAAAGAATAACTGTCTGAAAATGGATAACTGCAGCAAAGTCCTTTTGTAAATGCCTCTACCATCATGGTGCTGGAATTTTCAGGAGTGTCTGTCTGTTCATCCGTCCATCCCACTTTTGAATCAAACAGAAAACTTTTAAAACCTTTAAACTTGGATTAAAGCATGTAAAGATGGAGTGATTATATTTTAAGTGTACAAGGTCAAAGTTCAAAGGTCCGGGTAATTTTTCTTATTTTCGACATGTTTTAGCACCGATAAATATTGTCATTTTTACATTTCCTTTCTCAAATTCTCTAGTGATGAACTGTTGTAGACCACAATGTGGAGATTGAATACCATTAAGGACGTTGACATATGCTACACATTGCAACTTTTTAGTGAAATAGTGAAAATCAAATACAATATGAATTCCTCTGTCACGACCCAAAAGCATCTTAACCTATTGCCTACGGGAAACGGTCAGCTCCTGTATTAAGTCAATGGAACTGAGAGAATTCAGTAGTCAACGGGTTAACCCTGTGTTATAGTAGACAAGTTTAATAGTATACAAATAATGAATGGTTATGAGTTCAATGGTGCGAATATGTTCATGAGTTGAAAGATTAACATTCTATTCAACGAGGCGTCAGCCGAGTTGAATAGAATTAACGTTAATCTTTCAACGAATGAAAATATTTGCACTATTAAACGAATGAAAAACATTCATTATTTGTTTTATACAACATCGAAGAAGACCTAATAGAACGTTAATCAACAAATTATGCTTTACTCCTTATAAAGATAAATTAAAGTTCGAGTCGAGCCTTCTCGATTACATGCAGATTGCCTTCGCGTCAGATACACGCAGGGATACGCGCACATGCAGCAGAGAGGTACGCAGTCTGTATATAACCAAAAATGCACGACCGTTCAATATACCATCTATTGAATATCATGTGACCAACAATCGTCCAATCAAATGACAAGGATCCACGTAGGTGTTGTATAAACTACTTTAGTTTATACCTATGTGAATAAGATTTGAACTAATCTGTTGTTCATCACATAAGCCAGTACACCTCTGGAGAGAATGAATTGTTTGAATCTTTTTCAGTGAAAGGTGCCAAGGACGGAGCACGGGTGGGATGTGTCGTCCCTCATGTGGAGAACGCTGTGGTCTCCAGCACTAATGTTGCCATACAGCAGGTTCTATTGGAAGGTGATGAGGTCAGAATTTCATGTCATGCCCGTCACGTCCTCAGAGGCTCGGACACTAGCCATATTGATCTTACCTGTCTCGGCAATTCATCCTGGGACCAAGATAAACCTGTGTGTGAGCCAAGTGAGTATTCTAAAGTTACAATAACTGTTATGAGCTTCTGAAATTGTGGCATCTGATTGCCTGAGAGCTAATTTGCCATAGAATTTTAGCATTTGTTACTGATAACAAGTTTTATGGAACAGCTAGGTCTTGATGCCTCCCCATTCTTGGCTTTTGTTAGCCGTACAGTGGGGTTGTTGTAGAGTAGTGTAACAGCTGCAACAGGGATTTCAACCCTATACTTTGTGGTTTACAGTCAAGAGACTTATCCATTGGACCACAACACCTTTATCCATCCCTGTGTAGAAAAACATCTAAGAATGGTATTTGAGACTCTGTTGTACATCTCAGCAATTATTATGATTAAAGTAATGAATTGCAGTATTGGATGTTACCTCGCAAAATATAACATGTTTGGAGACAGAATGGTGTTTAAATCACACCAGAAGGATGTTTAACTCACATCATTTTAAACAGAGTTAATGCTCTTATGACAAGTTAGTTGTTGCCAAGCTTTGTCTAGGGGTCCATGTATGACATATAAGTTTGTATGATCATCTATCTATATTTAATTAAGCAATCTATCAATGATAATAATAATACTATGTCTTGTTTACCGATGGAAGTCTCATCAGGATGTTCTCCCTGAGGGCCCTGTAGTAATATTATTACCCCAGCTTTATCCGAGCTACCATGAAAAGGTGCTGAAGTATTCAAGGAATTTCTTACTTCCGTGTATTTAACTAAGATTGATTGATTTTCCTAAGACTATGGTACTTTGATGACTTTTCTTTTCAGAAACGTGCACTGTTGATTCCCTAAATAATGGCAGTTTTCCACATGGTAAACTCTTATACAACCATGGTGAAAACATCACTTTCACTTGTAATTCTGGCTATCAGAAAGAAAAGGATAGGTACTGGTGTGATGCGGGAATTGCAGTCCCACGCAATCCAAGGTGTATTCAAGGTAATACTTGTTTGTTGTTTGTGTATGCATGTGTTACTTTGCATTACAGTATATCCCTTTTTCTTCAAAACCACAACTTCTTGCATGTCACCGAATGCAATATCTAGAGAATATACAAAAGCAAATGATGTTGAAGAATATCACATTGGACTCGGATCCTCTGTTCCATTGTACCAATCATACCAAATTCTAATTGAAAATTCCAAAAGGAATTTTTTCCTTTTACAGGCGAACCTGCTTTAGCGACCACCTGCCTATAAAGACCACTATTTATGTTCCCCTTGAGCGGTCTTTGTATACAGATTTCACTGTAACACCAAATGAAATGTTAATTGTAATACAACATAATTAGATATACAGTAGGCTTGCGGGTGCACCATGTGAGAGGGAGGGAGGATTGAGGAGTCCTGAAAAGGACTCTCGGTAATCTTTCTTGAGGGTTTGTAGTCCTGAAAAGGACTGTTTGGTATAGTCTTGAAACAGACTGTTGGATATCTTTCTTAGCTTATAGTTCTAAGGAGAACTATAGCGCTTGGAGAGGATGAGTGGCGAGAGTGGCTCGACGTTTCGAACAGGTTAACTATCCGTCGTCAGGAGTCAATCCTCCCTCTCTCTCACATGGTGCACCCGCAAGCCTACTGTATATCTACATCACCATGCAAGCCGACACTTACAAGCAGCATCTAACATAATTAGAGTCATACTTGAGGGTTCCAAATCATTTTTTGATGGGTTGTAAATGACACAACATCAAATCACGTCAAATTGTGTAAGGATTTAGCATGGAAAGCTGAGAAAGAGGGAAAAAACAATTTAAAATTCTCTATAAATGACATTTGCTGTACAAACATATCAGAATCCTCTGTTAGAAATAATAAATTTTGAAACTTTGCAAAATAACTTAGTCCTTGAAATTTTCAGAAATATTAAGAATAATATCAGAAATAAAGATGATGCAGAGAAGTCCAGTTGTGCTGGGATTTATCGGTATGCACAGTAGATCCCTCTTTCCAAAACATTGTACAACAGTTAAGATATTTTTGAATTAACGAGCAATGTAACCATTACTAAGAATGGAAGAACCTAAAAAGTAAAAGAACCACAATTTAAAGGTTAATCAGTTAGGATTACCATGTGGAAGGGTCATGGGGTCATGGGTCATGGGTGTCCTGAATAATAGTGAAGGATGAACAAAAGTATCATGTGCTGGGTGGAGTTGATGGAAATAAAATGGAAATAAGATGAAGAGCATCATCAGCTGGAAGAGAGGAAAAAACGATTTGATTTTTTTTTAAATTCATGTCAGGGGACTATTATACTTATAAGTTTTTTAAACTTCCTTTTTAGTCTCCAATTTCTTAATACCAGAATTGTAAGATTATGATTGTTTCATGTTACTTTTGTATATATATTATTTTATGGTTTTATGATTGAGATAAATGAATTGAATTGAATTAAATTGAATTGAAAAACTAAGACCACTAAATTTAACCGCTTACAGTAGTGTGAAGACATATGTGCATGTAAGTACCAAATGTCAGGCAAAGTTTTCTTCTGTTGTATTTATGTTTTTTGTTCTTATTTTATGCTCCATGATTTCTTCCGAATAGCATCTTGCCATGCTCCAGACTTTCCGGATCATATGGTAACTTCACAATCAGAACCTCACTTTCCTCATGGTACGTTGCTCGATGTCTCATGTGAAGACGGGTTTCAGCTTAGTACGAACCAAGAACAGCTAAGATGCTTTAGAGGTGGCTGGAGCACACCCTTAACGGCAACATGTCAGAGAGGTAAGGCTGGAGAGAAAATGATCACTATCCATTATGTAACTATTGACTGCTTTTAGGGGCACGGTTAAAACTATTGCCCAAGGTGATCTTGAAACTGTACTCTACAGCATAGTGCAGTCTCAAGATTACAGAGGAGTTATACTTTAAACTGTCTACCAAAAAATAAGCAGTCAATGAATATAACGCATCCCTCGGTGTCAGTTCTCAAAAAGATATATTTAAACAAAATGTATTTGTTTGTCTGAGAAAAATGTCTTGGAAAAATGTACCCTTCTAAGAGCAATGTGCGTGTCCCACTATGCATATCCATAATAACAACCATTGTGTCTTTACATTGTGTACACGCAAGTAGGACTATGCCCGGTCACTATTTTTTGCTTTACTGCTCAGCAGTCAGAAGTTAGTTTCATGACTGCAGTTTTGTTTGTCCAGTCAGAGGCCTAGAATCTTCATATGCGATATAAAATATAAAATGAAACTAGAGAATGGAAGGGAGGTACACCTGTGTTATGATGAAGGTTAATATACATTGTACATTGCCATTTGCGAGTGCATTAGTGAATATGCACTGCATTCAGGTTTAGTCACAATCGGATAAATGCACAAGCTTCAAAACATGAATGTTATGTTTTATAACATGAGTTTATGAATATGAAGTCCAGAAACAAACATGATTACCCTAATTAACGGTGTATTAACCGCACCTTTTTGCCGCCGAAAAAAATTCAAAGTCGGGGGTGCGGTTTATACACAGTACACAAAAAAAAAAAAAAAAAATATTTATTTTATTTTAAAGTTTCGATTTATGCCCCTCCACCTGGCGCTATGCCTGGCAATGTCTCCCAGCTCAGTAATCGGTGTGATGACTCGCCACTCGGAAACTAGAACAACACTCAAATTTGTCTGTCATCTTGGTTTGAAAGTAATCTTTCTGATAGATTTCAATATGTAGTTGATAAAAATAATTCCTCCAATTTTTCTTCTATTACACGGCGTACCACAAGGTTCTATTCTAGGTCCTCTACTGTTTTTTAAGTCGGCAAAAAAAAAAGTCGGCAATTTTTTTTTTTTTTTTTTTTTTTAGGGCGAAAAAGAGGTGCGGTTAATACACGAGGGCGGTTTATACAACATTAATTACAGTAAATAACCAATAATTGCACAGTCATAAGTCCCTCCAAAAATATAGTTTGGTTGTCCTCGATCCACCGCTCGTCATTTTCGGGCCGCTCATATATGTTTGTTTTATATAATTTATTTTAATTTAATTTAACAACAAAAAAAATTGGAGGGGGGCAGCAATTTTAAACGCCAAACATATCATTTTATGCATTTTGCAAGGATCAAAATGCGTCCTGTTGCTAGTTTGGTCTTTTCAGTATGCAATTCTGTCTTACACACTGTTCATTATATAGACTTCGCACTCGAAGAGACTAATTAACTAAAATGACTGAATAAACATGCACCGCACATGCAATGAATGTTATATTTACACTGAAAAAGTAGCGTGAGAAAATATTTAACAAAATTTTCTGAAATTATTCCCGAAAACATCATTAATATTGATTTAAATATTTATTTTTTATTTTTTTATGGTTGATTTAAATATGGGAAAAAAAAAAGTTATAGAAAGACACAAACAAAATAAAAAAAATAAAATTAAATTGAATTAAAACAAAATTCACTCACCCGCCCCTACTCCAGAAAAGCAATCGAGGACAACCAAATGATTTAATTTTGGGGGCCGAAGCGCACGGTCAAACGTATAATTTGTGCATCAATGTCCTATAGGAAAATGAATCCATGTCATCCATACCATCTAAACTTTGTGCGCGCCAAAGACACAATATCCACAACTCAGCCTTGGGAATGCATTATCACTTCTAACGGTGGCATATATCACTTTTTGATGAAAACTTTTTTGCTTAGTATGTGTGGCAGGAAAAAATGAAGCATAGTCACGTTGTGTCATGTGACCAAATTGATTACCTACATTTCTAGAACCCATTTTTATATGTTTTTGGTGGTGTCATTGTAGTCAAAGATTAATATCTCAGTCGCACCACCAAACTGACAACAATTCCAAAAGTGACTGATTCTAGGCCATTTGAGGTAATGACAATTTTTGTTGTTCAGTCTATTGTTTGGAGAGGGTCCTCATCCTGTGGTTGAGGTTTGAATCTAGAACATTTTTTTAAACGCCTTTTAAATTTTGGATCAACATCAAGTAATAATCTGGGACAGTATTTTGAAAACTATGTTAACTTCTATGTTAAGTCCCAAAGTTAACATACCCTTAACATTCCTCTAAATCAATATTCTGAAAACTATTTTCAGGGTATGTTATCTTATCATGATTATAGGTTATGCTCCCCCGACATGCCTATTTTTCATTGATTTTCTAATGAGAATCACTTTTAAAATGTGCTCTTGATTATCCAACCATGTTTCATGTTTCATAGATTTGCAGAAGTTGTAACCTTTTCCAAATTTTTGTAATTTTTTTAAGAAAGTAAAAAATTGTTTTGTCCAAATTTATATTTCTTTGAAATTGACATATTCAAGTTTGGCTAATTTAGATAAAGGTATTCAACAAATGCCATAATTCAACCAGTACACCTTTCATGCTTGAGTTACAAAAAAAAAAAAATTCAAATCGGTACAAGGGGTATGAATAATTACCGGTAAAATGTCTATATATCTTGTGATTACCATATTGTTGTTATGATATAAACTTGAATTGTCCGAATCGTGATGCATTATTTGTATTTGTATCAAATTCAGTGTTGACATTGTTTTGATTTAGTACCATGTGGACATCCAGTGAGGGCCTCTGGTAGCACCATAGAAATACTAACATGGAAACAAGGATATGTGCATGGTACCAGGGTCAGGTATAGCTGCAGTGAAGGCTGGGAAATCGAAGGGATTGCAGAGAGAGAGTGCGTCAATGGACAATGGACAGGTTCTACGCCAACATGCAGAGTGGCAGGTAAAAAAGAAAATCTGAGGACTTTGCGTTAAATAAGAAGTCAATTTAGTCAGGTTGTTTTATTCTTATAATAAGATCACAAGCTGCAACATCTGCTACGTTTATATCGCAACTGAGGCGATAGGTTGTTTTGGGGGTTAATGGATATGTCACCAGACCAAAGATTACAATGTATGGTGCTTGAATCCTAGCCCACCACCAGTGTCCATTGGCAAGATGTTAATCTACATTTACCACTCCCCATCCAGGTTTAACAGGCTAGCTGACATGCTTGAGTGCTAGTTTCTTGGGCTGCTGAGTTATGACCTGGGTAAAAATGTTGAAGCACCTTGATGAGCTTCACAGCATATGATAGACATTGGTGCTATGTGAGAAGCCATTAAAGACGATGCTCAAGTTGATGACCATACTATAGACTGGCTTTCAACTAGCTTAAAGAAAAAATAGTTTTTGGCTGAATTTGGTTACCCAAAACAAATTTTCATGTGACTTAAGCTACTACTATGCAAAAAATGAGTAGGCAAGCTTTCATCCACTCCTGTGGACTTTCTCAAACCAAATCATTCTTCACACAGTTTATTGCCATCTGCTGCCTCAAGAACATCGGGCGCATAGATATAGTTGACAGTCAATAGTCAGATTCTCTATTCAGTGATAGATTAATCCTTTTGATCCAGATAGATTCTTTGATGTTTCTTGACGATGGGCATCCCCATATCCGATGTTGTGTCCAGTATTAAGGTCATGTTCTGCTCCTGCTGAATGAGATGGATTCAATCTATAAGGATTCTTTTGTGTTTTTTTAATCAACACCGTAAGTCAAGTGTTCTCGCAGTTTCTCCAACATAGGAATTGCCACAGTGGTACATGTTATCTTGTAGACAATACCTGTCATTTCTTCTACTATCGATTTATCATTTGGATGAAATAGCCTGCTTTTTAGGGTGTTTGATGGGCTCTAGCTGAAAGGCCACCCTGATGATGCCGTGGCTATGCGATTGATTGAAAGAACGCAAGAAAGTCCTTAGATTGAGCAAGGATCAGATACTTGCTAAGAAGGAGAAACCACAATTCAATGAGCTTTTTTAATTTGTAATGCCCTCTTTAATTTATGTTTTTCCAACAGCCCCTCCTCGATGCATGCTCCCAGATAGATCCAGCGGACAGCGTTACTCAATAAGAGGTTTTATAGGGAATATCTTTGATGAGGGTTTGCCCATTGGTGAGCGTGTATCCATTTCTGTTAGTTGTAATCAAGGCTATACAGCTCAGCCGGCAGTGCAGACAGAATGTTTAGAAAGGGGAGTATGGTCAGTCGCTGTACCGATATGTGGTAAGCCAGGTTGCAGCAATTTTTGTTATTATGGTCTTCTTATGGTTGCTTGTGTATATGCCTGTTTGTGAACATTGCATGTATATGATCAGTCGTTCAATTCCTATCTTGCTTGCCCTCATACACTAGTTTGATAAACATAATTCTGTGACACACACATAACAAAGTAATATGTGTTTTAACCCTTCACCCTTCGGGATAGGATTTATTTTTAGGGCTAAATTGATCACATTTTGTCCTTTAAATTGGCAACGGTATTTGTCTTTGATTGCTACATTGTTCTAATGAAATGTAATGTCTCTGAAAACAATTTATATGGGCAGGAATGTTGTTGAGAAAGTTGAAAAGTTATTACCAATTTTGATGGGAAATCAATGATTTTGAATTTCTCAATATGTTGGCAACTTATGGATTTTATTAAAGCTTATTTTCATGTTAAAATTTCTGACATCAATCGCAAGACAGTCATGAATAAAAATGGATGCAGTATGTGCATAAATTAACCCTTAAGTTAATTGCTACCTATTCTTTGTGCTTACCTGCACTCATGGCACCCTATTGAATGTGCCAATTTTCTGATGTGGCACATTAAGGGCTAAAAATAAGAATATAAGCCTTATGGAGTTGTATACTATTTCATATTATAAGGGTTTCTTCCATTGTTTAAAAATTTACCTTGGTGAAAATGGTGATCTACAGGTAGCAATGTTATAGTCCATTATTAGGGAAAGACTCATATATCAAAAAAGAAGTTCAAGATGGTCTGATGTATATTTCTTGGTTACCAGTCTTGAGACAGAGGAATCTAGATTTTTGAAAGCAAGACAAGATTTGAATTCCTGAAGCAAGACTTTCCGGAAGAATATTGTTTGCCTAAAAACTGGCTTAGGCGTTCGGAACCGAGTCGCGTCTTTTGGATGGTGATGATAAATAATCATATCTGATTGACTCACATCTGATTGACTCAAATCTGTTAAAACCCAATTCACATACACTGCAATAGGCAATGAAATGGGGATAAGAGATCAAAAGATTAGAGATTAAGAATCAAGGATATGGGGCATATGCTTTCTCAGAACTTCTCAGAATTTTTCAGAAGTACATTTTATCGGTCAACCATACAGAAGTCACCAATATTGTTGCCAATTTACCTCTTTATTCTTTTGTGCTTCTGACTACTGCAGTAAGGATGGAAAGGTTGTGTACCAAGCCTGGATACATTTCTCACGTTGTCCAGTATGTGAACGGACTAGAGACGAACAGACTTGATTTTTACCCTCATGATGAGCTTCCTGAAGGGACGTTTCTAGTGTCTCGTTGCTCACTCCCTGGACAGTATGTGTTGCGTGGTAGTGCAAATAGAACCTGTTCTGAGAGCAGTTGGACAGGAGTGCAACCAAGCTGTGGTAAGAAAACATATATACCCAAATTATGGAGATTATGTAGGCCCTATGTTTTCAAGCTGGGCAAGGCCACTCACAAAAATACTTTATATGGCTCTCCCAAATCTATGTGACATTCACAGCAATGCCAACCCAATAGGATGGTTGTCCTAAAACAGGGTCTTTCCAGAACGCAAGACAAGGCAGTATTTTTTTGCGCAAAAACGCACCCAATCACTCTTATACTGCATTTTGAACCTACCATTTTTAAGTTCAAAATAAATATGTGCATCAAAATGCTAAAAAATGTTTGCAGTCATAATGATCTCCTCCTCGTGTACTAGCTCGATCTAATGCATGAATTCATGATAATATTCAGGAAGAAAACACCTTGTTTGAGCGTTGAACGGCAATCCACAGTCAAAATGGCAGAACTTGTATCCTACACACTAATACACTATATTTAAATGGGTATTGCACGATTATCCACCATCATGCTCCCCAAAAATGCACAACCGCGCATAGAATACTAGTATCAAATCAATATTGACGGCTGCTGCATTGTTTCCAAGGATGGCGGAGGACAGTCTGCTGGTGGCATCATAGACCATGTGCGCAATTAGCGTGTAGCGAGCGAAAGTGCCCATCCAATGTAGTCAAATTCAGTGGACTTGTGAGTAAATGTGTGCGATATGCAGCGCCGTGTAGGGAGGCTATTTGTAGATAGGCGGCATACGTTATAATGTACTTAATTATCATTTCCTGTAACCTTTTGGTTGTTTACCATAACGCTGTAACAAGAGAAATAAAACAGGAACAAATATGGCAAAACCGTAACGGTGTGCATCTCTGCGTTCAAATGGATATGATGTATGTAATAATTGTAATCATCTGAATTTATATAGCGCTTAATATGGAAAAACATCTTTAAGTGCTTTGCCTTTACACATACTTATATCCCAGTCACTGGATTCATTCGCGGACAATTCACGAACAATGTGAACCATCTCCACTCCCTGGGGAGCATTTCTACTATATGGTCACCATGTTGTAAAGAATATTTCTGAGTTAAATACAGCATAGGCCTGTTTGCACTGAGTTTTTGGCCCAGAAAAATTGCAAAAATCCAATCGAAAATTCAAAACATTATGTTAAAGGGATTATTCAAAGATTCTTTCTAAAACTTAATCCAAGTAAATGTGCCAAATTGAAACGGATACGAGTTCGTAACTCTCGAGTCATATACAATCAGAATTCTCATTATGTTCTATCTAGTACATGTGCACCTGTACATGCGATAGGTGTATTGCTCACGTAAGTATGCATAATTGTTGTAAGCAGTAGGCTTTTGCCTGTGGACTGTCGTTCTTGCTTCAATCATATTTTTACCATGATTATTCTTTTTCAGTTGATGCAGACACCAGGATCGTCTTTCAAAACAACCAGCCCCTTGACGTTAGGAGTAATGGAACAATCGTCATTCATCCACGCAGTCGGCTCTACCTTTCTTGTCGCGTGCCTTCCCATAACACAGCAAGATTTGTATCAGATAATGGACCGGTGAGCATTGGCTGTAGTGTAATATCATTAAACCCTAAATATAAAAACAGACAATTTGACTTCTGAAAATTCATTTCAAGTTGTTGGATGTGTTATGTCAAATTATTGCTGTTATAATCGGTAGTAAAATTCATGGGAGAATTGATTCTTTGCAGTGAGTTAAGTATTCAGAACAATATTTAGTAGAAACAAGAATAATATAGAATGATAATAATAATAACAAAAATTATATTATGATGTGATGTAATTTTAAAATATATATTTATATACATGTATATACACAGCCTTGTCTGGCTTTATGGGGGATTTTACCAGATGAGATAGTAAACTGGTTCATTAGAAATGACAATGTTAGGTTTGAATTTATCATCTGTTAAGAGCCAGAGGAGCGTTGACTCTTATTAATGCCTTCTGGTTCCAAACAGACATAATAATAACAATAATAATAATAATAGCCTAATAGTCCACTCCAAATTTTATTAAACCGAAACGGAAATACGTTTTGCCCAATTGATCGTGAGCCCGGCAGCCACTGAGCAGCGCCAGATCGACGTTGCTCTATCCCTTATTGTTGAACGCCAATCAAGGTAGCAACAACTCCCATCTTTTAACGTCTTTTGGTATGACGCGGCCGGAGTTCGAAACTACGACCTCCGGGTTGTGAGGCGGACGCTCTACTTACTGAGCCAACACTCCGGTTACTGTATGAAATCAACTTCATGTTATGCTGTCTTCTGTCCTTTTGCAGTTTGCTGTTTATCAGGACCTATCAACAATGGTAATGGACCTATACCCACCACGCACAATACATTCTGGGTGGTTCACTTGCCGGTCTAATGACTATACTCTTTCTCACACTGTCTATGTTCAGTTTGCTGGTAAGATGAGTTACATCCTCATCCTTTTACAAATTTTATTCTATTATTTCTGGAGTGGTATTCTACAAATGTTTTATTTTTCAAATATCATTGTAGAGGCCATTCCCTTGTTTATCATTACAAGACGTAATAAGAACCCCCCCCCCCCCTCCCCAACCCCCAACCCCACCCTATAGAGACAAATAAATGGTGAGGATTTGGGAGCATAATGGCTTTTAAAAATGATTCAATTTGAAGAACCACATAGAAGTTAACTTTGATTTAGCTCCTGCGAAGGTGTGTGGGCATAAACATTTGTCATCTCGTCTACAAGTTCATTTTACTTAGTAAGGGTGCATTTAAACTGGCCAAATCTCTTTACAGAAGGTACGTTCGCTGCTCCCCTAGCATAATTGTATTTTTTTCACTTGCCACGCTGGAATCACCAATACTTGTATTAAAGATTTCGTGCAGGCATCTCATACATTGTATCTTGAAATTGAATGAGAATGAAGAATTTTGTAGACAATTTTTTTTTTAAAGTCACAAATGTTCAAATTTGATTACATTGCAGAGATATTTTGTGACCGTCCTACGACACCAACCAACGGTGCATTCCAAGACCATGACTACTACGGTTGGAAAAATGGACGATATTACATGGGCAAAGTGATCACATTTGCTTGTAACGATGGCTACATTCTTGATGGGGAAAGGAGAATTACCTGTGTGCTTGGGAAGTGGTCACATCCTGCTCCAAGATGCCAAAGGCACAGTAAGAGCCAAGAAATGTCTTTGACTTTATCCTAAAGCTCCCTTATGGCTATCATTGCACATCTATTTGAAATGAAACAGATTTACATATTAAACATAGGCTATTTCATGCATAATGAGAGAACATCCAAGCATTACATGTATAGAGCCTTGTTCACATATAACGTCGCAAAACAGCTGCAGTATTTTTAATGATGACACAAGTGTAATAAATGCTTCACATTTCTGTATCTTGTAACACAGAGCTAATAAAGTGAACACATGAAGGACCTTTGTTGCACGCAGTTGCTATTCATTTACACATTTTTTTTTAACACACTTTTTTAAGGAAGTTTGCTGTGTCATACCTGAGCGAGCCTTAATCGTTGTACATGTATAAATATACATTAGGGAGATGTGAGTTCAGCTTGTGGTTGGCTCGATCCTTTGTCTTTCTAGCTAGAGCATTGTGGTTCCAATCAGAGTGACAGCTTTACTATGAAACCTATAGGTCTGTCCCGAGATATGTAAGACTATCAGATCTGATGGATGCACATCTATCTGTAAAGCCCAATTCACACACACACACACACCCATACACGCTTCTGGTGGAAATCGAGGGCTCAAATGTACACATCAGTATGTTATTACATGTTCAAAGACACATATATTTGAAGGAATATAACAACTCAAGGACAATCTGGAAATTTACAACAATACAGAGGAAATAATTTTGTAGGGTTCCGGAACGGAGGACGTCCTCGTATTGCAAACAGTCTTCAAAGTGAAAGTATAGTTCTTATTAGTGTCCTTGTTACCCACGCTCCTACACACACACACACACACCCCTCACCCACCCACCTACTTTCGTGAAACATTATCTGCCCCCACAATGATTTTTGTAGCATTTATACATGTATTGCAGCAAAACATAATAAAATGTGAGTATCGTATAATTTATGGTATTTGTCGATTTACCCTCATTCTAACACAATCATGGTTTAGTAGGGGAATTTGTCATGCATATCATGGTAATGGAAAATATGCTGTATAATGACTATACAGTTCTAATTTAGTTACATGCAATTATAGATTTATCGGTGTAGAATTTTCTTGTACTGTGAAAGAAAGTATATACTTTATGCTTTGTTCAATCTCACTTTGCTTGTTCGTTTGTTTGTTTTGTTTCCTTTGAAAAAACAAATGTTTTTTAAAATAATAACTAGGAGCAACATGTGAAGAACTACATCCCCCAACCCATGGAACCAAGATAGGAGGGAACAGAATAGGTGACTCTGTGCTCATAGGATGCAACCAGGGATATCAGTTACAAGGAGAGCCTTTCTTGGATTGTCAGGAAAGTGGAAACTGGTCCCATCCTCTACCTGCTTGCATTGGTGAGTTTTAGGATCGTGTAGATTGTTTGCCAAGAGTAAAGACTTGGTGAAAGTAGGTTTCTTGTGCTAAAAGAAGAGTTCAACTCAAGATTTTCTTCAAAAGGTATAACATGCTCTGTATATTTCAGGTTCCATGGAGTTTTATTTCAATCAGATTATGCACTTTGATTATTACTTCTGTAAAGATATTGATCATACCAGCTGTATGAAAATTGCAAATATTAAAATTCTTTTTCGGCTTTGCTGGAACCCACAATAACCTGTATGCTCTATAATCCTGACCATCAGAATGTCTCAGACATTTTGGGGATGAACAGCCCCTTTATATTTGCTGAGTTAAATCCATGCAGTTATCGATATGCCTGTGTATTGCATCATAATTTGCTGAAACCGGATTTGGTTGAAGCTGTGGCCCACCAGGCAATTGCACCAACTTGCCTTCAAATCTTGAGGATGAGGGACATTTATGTTGATGAGATTTCCTAACGAGGTGGTAGGTGGAGGATGCAGTGTGTTACATATGAGACATGACCGTCTAAAAGGTGAAGTATACATTTGAAGATGGGCAACACCTGTTATCAGGTAAACACCCGAATGGTGTCAAGTTACTATGAGGACCCCTTGATACAAGTCTTTAAAACACAATACCATGTTGAGTAGCTTCTGATTCTAATTTTGAAATTTCATCACCTTGAACAGAAATCATTGAGCCGGAGAGGCCCTGTGATTCGGTCAGTTGCGGGGTGTGGCAGAAATGCGAGACCGACTCATCTGGGGTTGGTGTCTGTAGGTGTATCAGTCCCAATTCCTGCCCTGTAACGAATGAGACAGAGGTTTGTGGGACAGACGGACGGAACTACACCAACTTTTGCCGGCTCAAGGCTCTCGCATGTATTCGGAACACTGGCGTAGAGGTAGCTTCCAGGACTTGGTTCTGCATTAATGGTAAATCATTCACGATAATTCATTTAAGACTTTATTCTTAAGGTTTGGTGATAATCTAACTATAGTTCTGCCAATAATTTGAATTATTATTATTTTTAAAAATCATGATTATTATCATTTACATAAATGTTATCTCTGTATATGACTTTATGAGTTAACACTCTTCTGGCTCCAAACAGGTGTTATGTTCCTGGATAAAAAGAAAGAATCATAAATATGTACATGTATTTACATAGAAGCATATTCTAACATTCGTTCACAGTATACAGCATAACTGAAAGGTATACCGGTAATATAAGGTCATTCATGTAAGCCTGTTGTACTGTTGTGATCGTTTAACAATGTTAAATCTGAGATGCACGGCACTACGTGTTATCAGTGTCTGTGATATGGCGTTATATTGAAGCCCTAAAAAAAATTGCGCCTCAAAATGATCTAGAAGTGCTTTAAAAAAGTAAAAACCTTTGTGTGACCGGTTTTACCATACTCGTTTTCCCCAATAGACTGTAGTGTTATGAAAACCGTTTGGCAAACACAAAATTTGATTTTGATTTTCAATCATAAATATCTTGATAAACAGACAGGCGATCGGCTTGTAAAAGTCATGGGTACGTACCTGACTGACCTAAAGGTTTATAATTATCATTGCAGCATTAGCTAAATCAAGGATCTAAGACAACGTTACCAGATCCCTTTAAATAGACTACCTAGCCTAGCTAGGCCAAGGTCTTGTTAATTCAGTAAAAGTTTTTTTTTTAGTATAATGAAAATATTTAGATTAATTACCCAAAATATGCCAATTTTATTGGCAAAGTTGTAATTTTGTTTATTTTTAGGTCATTACAGATTATTCCGCCAACTGTTAAACAAATAAAAGAGCATCGGCAGAATCGGTTACTAATGATGATGATCTGAGATGTAACGCTATACATTTGTTTCTGTTTATTGAAACTCTATCCCAGGTGTGCCTGAGCATGCGTTGCTAACACCAACGCCATTCATTGAAATCGAAAAGCCAAGCCAGTTATCCTCCTTTGAGAGCTCTTATGAGGAATCACCTCCATCTATCCCTGAACCAACTCTCCCGGCAACTGAAGGACCTGTACTAGAGCCAGACACACCTTCATCCAGATCTTATTCATTCTGTCATCTCGATGAATGCCCTAGTAGCTCAGCGGCAGAATTGAGCCAGGGCGCAACAGCAAGTAATAACAAGAAAATGCTCCTTGCCGTTCATGTCATTTTCTATTAATTCACTGTCATGTTTGTCCGTTCTAATTTCAATGTTTAGGGTGTGAAAACTCCCATTGGTACAATTTAGTACCATGACGATTTGACAACAGATTTGAGAATTTTCCAAACTTGGATCAACCATTTACAAAATAGTGTATATGTAGCTTGCATGAAAAAGATGAACTGACATAAATCTTTGTGTCAATATTAAAAGCTTTTAAAATTATCAAGGTTTAAAATGCTGGCATTATAGGGAACTTGGCAATACTTCTATTTGGTAACTAGGCTCAGGTAGGAGTTGAGTAATAAACTGATCAAATTTGGGGACAAAATGTTTGCTTTTAAAAGGCAAAGTCACTTTCATGTTTATATGTATCGTAGACTCATCCCCACAATGTGCTTTCTTTTACAGTCGTCATTGCTTACGCCGACAATTGGGATGCAGACCTTGGCATCTTAAGGATTCAAATCTATGAAGTGATGGCGGGAGGGATGCCATCGTGGACAGAAGGTTCGTCTGAAGCAAAATTTAAAATGTTGAAACGTGAAGGAGAACAAGAAAATCAACAATATCCATAATAACACCACAAGCAACAACATTATTCTGAATTTTTATTGTGCCTGAATGCTTGATACATCTACTGTGTCTGTAGTTTGCTTTACAGATGTCCTTTGATACTGAAAACTGTAATTGTACATCTCTCTGTTAGGTGAACACTGCATGATCTCAGAAAATATTTTTAGGAAGATGACTATGTTTGAGTGGTTTTATACATCTTATTTAATTCTTTCATATTTTAACCCAATTTCATCATAAACCACATTTATATACCAAGTTATACCAAGATGCCCATATTTTATGCAATTTTTTTCGGTATTGCATTGTACTTTTTTTCTACAAATTGTTATTAGTGTATTTTGTAGAGAAAGCACAATCTTGTAGGCGAAGTCCATTACCGGTAACCGAAAAAAACAATACTGCCTGTAGTAATTAGGCATTACATTGCATTCTAATTTTTTGCAAGCACATTTTTGTATACCAAACAGTCATATTGTTTGCAATAATTGCTTTGTATTTTGACGAGGTGAAAACATGGTCATAAACTTTTGACTTCTCCACATACAGACTCTTACCAAGACGTTCTAATTGATGTGGGTGCTGCCTCAGAAAGGGGATGTCTTTGCCCATCCTTTCAAGCAACAGACCCTGTCATCATACGCTTCAGTCAACACTTGAGGCACGATGAAAAAGGCCAGCTCCTACACACTGACATTGTTCTCCCATACTCTACAGATTTGTACCATGAAATAAGACTGCTATTAGAAGGTGAGCAAAGGGTGAATTTTTCAGAACCATTATCATTGTTTTCTTTTTGAAAGCACTTGTTAGTTACTACATATTTTTGGAAGAATATCCCACAAGGACAGTAACCCCAGGAAGGTACGAGTGGTTCAACTGCCAGACATGCCCACAGTTTATTATTGTAACTTTAAGTCATCGTTTACGACACCCAAGATACAATAACCAATCACTCAAAATGTGAAATAAAACGATTTCTCTTAACCACTTTTAGCATGTTTTAGCAGGTATACCTAAATGTACAATTTTCCCATCTGCCATTGTTTTCTAAACCCTTCCTATTCACTTTGGTAAACCAACAAAATAAATTAGTGGCCTGATCCGTCCTTCATTCTGTATGGTAGCCCAACATAATGCTAATATGCAATAGTCCAGAGTGTGCAAAGTTAAGTTATTTCCCCCCAAAGGGAAATCCACCTGAACATAAATTGAGATAAAGAAAAGCAGAAACATCTTGATAAAGGATTATTAAATTTAAAAAAAAATAAATAAAAAAAATCGATAGAATATGGTAACTCATTGATATTGCTTGCCAATGGTTGTTTTATACAAAAAGGTTGTTTCATACAAATAAGTACATGTGTAATGTATAAATACATGTACAGTTTACTGTGCATAACTGCACAAGTCAAAGCCGGAGGGGGGGGGGGAATACTCAGATTTGGTTTGGATGGGGGTGTGACGCTCAAGCCTCGAAACCCCTTATTAGTGGCAATTTTGGGCCATTTTTCTCAAAAAAAGACCCACTGTACACAGTACACTGAAAGATGTGTATGGGACTATGCAACACTTGCATGATATCTATCCGGTCCAGATAGATATAATAATTTACTAAATATATCAATTATTAGGCAATTTCCCGGCAAAATTTGTATAATCACGTATTAGTCAAAACATATTCTTTCACATGATTGGTAATAAGAGCTTCCATTTCGTTTCTTGAGAGGGGGGGCGTTTCCCAAAACTGGTCTTTACCTTTAATGATATTTTGTTAAAAATTGGACCCACGTTTAGGGATTTTTTGTGAAAAAGTGACCCATTAGAGTGGCACACCCCGTAAATAATAGATTTTTGTTCTGATTTTAAGCTCGAGGGATCATTGGTCGTTTATCAATTAGCAACTTTGTTGCCATTTTGATAAGTGATTACCTATAGACAGCCAGAACTTTTTTCTTCTTGTCTGTAATATGGAAATTGTAGGAAAGAGTGAGTTTCACTCTATCAGAACGATTGAAGTTTCAGTGAATCAAGAATTCTTCCCTAGGTAGAAACAAGTATGATTATTTCATGCTAAATTTAATGCTTTTATTCTGACAAACTGCAGAGCCTGTTCGTGTTCAGACCCCAGCACCCCAGACACCTCGCCCACAAGATGAAACGAGCGACAGCTTTAGCAGCCTTGGCAGCCATGATGGTCCAGAGGGACAAAATTCATGGTTTCAATCTGATTCAGACATCATTACTACCACGGCCCGCACCAACACAGAGATCGTTGATTCGCCGCGTTCATCTGAATCCTCTTTTGACACATAATCTTGTTCAAGAGTGGATTGTACAGGTGGCTTATACAGACTTTTTTTTGTTGTTATTTTACAATGCCATCAAATTGCTTTCTCTTCTTCCACTTCTTTTTGTCTTCCTCTTCTTCTTCCTTCCCTTCTTCACCTTTCTCCTACTTATCATTATTATATTATTTTCTCTACTCTTTATTTTAATTTTTCTTTCCTTCTCAAATTCACTCTCCTTGTACGTCTCTAGAATCTCATATTATACTACTCCGTTCTCGCCTCCTATAATACCTTTTAAATTCAGACCTACTATATTGTGTTAATCAGTACGGGAGCCTATTCACATACAAGCTATGCTTTTTATTTAGGATCCCCACATTTTACATCGTTTTATCTACATATTTCAAAATTTTGTACTTATTTTCGGTACATTATACCTGATTTGAAATCTTTAATTAAAAAAAAAAAAATTCTTGTGTGAAATCTACTCTTATATAATATACAACAGGGTATTCAACAGGGTATGAAACGATGAAACGGTTGGCTCAAGACCGAGAAATGTGGAGAGACACCTGATATAGAATTTTGAATGGGTCACTGAACCTGTCATCAACTGACAGATCACTATTGATGATGATAATATACACCTGTATAAAAAAATTAAAAAAAGTGTTTTTTATGTAAAATGTGGAATAAATAAAACTTTAAAATTCAAATGTGGGGAAGCCCCAGTGGTATCACTTCATATTCAAAGGTGTCGCACATGAAGGTAATAGCGGAGTCGATAACGACCCGCTATTTGCAAACTTAAAAAACATTTCCCACAAAATGTTACACCCCAGTTACCAGGAAAACCATTACAAAATAAGTTTTAAGAATAACCCAATTAGGGGCATTTCAAGTACCAAACAAGCACCCTAAAACATTGTACATACCGGTATGCATTCATGTTGGCAAATACAGTGAAAAGATTACTCTTTTTCATGAAATTTCTTGCACTTATAAACACACATTTTTTTAGTTCCAAACACTAAACAAAAAAAGGACACGCCCATTTATTTATTAAAATCCATTAAATTCGCTGAAAATTGTCAAAACACTTGTACACGAAGTTGGCATGAAGTGACAACACTAGGGCAGGAGAATTTATGTCGTTTGCGATTTGAAACCACTTCTGTTGGTACTTTGCAGCTTTATGGGGGTCGTATTCTGAAATCTTTTCTTTTATGTTAGCGACAGGTACAGTATTTTAGTTGTTACAACAATTTGAAATCACAGAAAGTGAACACTTTTCATCGGTGCTTTGCAGAGGTATCTCTGAACTATAGGTGAACAGTCAGCTATTTTTATAGGAACTAATCGATGGCTCGATGATCCGTTATGAAAATTAACATGCCTAGATTATCACCAACATAAAAGATGAAAGAATTTCAGAATACCACTCTACCGATTACATAAGCGTATTGATAATATTGCTACAATGTGTTCACCATACAACCGTTCAGAGAGAATTTTTGAGCACACATTGTTGGGTATACATGTCCATGCTCAGGGCTTGTTCAGATATGGTGCTTTAAAGATAAAGACCAGGGGGGGGGGGGGGGTTGTTTCACAAAGATTCTAAGTCTAACTTAACTCTAAGTTGGACTTAAATATTATGAAGAGCCATTTGTAGCCTTATAATGAAATATGTTCAAAAGCAAAAATTAAAGTATTTTAGACTTTTCATAAATTCTATATCAAGAATATGAAATCTCCCATGTTAATAGAAAATATGAATGATTTAAATCAACATTTTATGCCTTTTGAAATAAGTTTTACAACCTATTTTCAAGGATGCTTATGGCTTTGATTCCATAACATTTAAATCCAACTTAGAGTTAAGTTCGACTTAGAATCTTTGTGAAACACCCCCCAGTTCTGGTCGTGCCATTGCATTGTGAAAGAAACGTTGTGGAATCGATCAGAAAAGGTTGATCATCTAGCATAGAAGTATTGGTGTGTACTGCAAGGTTCTGGAATCATCAAAATAATAAGAAAAATTGGCCCAGTCTTGGTAAAGTTACAAGCACAGTCACAGAAAGATGTATATGGGACTACACGATTCATGCGTTATATCTATCAGGTCCAAATAGATATATTTTACCAAATATATTGATTAGTAGGCGGTTTCTCTGCAAAATCTGTATCATTACGTATTAGTCAAAACATATTCTTTCACATGATTGGTAATAAAAGCTTCCATTTCATTTTTTTGAGAGGGGGGCGTTTCCGAAACTGGTCTTTACCTTTAAGTCACCACATACGTTTTTGATTTGATAATGGCCATGGCGACGCTAAACTAAAGACTTGCGCATATTCACCAAGCGCTGTGTTATAAGCTACAGAAATGTAAAGTGTGTTTTAGGTCGTCTTAAAAACAGGCCTGATAAAAACCCGATTTAAATCATTTTTTTTCTTCCCGATTTAAAAAAAACAACAGATTTTTTTTCTTCTTCCCGATTTCCCCCCTATTTTCTCTATTCTACCCTATTTTTTTCCCAATTTTCTTACTCGAAAGGGGGGAACGTTGTTAGATGCCGTTTTTCCCCCGCGAATCCTCTTCTTCTTATTTTTACTCAAGGGGGACGTGGTCGAGGGGAAAACAAAAAAACTTTTTTTTTTTTAGTGCTCACTATCACCCCTGTATAAACACCATGGGGGTTATGCCATGACTGAGCGAGCCTTGAAAGGAATTTCTTGGCATTGTTAAATCAACTGTACTGTGATGCACCAAGTACCTCACAAGTATGAATAATTTTTATATTTGATCAAGTAAAGAGAGGTGTTGCAAAAATTTGATACCGTGTTGAATAATGAATGAACGTGTATTTTATGAAATCATCCTTGTATAACAAATTGGCATAGAGCATAAACCGTATGGAAAAGTTTGTTCATGTAACAGTAGTAATAGGAAGATTGTTATGAACAATTTTGTCTAGTTATCATTGTTCTTTAGGGACTTTGTACGTGTAAAATAGTGATGCATTTATTAACCACGAAAGAGGAAAGCTATGACAAATTTAATATCTAGCTCGTAATGTAACAAATACAAGAAAAATAAAAGTACTCGACACATTTTTATGCTGTTAATTGGCGATTCTAGTATTATGGTGATGGTACCGACGTTTAATTTGCTTGTTTTTTTTTTTAGAAGAAAGTCTTTTATTTTGGACGATTACATGTAGTAATTGCTAGGGAAAAGCCAATGATTTTTATGCCTCCGTTACGAAGTAGCCGGAGGCATTATGTTTTCGGGTTGTCCGTCCGTCCGTCCGTCCGTCCGTCCGTACGTCTGTACGTACGTCTGTACGTACGTCCCGTTCTCGTGATCACGTTATCTGAAGAACGGATCAATGGATTCCTACCAAACTTTGGTCATATATGTATCTAGCAAAGTCGATGAACTGATTAGATTTTGGGGTCACGAGGTCAAAGGTCAAAGGTCACAGGGCTCATTATGTATGCAAAAACAGCTCGTGATCGCGTTATCTGAAGAACCGATGGATGGATTCCTGCCAAACTTTGGTCATGTATGTATCTTGTAGAGCCGATGAACTGATTAGATTTTGGGGTCACGAGGTCAAAGGTCAAAGGTCACAGGGCTCATTATGTATGCAAAACGGCTCGTGATCGCGTTATCTGAAGAACCGATTGATGGATTCCTGCCAAACTTTGGTCATGTATGTATCTTGCAGAGCCAATGAACTGATTAGATTTTGGGGTCACGAGGTCAAAGGTCAAAGGTCACAGGGCTCATTATGTATGCAAAAACAGCTTGTGATCGCGTTATCTCAAGAACCGATTGATGGATTCCTGCCAAACTTAGGTCATGTATGTTACTTGCAGAGCCGATGAACTTATTAGATTTTGGGTAACGAGGTCAAAGGTCAAAGGTCACAGCGCCCATTATGTATGCAAAAACAGCTTGTGATCGCGTTATCATTAGAACAGATTGATGGATTCCTGCCAAACTTAGATCATTTATGTATCTTGCAGAGCCAATGAACTGTGTAGATTCTTGGTTCATAAGGTCCAAGGTCATGGGCTCATTATGTATGCAAAAATAGCTTGTGAACGCATTCTCATTAGAACTGACAGATGGATTACTATTTAACTCTGGATATCTTGCAGAGCCAATGAGCTGAGTAGATATTAGGATCATGAGGTCAAAGTTCAAAGGGTCATATATGTATATGAGAAATTGTTTGTAATCACGATATTCTGAGAACCTGTTAATGGATTACAATTGAACTTGAATTTGAAAAATTTCTTCTGTTTTGGTTTGTAAAATTGCTCTATGACGGAGGCATCATTTTCGACTGCGCGCAGTCGAATTCCATCTAGTTTTTCTTTAATTTGCTTGAATGATTTATATACCAGTACTATAAAATGAGAATGCAAAGCAATTCTTTTTTGGGGGTTAAATGCCACCCTCACCCTCCCCTTTTTAATGGCTCCCCCTGTCTAACGGCCAGGTGCTTGGACAACAATTTCATGAATTGCGGCAGAAATTATTTGTCTTTTCTTTTTTCTTGGTCCTTATTATCGATTCTGTCAATAGCTACTTCAAATACCGGCATGTGTGGATGGAGAGCGAGGGTGGCGATCGAGGGTCTTATAAATTAAGCGTGTATTTTGTAAACTTTTAGGTGAACTCTGTGTACAGAATACTTTGTCACCATCTTATTGTTGGAAAAAAAAACCTGTTATGCTATGACATGTGTATTTTGAAAAATATTTTTTGTCACACAATGTACTGTACTTGTATTTGCTTTGAGCAATTCTGTCATAGAATATTTTTTAGAATAAAACAACATTAAGGTCTGATGCAAAAAAAAAAGTTTTTATTTTGTCATTTAGTACAGTAGAATCATATTACAATGTTAGTCCCATATTGTATTCAATACATGTATTTTTTGTTTTTGTTTGGGGGGGGGGGGGGGGTAGGGGACTTGAAAACAAAGCTTCAATACATTGGGATAAATTTGTTAGTCTCAAAGGACTTTGTCAATAGGTTCCACCGTAGATGCACTACAGTGTACTACATGTATATGTATTTCAGAGAGAGAGAGAGAGAGATACTCTAGAATAAGGAGAGAAAGAAATGAGAGGGAGATGATGAAAGATAAGTGAGAAAGATCACTTTATTGGCTCATGTGTAGATTGTATCTACAAACTGGTCTATTCGTACATGTACTTCCAAACTGAATAGCAGTGCAACGTACGACAGCTTTTCGTCTTACTTTCCGGTAGCAAATCACAGGTGCTTTGCTCCTTTAGCATCTGCTTATAGTTGTGTTTATTATTACTATTATTATATATTTCAGCTTTCTGTTCATTCTTGCAAGTTACTCTCCCATTTGATGTGTACAAAAAATATTTATTTCCATTTTTCTCCTATAAGCTTTCTCACTTGGCACACCACTCAAAATGTATTATGGAAGAACTCATAACAGTACTAAGGGTCCTCTAAAAAAAAAAAAAAAACTTGCAAATCATACATTTGGAAAACTTGACATTCTGTCTTTAAAGATAAAGTTGAGGTCTGGGCATGCGATTGCATTGTAAAAGAAACGGTGTGGAATCGATCAGAAAAGGTTGATCATCTAGCATTAAAGGTATTACAAAGTTTTGGTATGGTCATGAATTTGGTTCAAATTAACATATTGGAAGCATATGCATTCCTACAATATACATTGATCGTTGTCGCGGTTGAAATCGAGTCTAAAGTTATGAAATTATAAATAATAAACTCTTTATATTGTATAGCTCCCTCTCAAGGTCAAGATATGAATTTAGCTATGAAACAATGTTTCTTGACTGAAATTAACCTTTTAGCTATTCCCATTTTGAAATTATATATCCCAACTACATATTCTGAGATTTTCATGGTCGCAGCTACGATTGTACGGCCATAGGCGCTATTTGAAATTTATCAAAATTTACCGGGAGCACCGGTAAATTTTTGTATTCAATTTTTCTTGAAAACAGAAGTTTTTTAGGGGCTAATTGTTTTAGTGCTTATTATACATCCACAGGGGCATCCAGATATATAAAAATTGTAAAGATTCACTATCCACCCAATTTTCTAAATTTCCCAAAACTTTGTATTACCTATAAGTATTTGTGTGTATTGCAAGGTTCTGGAATCGTCAAAATGATAAGAAATTGGGCAAAGTCTTGGTAAAGTTACAAACACTGTACACAGAAAGATGTATACCGGAATGGGACTACACGAAAATGTGGCGTAAAATGTTCACGTTTTATCTGATGTTCTTCCACACTTGCATAATAACAATAACACTCAGGAATTATTCTTTACCTCTTCCCAGAACTCAACCTTCTCTTTAAACAAATGGAAAGTAGTCCAGCACACTACATCACAGCCCATACAACTTTCAAACACTCGCCAGTCTGCTTCTTTTAAAGCCCCACTGTACTAGTGTAAAGGAGGGATTAGACTACAAGGCATGTTTGATGACAGGTGGCCATCTCATCAACTTGGCTCTCAAATAACATAAGATGAAGAGGATCATGGGGGACCAATGGTCACCAATTAGGCATTGTTTGTTATATAGAGGGAGCAAGTAGCTACAAGTAGGACAGTGGCTTTAAGAGTAGTTGTCTATCACGGTTGGATTTTCTTGTAAAGCCCCACTGCGCTACTTGCGCCCACTATGTAGCAATTAAAGCCCAATCGGTGCCTGTCGGTCCCCCATGACCCCCTTTTTCTTATGTTTAATTGAGAGCTGAATTGAAGAGATAACCACCTGTCAGATACCTTCCAGGGAGGTCTAATCCCCATAGCCAAACTAGTACAGACATGCTTGAAAGAACTCTTCCCCTGCATATCCAGTAGCTTTTTGTGTCACTCAGAGTCCAGGAAAAACAGGAATTCAATTTCAAAGTACTGTGGCACCACAGAAGACAAACAAATGTAGACACAATTTTCAATTAACCAGAGCAACTTGCTTTATTAGATATTTAAAAAGAATCAATGAAGCCAATATAAAAGAGACACAAATGTGTTTCCTTTTCTACAGTCAAATATACACTTTTACACCATGCAAAATACTTCAGTACTAACGGGGAACATGAGAATAGATGCAAACCTTGACATAAATGTTACAATACAGTGATCTTTTAAATTCATGTATATACTCTCAGATTTTTAAACAAGAATACTGCAAAAATGTCTGAACACAATAAAAAAAAAGTTTTATATTTCACCCTTTTAATCAATTACACAAGGAATTATATGAAAATATAACAGTAAAAAGTCAAAATGCAATAGTACATGTAGTCATCTAAGGTCATTATGGTCATATTGTACAAAACATACTTCATACATGTAGCTTCAATGATATAGTATATTCACATTATTCAATATTAAACATATGAAAACAGTCTCAGATAAAAGTAACATTTCATGACAAAAGAAATTTTGCAAAGTTTCATGTATATTTTGTTGGAATATTATTTTTTTTTTAACCTAACTTTTTTTTTAACAATAAGAAAACATATCAATATGAGCAATATACACAAACTGTTGGCAATGCATAAAGGAAATATCTTAGAGCTACAATCTTACCATAGAACGATGAAAGCTGTTGATGACCTTACTCTGCTAGATCCGTCATGCATCCAAGCCTCGTAAAGTCGGTACATCCGTAGGAGAATATATGCATCATTTAAAACCATTTCCCTGCTTTTTTTCATTCATTCATAACTTAATTTTACACATATTCCACCTACAGTTTTAAGAGTATATCAGTTAAAGTTATCTACATACAAAAGATTACTTTATATATATTGTAACAGGTCTCAAAATAATAATACATCAAGGCAAATAACAGTTGTTTCTATAATCTATATCCTACGGGCAGCATACGGTACATGATTTTTCATTTTCAAATGGAAAAGAGAAACGTTTATATCGCGCAATGGAGAAAAAAAAAATCTTGTATCATTCATAAACATAGAAACATGTTAGACTGAATAATTAAATGCATTTTCAACATATGATTGTCAAAGTACTATATTTAAATGTAGAGGTGAATACAATAAACATAATCATTTCAATAATTGTAGCACAGCATGAAATCACTTTGTCCAAATTTTGATTATTTCCTATCACAAAATATATATAAACAAAATTGGAACAAAGAAAAAAGATCAAATACAAATGTCTGCGATTGTCAAGACAAAATAGTTTTTCAATAATTTATAGCATATGCATTATTCATTTTGATACAAAACGTTTATGACAAATCAAAGATCATTGCATTGCTTTTCTTATTCACTTACACGTTTCAGCACTGCGAGGGACAGCCCAGTTCACCTCCTACTAAAGTAAGGGAAAAGAACTCGTCAACAATTCAAATAACCGCTTTATATAACACGCAAAGTCACATCTCTCTTTAATAGAAATATGCAAATTCAAGAGAAAAAAAATATTTTTGGCATTGCATTATAGGTAGTAGACGCAAGTATATGTTATCAGTTTCATTTTTCAAATAATCAATCATGTACTCTGTACGAAGATGCCCATACGTTGGAACATTTATATCACGAAAGGGGGAAGAAAATACCATCGTAGTGCAAACAACTCCTAAGGGCCTAGGCCTCAAATATTCTTGTGTATACATATTATAAGTTGAGGTACTAATTAATATTTACATGGCTTACATCAAATAGTTACACGTTCATTACATTAATTTATCATAAAGGAATAAGTTTAAAACACTACAAACAACCCTTACCATACTATCACTGTAAAACACAACATCAAAATATGGCTTACATACATAACCTATTCAACTCTTCAGGCACAGAAAAATCAATGAAAAAGTAATTTATAAACAAACAAAAAGATAAATGAATAAGATATTTAAGGTATTAATGACAGAAAAAAACAGAAACAAACTCTATATACATCCTGTTTTAACTTATGAACTCCACTACATAACAATTTTAAGTGTCTGGCATAATCCTATGTTACATGGAGAGCAAATTCTACCCTCTGAACGCCACCCACCACGGGCGTCCACTACAACAACCAAAAAAGCAAGGAATATGTGTATCGGCGAATCTTTATATCAGCAATGCATATAATGATTTTAACGAAGTGTTGAAGAATTCGTGAGAAGAGATACTTTAAAACTGCTTCACTGACCCTGTGAATATATAAGAACATGAAACAAAAACATTGCAAAATGGGTTGTCCAGGAAGATCCGTCAGCATCTGAGGAGAAAGTGTGGTTATATCTACAATGCACATATACATTATGAAAATTAAAAGCTTTATTACTCCATAATACTCTAGTACTTTAAAAAAATTGCTACATGTAGGTTGAAAAATTTGTATTCAGATTATCACACACAATTCAAATTTATCTTATTGATATGGGACATATTTTATGCAAGAGTGTACGGGCGCTTTGAGTAGTCCATTTTGTTGTTTAAGAATGTTTTGAAACTTTCAATATCTCATTATAGCAGTAATATTAGAAGCTCATATTTTTTATACAGTATAGTTAAAATAACATTAAGATTTTTTTGGGGGAAATTTGTACACTTTCAGCTTTCACAAATTTTGAATAACAAGATTTTTCATAGCAACAATTTGTTTTCAATATTGCCTGATTTCAGCGTTACCAATGGTATCACGGCATGAAACTTTCGTTAATCTGGACAATTTAGAAACTCTTTTCTAATGGCAAGCCCCATCAATTGCCACCCCCCCCCCCAAATGTTAACAAATCACAGGTGTCAAAATAATCCTTTCCAACAGGCATGAATTCCAGTATTTGAAGGTGAAAAAGTAAGCCCCACAATATTATCAATATCATAATCATTATTTAATCTCCAATAACCCATGGCCATATATGCAAAATACGAATGGAAAATATTGCACATGAATAATAAAGTGCAGGTTTATTTCAAATATCCAATATTAGATCTCTTTGTGCAAGTCTTACATAATAAAAATAAACCAGGGAAAATAAAAATTCCAGTGTTAAAACTATTATGCCTCACAGAAGGCTGTACAACTTCATAAGAATGTATATGGAATATTCAAGAATCAAGATGCCCAGGAAAAGCATCTACATGTAATAAGTTTCTCTTTCTCTCAAATTCAAGAAAATATGTTCTTCAAAACAGATAGCAAGAACTATTGTAAAAAATAATAACTTGTCGATCAATAAGGAAATATAATCCATCGCCCATTTCACATGACATCTCTCAAATACACAAACATTCAAATCTCAAAATAATTATGAGTAAAAATACAATCTCGATATGAAAATGGAAGACGTCAAATGAAAATCAAGCAATATTCAATCTAAAGAAGACATGTCAAGACCGAAGACCCATTGTCACCATTCAGCAGAAAATACACAAATAAATATATTGATATAACCCCCCTAGTTCACACGACCAGAATTTATCGTATAGCTACCGGTATATGACAATTGTATACCGGTAGCTATACAATGTATTCTGGCAGTATGAATCAGCCCAATTAGAGGTTAGATCGTTTATAACCAAGTCCTGGTTAAACACAGACTAAGATAAGAGAGTCGGTCCCAAGATTTATGGAGCACTAAAAGTCTTCATTCCATAAAAAATAACTGTTTTCTTCCCCGAAGGCATCACGAAGAGTTAGTTCTATATAATCAAAGATATTTCAGAATTACACAAATTTGTACATAATAAATGGGACATTGATTTGCAATTATTAAATCAGTCAAATAAGTTTAATTAGGTTTAATCTAGTCTCATTTTCATGAATAAAATCTGGTGCCACATGATTTACACATAAAAGATCAAAGTGAAATATAGCATGCTTGATCTTCTATAATATACAATAAAATTCAGAGCATTTGGGGTGGAACACTTTCAACGTAAATGCCTCAAAATAGTTTTCTAGCATTGAACAAGGCAAGAAATTCTCAATGATTTTCTTATTTCATAGCAGTATTGAAATAGCTTTACTTCTTTTCCCACATATCAAAGTAAATAACAAAAATCTATAAAATGACTAATTTGCAATATTCACGCACTAACTTGTCACAATTCATTATTAACGTCAAAGTTTCATCAACATGTGAAATAATCATGATAAAAGAGAGAGAGAGAGAGAGAGAGGGGGGGGGGGGGGGGAGAGCACATGACAGAAGGATCTGTACTTTCAAATTTTAAGAATAACTTCATCAAGAATTAAAATATTTCGAAAATGATGAAAATATGGAAAACAAATATCAAGGAAGAAGAAGTCACAAAATACCCCTCAGTAAGCAAGAAAATCAAATTTTCAGAAACATTCCTACGATATAATACTGCATTTATACAGGTATCATCGATGATCACTCATTATATATACCAAGACAATAAATGGCAAGTTACCCGCAAAGAAATAGAACAAAGATTGCCTTGAAAAAATATCGTCAAAGCACACATAATATTCAAAAATCAAATTATTCATTTGGTAGAAATGTGGGCAGATATTTTTATGTCACAAAATAAATAAAATATTCATAAAAGGTCCACAAAAAAAAAAAAAAATCATTTTCAAGTACTTATGATCAGCTGGATGGTTGTATATATATATATTCTAATGAGTTAGTACAAAATCTAGAATGCAATTTGTAGCAAAAATATGAAATGCATCATATATCAAAACAAATATTCAAGTATAAAGGACAATATTGAATATCTTTATTTTGGAAAGGAATACATAAATTACCAGTTAACTGATTAACCACTAGAAATCTATGTTTTACGAAATGTGACAGAATTCTTAAATATATATAAATCTTGATGCATTTTTCTTTTTCAACTTTGATAATAAGGCCCTATCTATTTGGAAAGGAAATATTTGTGTGTGTTTGATAAAAAAAAGGGTTAATAGCTGTGAATGAGGTGTAAAATTATCATTTTTGTATCTCATGTCCAACTGATCAAATCAAATTCGGCTAAATTCTCAAAAAACACTGTCGTGCAATTATGTAGTGGCAAACCTAAGCAGCCCCTTCCTTAGAATAATTAAATAATTTTTCAGGTTAATTTCCTACAATTTCTAGCGATTAACCAGTTAACCGCTAATAGGGAACGTTTTTTTATGACATTTTCCCCCCAATTACAGAAGGAGTCATTATTCAAGTCAATAAGAATGCAGTATTCAAAAATTGCAAATGACAACAAAATCTCGCATATATTCATGGAAAATTCAATTGGATTGTATTCATACAATAGCAAATCATCAAATTGATCAATTCACAATATTAGTTTTACATTTTATCTTACCTTTGATTGAGGATAGGAATGGAGCTGCTAATTAGCCTGAAAAAGAAATTTGCCAAATTTCTTGCATACAATAAGTGAGCAAATTGCAATATACACAACAAAGGAGCACTATGGTCATATCAGAAGATTATATTTCAATAGCATATGAGGGCAAATGAGTGGGAAAACACGATATTGAAATATTGATGCAAATGTTGATTATGGGGAAAGCATCTCAGAAGAAGAAAAAAACATTTATGAAGAAAAATGCCCCAAATTATGACAGAAATTTCTATAATATTGATGTCTTATTTTTGGCTCAAAAAATAAAAAAATTACATCTGAGAAAGTCAAGTATAATAGCAAATAGCCATGCAGTAACTTTTAATGGTTCAATGTTGACAAGTAACTAGAAAATGACTATCAAAATGACAAGTCAAACATTTTCAAGATCCCTAATTACAATAATTAAGCTGGGGGGAAAATGAGCACTAGACCATAAACAGAGAACTAGGGAACAATAGGAATAGAATGGGGAAAAACAATTTTGGTCTGATAAAAAGGGAAAGTCTAATTGAAATTTAGACGGTTAAACTCCTACAGCTATTGTAATGGTAATGGCGATTGAGAAAGTGATAGTTGTATGGAAACTGAAGTATTTAAAGGTGTAGATCAAAGAGAATACTGCAAGTTATACTAAATATTGAAAGGCAATCTAACCTTTGAAATAAGTTCATTTGTACGAAAGCAGAAAAATAAGAGAAACAGAATGGCGTAAGTTTGAAACAAATCTGACCAATAATAAGTTCTGACTGTCTGAAATATGACATCACTACATCTATGCGAATCTCAAATGGGCAATTTGGTCAGTGGATTGTGATGAAGTCGCGGATAACGTTGTATAAAAAATAGGTAGTAATATCCATATTTTCTCCCCCTTGGGGCACTACTCAAAATTATATAATTCTTCCTAACAAAAAAAAAGATTCCAGTCGATGCATCAATAATAATGGCGAAACTGCTTCTAGCATTCCAAAATTAGATAAAACACATTCACGCACACAAAATTATACCACTCATCAAAAAGTATCCAAAAAAACACTGTCCAATCTTTTCTCTCTCATAATCATTCTGCCTCTCGCATAATCCTTTCCAGCAATTTTCTTGTTGTACTTTCCACAGGCAAACAGACACATACCATGATCATCTATACAAATTAATTCATTTTAACCTATTATCATGACAAATATGATACTGGGGGGCCCGTTTTCAAAACTTGTCTCAGAAAAAAGGGTATTTTACTTAGTTTTCGGTTTAGGTACTTTGCTTAGCTTTTGGCAAAGTATTTCACGCTCATATTGATAAAACTGAGCTTTAATACAAACTAATGAAATTTCAATTTGTTTGAAGAAGAAAAAAAAGGTATAATCAAAGTATCATAATAACTGCATATACAACCATCTATTCAAACATGATCCCCTGACCCAATTTGATGCTGTGAAACCTCTCATCCAAAGTTATTTTGTTAATGGCAGCATGGGTCCCAGCAATCATTACCATCCATTGCGACAAATACAAAACTCGGAATTCATTCATAACTTGCTTAATAGAATGGAAGATAGGTATTCCTACACCCTCATCCCCCTCTCCCCCCAAAAAATAAAACGATTTTAAACATATACTTTGGACTATCTAGATAACCCTGAGCAAGCCAAATTTACATGGGTTTTTTTTTAAGGAAAGAAAATCCTAATGATGGAAACCACCATGATGAAAAATTGTAAATCTGTAACATGAAAAAGCTACAGTTCATTATAGAGCTACAATATACAAATTCCTCGACAAAGAAATAAATTTAAATCAATTACAGCAATTAGATCAATAATTACATTCTATGCACAAGGTATGTCTTTAGAAAAATATGTTCATTATGAAGTTGTACCATACAGAAATATGCATATAGAGCCAGTGAGGGTATCATGTTCGGTCACATGTTGTAAAGGGTGTGTGATGTGATGTGATGTGAATTTAGGAAGTACTTACCTGCGCGGGTGTCTGCCCCTGGTTTGGTTGGTTAAAATACAGAGCTTGCTGCTGGAAGTATTCCATCCATTGCTGGGAGTAGTCCTGGGGTTGTCCACCTGCCTGACCAGCAGCTGTAACCATCAAACACACACACGCATCAAGGAGAGACAAGAAAAACATACACCCGTTATCAATGATGTTCTACACTTTGTGGCTCGGTTGGAGCAACTGTCGAGTTGCAGCCCTAGAACTTCCTTGTTTTACTAAATGTTATCGAGGTTATGGAAAAAGTTGCATTTGGTAGGTGGTAAATCAAGTCTTTATTAGAGATCATGTACACACAAAAACCAGGCCCGTCAACCCAGTGGGTTAGGCGGCAGGTTATAATGAACAGTATATACAATAGCGAAGTACATTAACAATAACAATACAAATTACAGTGTAATAATATATGTGACAACAAGGAGCACTGGGATAGAGAGAAAGGGAAAAGGAAGATGTGACAAGGAGAGAAAAACAGAAGTGGTATAGTACAGAACAGGGTAAAAGGAGAAAATTGTAACATTATGATGAGGAAGGAAAGATCCCCATACACGATACATACATGAATAATGTATAAATGACGTATTACAGTAAATATTGTCAGTTCGATACAGAATGGTTACAAGTTCGTTGATAAACAGGAAATGATGAAAAAATAATGTATATAGATTGATAAATTAAAGGTATTGATCAAATTGCCATGCTGGCTCACGTCTTCCTTGAAATATTACATAAGAACTAAAGAGAACGGCCTTCAATATTTCGTCCCTGGATTCGGGGTACCTAGTTGAGTTGCTGATTTTGAGGATTTCCTTTAGGCAGTATTTATTTTGTGGGGTTATGAGTCCGAGTGAACCGAATTCACTACAAATTAGTTTGCTCTTGCACCCTGTTGATGTGCCGTGTCAATGTTTGTTTCGAAGGGGACTGTGAGTTTGATGATGATAATGTCCTTATTTTTGTTGTCAATGTGGCAGATGTCTGGTTTGTGTTGGGTATGTATTATGTTTGGTGCCCCCATTGATGCTTTCTCCTTCTATGTCTGCATATACTTTGGTGGAATTGCTTAAAGTGTTTTTAATGTGTTTGAGCATGATGCGTAGTATGTTGTTATGGCGCCAGGTATATCGGCAGAGCATTCTTTCACAATTATTAAGAACATGATGCAGAGTTCCAGTACAATTACAAAGGTTACAGTTATCAGAGATTCTTTTTCCCCACCGGTACAGGTTTTTGTTAGGATATAATACTGTTCTACACTTTGTGGCTTGGTCGGAGCCACTGTCGAGTTGCAGGCCTAGAACTTCCTTGCTTTACTAAATGTTGTTGAGGTTATGGAAAAAGTTGCTTTTTCAATCAATCAAACCATATCTACCAAGTTAAACATATATCCATCATGTATTAGTTTTAATTTGTTCAATTCAAACCCTTTCTTTCTGAGGTGCTAATCCCAGCAAAGTTCCGAGTGGTTGTGAGATGGTCCGAAGCTGGGGCTATGTGTCTTATCTACTTAATAATTGGATTTCAATGCTTGTACCTTGGTTTTTGTAGTACTCGGCCCACTGGCGAAGCATGTCTCGATTACCGGCACCATTATTGGCTACATTTCACGTAACAAAAAAACAATTGGGGAAATGAAAGAAATAGTAAGTTGAGTAACTGAAGACTGAACTCAAGTTGCTTTGCTGGAGAGCAGCGCTTTCTACTAAATCACTCCGGTAGATTTAATGTTTAGTATCTATTTATTTAGCTTGTCTGGCATTGTCTTTAAACGTTGAACCCCACACCCCAAGTTTTGTTGTTGTAGATGTAATGTTTTTGATTGTTTGTTCACGTGGTTGCCTACTTCTGTCAAGATCAGTCATGTGGGACGGCTGCTTGAAAGCCAATCCACTCTGTTATAGGCGAGATCTTAAAAGCTGAATTTGATGATATTATTAGCAAACAAAACGATGCACTTTTAATGATTATTCTGCAATGATTACAGCATACAGAAGCATGAAGCTCATCACCACAGCCGTCATAGTCGATGAGAGCCTATGCCTTCCGATCTGTCAGTCCTCCTTTCCTTTCACCAACAACATTTTAACTATAGTAAAATCTCAAGTCCTGACAATAACATAAAATAAATTCTCAATTTCTCGTATGAAACTCACGCCAAAATTTCACAACTACATATAAATAACATCTGCCGAACATGTTTCTGAGAAAATGTTTGAGTAGGTAAGGGGGAGGAGCAATTAAAAAATGAAAGTCAAACTAAACGTCCCGTAACATGCAAAACGCAGGGTCTCCTTGCTTTATAAATGTAACATGTGAATTTTGAGCAAGTTTGTGTCAATAGTTTACTGATCTAAACATCCCAGCCCTTAATGTGATAAATGATTCACAATTGCTTTCAGTGACTTATTCCAGAACTACAATTCTATAACCAGTTGCGATTAATAATTATGTACTTAGGGGACTGCAAACTTTGATTGATTTGGATCAATCACTTCTTTAAAAGACAGGGCCCAGAACTCCAGATTATTTAAAAAACTCTCCATGAAGTGAAAAAAATAAAAATTGTTGAATCATATACGAGCATTTCGATCTCTAGCTGTATCTCTTTATCCTAGGTCAGCTATGCAAAAAACAAATCTGTTTAGGGGGAACTGTCGACAGGTCTACTATCAAACTCTACCCATTGAAATCGAAGTAGTGTTAGCGAATCCTGTCATTGCTCTAGCATCTATCCATGCACCCTGGCATCACAGGCAAATTCAAAGCAGGGTTCAGGATGATGCCCTTCAAAGGTCAATTTAAATTTAAACCCTTATCAAGTTCCCCCTGTTTATTTGAAGTTGAAAAATTCTGCATTAAGAACATTTGGTCTGTTTGTGTGAAGGAAGATCTGAACATGCAAATGTATCTAAATCCACAAAGTGCATTTGCAAAAACGATCCTCCTAACACCCAAGACCAGCATACAAGAATAGTTATGATTTTAGAATCCGGCCAGTAACAAAAGGGGGAAAAACAGAATAATTTGCATTCCTAATCTTCTCAATGAAGTACACTAAACACGTTGCCATCACCGCTTCAAGCACAGCAAAGTGCACAAATCATTATACATCACAGAAAGCACACTCTAGATGAAGGCCCTCACCAGAATGTTTGCATCGGACAGACATGGTGAAAGGGTAGTAACTGACGCATCTTACCTTGGCCTTGCTGAGCGTCCGTGGACTGTGGAGCAGAGGTGCTGGGGGTGGTCTGAACCGTGCTGGCCGTCTGGCTGGTAGGGTTCTGCTGCTGCTGCTGTTGGTAGTATTGTTGGTAGTAAGCAGCGTAAGGGTTGGAGTCTCCGTAGGCTGAAGCGTCGGGGGCTGGTTGATGGGGCTGCTGTTGGGGTGGCTGTTGCTGTGGTTGCTGCATAGTCATATCAAAATAAGAAATAAGTATGTTATTGTAGCGAACAACAATGTACGAGTGAAATTACAAGTTTAATAGCTGCAACATCTGAATTGACCCGTTTTAAAGCCAGTCTGTACTAGTTTGGCCAGGGGGGATTAGACTTCCCTGCAAGGTCACTGACAGGTGGTTATCTCATCAAATCAACTCTCAATTAACATAAGAAAAAGGGGACCGGTCATGGGGGACCAACAGGCACCGATTAGGCATCGTTTGCCCTACAGCAAGTAGCTAGTGCAGTGGGTCTTAAATGAAACTCCACCAAACGGTGAATACTACATGCTGTAAAGTCCGGAGCCAGACAACAGATTAGTGAAGTGATCAACCATCAGCCATGCTTACCTGGGGTTGCTGCCACTGACTGTATGCATTCCATTGCTGTTGGTTGTTGTACCCTTGTTGGACTGGGGCTTGCTGAGGACCACTGCTATTTCAAATAGAAAACAAAAGTCAGGGTGTAAAAATACAACACAATATATACTTAGTGCAGAACATGTCAGTTCAAACAAAAACAATATTTTTCAAAAATTTTTGTTCTTGTGTCAGTTTTTGTTTTTACGATAAAAAAGAAGTTTCCGTTCAACCAATTATTTACTGGGGGAAAAAAAATTATTCAAAGTCATGAGATATAGTAGGCTAATGTATATATATGAATATTATTTTCCTCAACCTTCCACAGGAAAATCTTTATTCCTATCCTCTGTTGAATGCAAGGTGGGCATAAAGTTGTACACCATTCTTAAGATTACTACCCTCCTGGCGCTCTGCAAATGACCCACACACGCACTAACTTTCCATCAATAATCACACCCAATTTTTTTTAGCCCCCTCCTTCCCTCCACTCCAGTGTTTTTGCTCACATGCAAGGTCTATCGTGGATCAAGTGAGCAAGGCCCTATTCTGCTCGATCATTTCTACCAATCGCTGGAAAGGAATATGTAAAAAGTAAAGGCGACATTAACTCACCCTGGTGGACCACCAAATCCACCCCTGTGTCCCTGAGGACCGCCTGGTCCTCCACCACCGGGGCCACCTGGCCCCCCTGGTCCTCCTGGTCCACCCGGACCTCCAGGTCCTCCTCCTGGTGACTGAGAACAAACCATCAAAAGACACAAGTTAAAACACACAGTGTTATACCACGAAAGCTCGGCTTCCACAGGAATGAATGACATTTACATCATTCAACACATGTGGCCATTTACAGAACCGCTGCAAAGAACTTATTTTGCCAACGTAACTTCAACTACCTGCTGTTACATAACAAAAGCTCAACATGTGAATGGATTTTATTTGTATCATTCAACACATGAGCTTATTTATATCAAACAAATAAACTTGAAAAATGGACATGTATGAGGTGTTGAAATGTTTTCCAGGATTCTTTCAATAATCAGCTAATCAAGGTGCAGAGGCTCGATATGGACGGCATTTTCATACACGGGTTGAAATTTTCTCCTAACACATACATTTCCCAGCTTTAAAAACTACTGCAAAATTACACATTTATTAATGAGAGCCCTTTTTAAAAAAATTTTTTGATGAAAAGTTAAGAGACTCCTTTTAAAGGCCGACTGTACTAGTTTAGCCAGGAGGGATTAGACCACACAGTGTGGTCAATGACAGGTGGCTTTCTCATCAACTCAGCTCTCAATCAACATAAGAAAAAGAGGATCATGGGGGACCAATGATCACCGATTGGGCATTGTTTTTTATGTAGAGGGAGCAAGCAGCTACAACTAGGACAGTGGGGCTTTAAGGCGACCTAAAAATGTGTGTAAGCTTTCCAAAGGTCACTGCATCTCCAACCCTGTGCATATTACCCTCAACCCTCCATGAGCTCAACTTACCCCGTTGACCTTCTCGTCGATGAGGCTCCTGGCGTAGTCGATCTGCTCTGGGTCACCGGAGATGAGGAAAATCTTCTGTCCTGGAGGATGTTGACCGTGGCTGATCTCCACGTGTGCTCTGGACTGCTGCATGATAGCCCTGATGTTCTCACCACCTGTATCAGCCCATCAGAGAGTCACCCATCGGAGTTTAAATCAGTCCCAGCAAAGTCAGATGTCATCGCAGCCAAGATTTTTGTGTTGTAATGTGTGGGTGTGTGTGTATGACATTTTTTCAGAATCCCATAGATTGTGTTCATAGGATAGTTACATTCAAAGAATGTGTGACAATGTCAAGCAAATAGGCAAAAAAAGGAAACAAAACATCAAATTTGGTGAGTTTTCTGCAATGGACATGTTAAGCACATAAAGTAGAGAGAATCTGACTGAATTGCAATCAAGTTCTACCAACATATAAAGTGAGGTGTTGATTTCCATGAAATATATATTTACAACTACATGTAAAGTTAATGGAATAATTTAAGTTCTACCAACATGCAACATAGGTTGCAGAAACGAACCCTAACGTTCTATCATTGTAAAATCTAAACATAAATGAACGATCGGTGCGACCTTAACAAAATAAAGAAAGAAAACAATCAAAAGACTATACCTCTGCCAATGACCAAGCCACACTTGCCAGCAGGGACACGGTGGTCTAAAGGTTCTCCTCTAATCCCTCCGCCGCCGCCTCCTCCTCCACCTCCCATGCCACCAAAGTCTCCTCCGCGGTTTCCACCTCCTCTGCTTCCAAAGCTGGGTCCACCGCCTCCTCTGCCACGCCCTCTACCACGTCCACTGCCCATCCATGGACCTCCTTGACCGTCCATATCACCTCCATCCATACCGATGTCCTGCAATGAAAAACATTTTTAACGATCAAAGAACATTAACAATTAAAGAAAAATTTGGGTCAAGTGACTGCAGTATGAAAGGAACTTTCTTGAAGTCATTGGAAAAGATATGAAATTGTTCAATAAACCCTTGAAAATGACAATATCTGTTGCCACGACTCTGAAGGCCTCATCCACAATATTCAGGACGAGGCCTTTGAAAGAATCGAGGAACTTTGCTATGGCATCAAGAATACACCCTGCACCCACAAAGAACAATTAGGTGCAGGGCTCTAGCATGATGCACACAATTGCACAATACAATAAAAAGCAGGAATTAAAGGAAATCTCACCCCAAGAAATAACTTACTTATTCTGCAAGATTTATTATATTATTGCCTATTAAGCTACAAGATTCCCCACCAAAGTGTATGAGAGAGGCATAAAGCAAGAATAGGTTTCCTCTAATCATGTGACTTTATGTAGAAATCTGCAAAACTTGTATTGTATTTCCTAAAGTCCATAACACCCCGCCACTGCAATATTTTCTCTGAACAGATGATTCAGCTTTTTTTTTAAAGTTGGAAATATACTATTCAAGAATTCAATTCAATTTATTCATGTTTTCAACAAAACATTACAAATCAATTATAAGCATTTAAAACAAATGTAAAAAATACATGTTGGAAACAGAGGGGTCCATTATTGAGCAATGCTTGTAAACGTGTGAACACCTCAAATGATACTTAGGAATAATGAGTAATTAAATTAACTAATCCATAACTACAAAAGGAAAAACATAATAGGAGAAAGAAAAAAGGGGGAACCTTACCCTTGCATTGGCCACCAGGTCGTTGACCATAGACTCGGCCATGCTGACACTCTCCGCTGAGCCAGTGATCAGAGCAACACGCTCCGGTGCATCACGATCACCTTCGGTTGGGAGTGAAACAGACAAAATATAGAACTCATTGGAACTGATTGGTCCACATCTTGTAAGCAAAACATGAATGCATAGGGGCTCGGGAAGATTTAGTCCAGAGCCCACAGAACAGAAACTGTAGCTCTCAACAAGGGCCCAAATTGTCTTCTTTATAATGACAATTTCAGTGATGACAATTCTAAAAAAGCCCTCTAAAACAAATATCTTGAGGCTTGCTTGTGAGCAATTCAGCATAGACAGTGAGATACTCTCATAACCATCAAATACCAAAAGATCAAGTTTGTATAATGGAAACGACATATAGCTTGCAATTCTATTTAAATGTACTGAGCAGTAATTCCTCAAAGTTCAAATAGTAATAGAAGTTCAAAGTGGAAATCTGAACCATAGTGTATGAGGTAAAAAGATCAATACAAGCACTACACAAATCAAATTGGTCAATTTAAATGTGGAACATATATTAATGCAGAATTGGTCAACGAGTCATCAGCATCCCCCCTCTTCAAAGGTTTTTGCAACCAAAATCATCATACAGCACTAACAAGGCACTGGGATTTGAATGAACAGCTGTTGGGCAGCACAAGATGTGCCTTTAGGAATCCTCAAGCACTTCTAGTCAACCTTGAACACACCGTCGTACCCAGACCAGTACTGGTCATTCCCAAGTAGGGAACTCACCTGGTTTGAACTGGACGCGAGCCTTGGTTTGTTCTTGGATCCTCTTGATCATGTCCCCTCCACGACCGATCACCATGCCCACTGCATGCTTTGGAACAATCACGTCCTGTAACACAGAAATACAAGTTTTGCTGAAAAATTGCCTATTTTTTTTACCCCCATGGACCATTTCTCATAATGTAACCAATTAAATATATAAGTCTTTGTGAAGTGCCTCAATACATATATTTTATTCACATGTAATGAATAATTGTATTTCAATAGTCAGAATGAAAAATCCATTATGTGTTTGATAGGTAAGGAAAGCCATGTTCATCCTACCTGGCAACAACTACTGTATGCAGTTCGCATTCACAAAGACGTATGCATTAGATTTGTTTATGTTACGAAAAATGGACAATTTCTCCTGTACCTATTTGAGCTTGGGCCTTTAACCAGATACAATAAAGCACTTGTAAATCAATCATTAATGCATTACCAATGTCTTCAATTACAGAATATGTCACAATTTAAAAAAGAGACAAGGCAAGGATTAATGTCAGTAATTATAATAATAAATACTTATTAAGCGCATTTATCTACTGTGGAAAAAAGGAAGACATTCAACCAACAGAAATAATTCAATCTTCCATATTTCCCTTCCTTTCTTTCAATATCTCTACTAATGGAATACATAAAGTTATGTTAAAATAATCATCTACAGGTCCCTCACACATAGACAAGTTTGACTCCTTGAGGAGTCCATTGTACATAGGAAAAATTCAAGTAAAAGATGAAATTTGGGAAGAAAAAGAAAGTGAATTAAGGAAACCAAATAAGGATAAAATACAAACCTTGTGGGGGCCACCACGAGAGTAGAAGTTATCCTGCAAATGAACAAATGACAAAACTTTTTCAAATGATGACAACAGGGAATACGAATCACAATCTAGCATAACTCTACTTTTGAAAGACATACAACTCCAACACCATCAGTTACTAATAAAGAGCTGCCAACAGTACCTATTTTAGAGGAATGATTCTAATTTTTTGGCCTTCAAGCTATTGTTTTAACCCATAGATTCCTCTCTTTTTTGAAATATTCTGCGTGGAAAGTATACTAAATGGATAGTATTCCTTATTTTTGCTGTGAAAAGTTGGCAGGTATGCAGTAACACTACTTCAAGGAAAGGAAATTGAGAAACATCAATCACTTTGAATGAAATGTTTGACAAGAAGAGACCTTATGAAGACACAAATCCTAATTGTATTTCAGTGGCTTTTATGCCCCCCCCCCCCAAACTAACAACATATCAGACCCGACTATGTGGCATGGACACTACTCTAGTAACCGAAACTTCCGTTAGGTGAAAGATTTGCCAATTGTTAATGGCAAATTCACAGCAAGAAACTCTGTCCCTACTTCTCTGTTCTTTGGCTCTTTTCCCTTACCCTTTAACCAGACCTGCCAACCAGTAGGATTTAGTCGTATTTAGTACGATTTTTAGAAGCAAATACGACAGTACGATTTTCCTTAATAAAATACGATTTTCAACAAAAAAAACCCCAAAAACCAATTATTTTTTTTTTTATAAATTTTTTATAATTTTTTATAATTTTTTTTAATTAATTTTTTGTGTGTGCGTCCGCCATTTTCAATGGCAAAATGTCCATTCTGTCCTGTAAAGTATCCTACAATCATCTCACATTGGCAATTTGGGGATGTTCATTGGTTCATCGAACACACCAGTCATGACGAAATCATGCATATTCAACCAATGATCAATAAAAAAATTCTTCCTGTAGGTAGAAACTGTAAGAGGCATTGAACCGCGTAACAATCCGCGTTTATTTTCAAGAATACAACTTTTGTCAGTAAAATACAACTTTTGGGACTAAAGAATACAGTTTTTGAACTCAAGAGGTTGGCAGGTCTGTTTAACCCTTTATATCCTTTCTCTTCTTCAGACTCATTCCCTTCTTTCCACTCTATCACCCTCTTTCCCCTTTTACTCTTTCTTAATGCTCATGCTATGAGTAATTTTAATTTCATTTCCAAGATGTGTTCCGACTATTACTGTTTTTGTTGCTCATATATGTATTTTTATTGTTGTAAAAATCCCATGTAACATTTTTTTTATTTTTTTAAATTAGATGAATAAATTGAATTGAATTCACTGTAGAGTCGGTTGTGAAATGAATTACTCTGTGGACTTAGCTCAACTCTCAACTTTCCTCAAACTCTGTTATGCATAAGAAAAATTTCTCGTTACACAATTTGGCACAACTTTTAAGTGCTAATGACTTAATGATCGTATCAGATTTTTCCCAAAGTTGTGGAAAAATTAAAACAGGACAAACATACAATATGGTTTTAACTGTTGGTACTTACACCGCTACTTCTATCGTTGTTCTTGGCATTCTCCATCACCTCGCTGACCAGCCTCTTAGCTTCCTATACATCATACAACAGAAAAGCAGAAATACATTCAGGGTCGGTTTCATACGGCTTCTTCTCAATAAATATTACAATTCTAAGAAAAATCGCTCTCAACCAAATCAAATATAAGTAGGTGATATTCGTAACAATTCTGTGAAAGCGGGGCTCAGAGCTGCATTGTCATGCAACATTAGAGGGTGTAACTTGTGAAGTATCTCAATTGCTATTCATGTGGGGGGGGGGGGGGGGGGACTCATTGGACATTATCTGACAGATTGTGACACAAATGCAGGATGCTTATGATTAATTTGTCCTCTCATGTTCTTGAAAGGCTTTCGGTGTCCAGTTTGCAAAATAATGGCCCGTTTCATTAAACTATTTATCAACAACTGCCAAAGATCTCTGACAAATCCGATGAGAGCCAATCAGATGTAAGGATTGAAGTAGCGTATAACAAATATCATATCTTGTTATTGATAACAAGTTTTACGAAAGACCCGTATTAATAAGCTTTTAATAAAAACATGTCCGTAGCAGGGGTTGGTGTCGGTTTCGTTGACGTGACCGAGGTATTAAACTTCAAAACTGTGGTCTTTAATATGAAGGAGCTTTGTCGTAGAACCTACCTCAATCTTCTGAGAATCACCACTAATCCTGAGGGGCTTGTCCATGCCTGTGGCTACTGGACCTTCCTGGATCATTACCATCCTCACTCCAGCTTGCTCCTGGAGCTGTTTGATTGTTTCTCCTCCTTTTCCAATGACCAAGCCAACCTTGGTAGCAGGGATCAACATGTCAACGGTCATATTCCCCTCGGCTTCATTCTGACTGGCCTTGTTCACTATATCAAGGATAAGCGACTTGGCGTGCCTGTGAAGTACAAATATCAATGTGTCATTCAAAGGGCAACTACATGAACAGTCAAACCTGCTTTAGTGACCACCTGTCTACAAAGACCACTTGTCTATTCAGACCCCATTTTTTGTTTTCCTTGAAACATGTACTAAAGGAATCTCTCTACAAAGACCAGTTTGTGTTTACCTTGGGCGGTCGCTGTAGACAGGTTTGACTGTATGTACGTACACGATCAAAGAGTACAATCTTATGCACTCGAAACTCGATATCTTGAACATGCTGCAGTAAGCTGCTGGGTAAGATTAAATCGTTCCTATTTCATGAAGTGACGGTAGTGTGGAAAATTCGCACGCAAATTGTATGGGATTTTCATTCACTTCGTGAAAATAGGGACAAAATGACAAAAGTGCAATGTGTTTCATATTCTCTACCTAATAAGATACAGAAAAGTTGGACCTTTGATGCACACAAAACTATATTTCTCACCCCAACTTGCTCATCATTAACACGTTAATCAAAAAATATTGCTGCGGTTTAACATGGCATTATATGAATACTTGAATAGGCCTTAAAAAGTGTGATCATCCACTTCCTCAATATGAGTAAATCACATATACTGGTCATTATGGAGGAAGAGTGACTACAGACACCTCATGCACACACCATAACAATATTGTTGATGGCAAGAACATTGTTCCAAGAATGAAAAGAAACTTACATAACAGCCTCAGGGGTTCCAGTGAGTGTGACTTGTCTATCACCAGAAATTCCGTTCTCTGAAAAGAAAAGTACAATTATTATTATTATTATTTATTCGGTAAAACAGTTCAGTTCAGTTCAATTCAGTTCATTTATTTCAATCATAAAACCATAACATAATATATATACAAAAGTAACATGCAACAATCATAATCTTACAATTCTGGAATTAAGAAATTGGAGACTAAAAAGGAAGTTTAAAAAAACTTGCAAGTATAATAGTCCCCTGACATAAATAATAAATAACGAGATTAAATGGTTGTACACGTTACTACAACAATAACAATATATAAATAAGATACCACACATTATAGAAACACACCGATGAACACACACATGCATGGTACATTGCAAGGTAGAACAAGTTAAAAGAAAGAGTTAACCCTTACTGTACTGGGCTATTTTAAGCACTCTCTGACTGGGGAGGGGGGGGGGGGCCTGGGAGGCCCCCCCCCCCTATGATCTCAGCCGTTGAATGTCTGATGAACGCGAAAATGTGCATGTTTGTAGATATTTACGTAAGGAACAAGATGGTATAATTAGTTTTTTCCTAATATGCAAATTAATTATGCAAAATGCTAAATTTATATTCTACAGAAAACTCTACATATTTGTCCGTAGACTTGTGAAGAATCTTGAAAATGTATTGAATAAATGTTTCCTTCATCTCAAATTCATGAGGTTTCATTAGTTTTATGATATTTGAAAATGCATAGGTTAATTTGCATATATTATGAATACGCATTCACAAATATCAAATCTGGGAATATATATAGGGAACTAGAATCATCACAAAAATTATCAAACTGGTCTTTTGAATGTTGAAACTCATGATTCATATGAAACTTCTTTTCTAACACAAAATAGTTATTTGATGTAATTAATAATGATAATTTATGCAAATTTGATGCAATTTTCAACTATTTATTTTCTTATGTATTTTATTGTTTTTTATTTCTTATTAAATCTATTGTTTTATTTCTAATGTATTCTTTTGTTCTGGAATACATCATTGTTACTTTAAGTAACATATAAAAGCAATTTGATATCAATTCATATCTTCACATTTCTGCTTGTACATGAATATATGCAATTATAGCACTTTTTTGATGACATGCGCATACTAATTGTTATGTAACACCTTACAGGTATATCCGATTTCGACGAAAATGGTATCGAAATGTTCGTAAGACTTGAGGGAAAAAAGTCATGAAAGGACAATTAAAAATTTCAAGCGGTTGCGGCGCAATCCAAAAATGTCGAGGGGGGGGGCCTCCCAGGCCCCCCCCCCCAGTACAGTAAGGGTTAAGGGAAATAAGAAGAATAAGAAGAGACCAACTGTCTCTTCAATAGAACTTTAAAGGATGATATAGTTGTGCATAATGTTAGCTTATCAGTTAAATCATTCCAAATACGGGGACCATTATGTCTAAAAGAGTAAAGCATTAACTAGAGACCTTTGGATAATGATATTTGATACAGGAACGAGTATTATATGAATGAACAGATTTATTAAGGATAAACATTTGACAAACTCTTTTAGGTACATAATCATTATACATCATACTAGCACTTTGAATATGATGTATATCATAAATATTGAGTGTCCTTAGGCGAAAAAACAGGGGACATGAATGAGCTTGATAATGGGAGTTTGTACATATTCTTAAAGCTTTCTTTTGAAGTTTATGGAGAGGTTCTAGTTTAGTTGTTCCCCACGCCGGCCCAGGTGATATTACAGTAATTTACAAAGAACACCAATTTTTTTTAGATATTTTGTTAGTTATATACAATCGATGATCCTGAAAAGATAAAGTATCATCCAAAAGGATACCAAGAAATTTAACAGAAGAGCACACCTTCAAATTGATATTGTTTATAAATATTTGAACATCATTAATATTGCAAGGATTAGTTTTATTATGAAAATAAGTACACTTGTTTTGTCATAATTTATAATCAATTCATTAGCATTAAACCATTCAACAACCTTTTTTAATTCTTTATTTACTTCTGACATTAATTTATCAAAATCATTATGAGATGCAATCAGGTTTGTGTCATCAGCAAATAAGACTAAATGAAAAAAGATGAAGCAGAACTAAGGTCATTTATGTAAATTAAAAATAGGAGAGGACCCAGCATGGAGCCCTGTGGGACTATATAATGTATCCTCTCTCTGTCAGAAATAAAGCTGTTGTATGATGTGAATTGAATAAGATCACTTAAATAGTCCCCGAATAATTCCCAAGCAATACCGTGTATACCAAATTATTTTAATTTAGAGAGGAGAATATCGTGGTTAATGACATCGAAAGCTTTCGACAAATCAAGAAACAAGCCTAATGTATGCCAATTTATTATATAATTAATTGAGTATGTAATCATGAATGTCAATTAGAGCATGTCCACATGATGAGTTTTTTCTAAAAACCATATTGAGAAACAGTCAGATTATTATTTTTATTAACATGATTAAACAGCCTATTATAAATTAATTTCTCCAGTATCTTAGAAAAACAGGGGAGTAATGTTATTGGTCGATAATTAGAGGATACATGGGGATCACCTTTTTTAAATATGGGTATGATTTTTCCTACCGTAAATCGTATAACCGTTAAAGGTGCACTTTTCTATATTGCGCACCCCTATTTTGAACACAAAAAAAAAAAAAAAAAAATTGAGGAAAAAAAATTGTCATCTTTACTTTTAAAAACAACATTATTACTAGGCCTTATTACTTAGTTCACAAGCACTTCAACTGTGCCTCGTAATAAAATGAAAGTATTTTTGAACACTGAAATAAGAGCCGATCAGATCTGGTTAACAAAAAGCCAAAAAAGCCACACAAAGACTTTTTGGGCTTATTTGGCTTTTTGTTAACCAGATCAGATCGGCTCTCATTTCAGTGTTCGAAAATACTTTCATTTTATTACGAGGCACAGTTGAAGTGCTTGTGAACTAAGTTAGACCTAGTAACAATGTTGTTTTTAAAACTAAAGATGACAGAAAAATTTTCCTCCGAGTCCAAACAGAAATTTGGACAGCCTTGTTTTCGTGAGTGAGTGAGCTGCAGACACGGGAGAGCTTTGAGAAGGGGCATAATTTATTGTGACTGAGAAAGAAAAAAATAAAAAATCCTGTTCCCTTCAAATAAGGAACGTAGATTAACTTCAAATAGTTGATCCTATTTTTTATTTGCATTATGTGATTCATGTTGAGACACAGAGATTTTTGAAAACCACTAAAAAGCAGCATTTTGAGGACTCAAAATATCCTGTACCGGTGTATAAGGCACACCCCTGACTTTGATTTTTGCCGACGGAAAAAGGTGCGCCTTATACAGAGATTTACGGTACTCTAAAATTCTCTGGGACTTTTCCTGACAAAAAGGAAAGATTACATATAAAAACAATCGGTTTGACAATGAAATGTATAACATGATTTATAATGAACTGACTTATTCCTTCAAAAGTGTATAAACTAGATGGAACTTTGACTGCGCGCAGTCAAAAATGATGCCTCCGCCATAGAGCAATTTTACAAACCAAAACAGAAACAATTTTTAAATTCAAGTTTGATTGTAATCCATCTGTGGGTTTTAATGATAATGCATGCACAAGCTATTTTTGGCATACATAATGAGCCATGTGACCTTTGACCTTCGACCTGGTGACCCCAAAATCTAATCAGTTTATTGGCTCTGCAAGATATATACATGACTTGAGTTTGATAGTAATCTGTCTATTTGATCTCATGATAATGCGATCACAAGCTATTGTTGGATACATAAAGACCCCTGTGACCTTTGACCTGGTGACCCCAAAATCGAATCATTTCATTGGCTCTGCAAGATACATACATGACCCGAGTTTGGCAGGAATCCATCAATCGGTTCTTGAGATAATGCGATCACAAGCTATTTTGCATACATAATGAGCCCTGTGACCTTTGACCTTCGACCTTGTGACCCCAAAATCTAATCAGTTTATTGGCTCTGCAAGATACATCCATGACTTAAGTTTGGCAGGAATCCATCAATCAGTTCTTGAGATAACGCGATCACGAGCCATTTTCGCATACATAATGAGCCCTGTGACCTTTGACCTTGGATCTCGTGACCCCAAAATCTAATCAGTTCATTGGCTCTGTGAGATACATACATGACTCAAGTTTGGCAGGAATCCATAAATTGGTTCTTGAGATAACGCGATCACGAGCCATTTTTCGCATAAATAATGAGCCCTGTGACCTTTGATCTCGTGACCCCAAAATCTAATCAGTTCATTGGCTCTGTGAGATACATACATGACCCAAGTTTGGCGGGAATCAACCAATCGGTTCTTGAGATAACGCGATCACGAGAACGGGACATACGGACAGACGTACGGATGTACGGACGGACGGACAACCCAAAAACATAATGCCTCCGGCTACTTTGTAGCGGAGGCATAAAAAGAATTACATAGAAGAACAAATCAAACAAAACAAAGGATGACAAATATTTTTAAAAACGTTATCATGATTCCCATGAGCATTTACAAGTTGCCAGGAATGGGGCAGGCAAACTAAATCACAGAAACCGGGAAGGTCCCCTATTCTGATGTTTTTGTACATAAATAACATTCAAAAAATCATTGAAAATACACCCCCCCCCCCCAAAAGCAAAGTCACAATATCACAATATGTACCTATGATCCAAAGGACCATCCATAACAGTTTGAAGTGATTCATATTTTTGCAAGGGATCTAGATTTAACTTTTTACAGCCTGTATTTATGAGTTCTATGTAAACTTCAAAATGTGGGGGTCCAGACTTAGAATTTGGATGCCCATGTGTCCCGGGTGCCCTGCCTCCTCGATGGCAACCCCAATCCTAAACTTTTGACTTAGTAAAACCCGGAGCGATTGGTGTAGAGCACTGGTTTCACAAAACTGTCATCAGTACACAAGTTTGCATGCATGTAACTAATCATATTGAACATATGTTCCAATGGGATGTTGATGAACTTGTTCCAACAGTTTTGTGAAACGAGGCCCGGGTGGAGTAGCACAGCACTCTCCATATTCTTTGGGTTTACCTGGTTTTCCCACAAATTCCTCCACTCAACCCCTTCTATGCATGATCTGGGCTGTACAATTATTTATTTTGTTAAAAAATTATCTGTAAATTACTTTATTAGCTCTACATCAAATTTCTTCCACCCTTTGCACTTCTACAACAAAGAATTTGAACATGTACCAATGTATAATGAATATCTTAAACCTCCCAATCCTATTGAAAAATAAAGTGCACTCACCTGGGGCAATTTGAATATTACATCCAGATTCTGACTGTAATGATGAGATCTGTTGCCCTTGACGACCAATTACTAAAGGAATATACAATACATAGAAAATTGTTATATTTTGATGTTTGTGACAAATGATGAAATAAGTTTTGAGCAAAAGTAACTGAACATTATGAAAAAATCTATTTTTTCAAATAAATAAATTGAATCACAAAAGCCTGGAAATTTAAGGCTAGCATACTGAAATCACTAAATGATAGCTCAATCTTTATTGACCTACTTCAAATAAAATAGATCAATGAATATGTTATATAATTAATCGATTAACTAATTATTTTCTGAATTTATCCTCTTAAAACACCATGGTTAATCCAAGCAAAATTTCATTCTACAAGAGCAGTAGAGGATGTAAAATGCATATATTACACGTTTGGCAATGAAAGTCGTGTCTGTCCTACCTAGCAACAACGACTATTGAGATGTACACTTTTTCGCAACAGGTGAATAAAATAATTTGTATTGAGGCACTTCACAAAGGAATATGCATCAAGTCAAAGAGCCTAGCATCAGCATTGTGATTTCATATAGAACTTGGATGCATACTCACTGAGACCAACCATCTTATTTGGGACAAAGAATTCTTCTGTACCATGACCGTCACGACTGAAAACAAAAAACAAAAAACAGGTTTTTTGTGAGTGAAGAGATCAACAATACTTACTTAGACCAACCACCTTATCTGGCACTAAGAGTTCATCGTTTATTGAACCGAGACCGCTGAAACACAAAAAATATGAAGAAAGAGAAGGGTAATGAAAGGATTGAGAGAGGTATAAAGAAATTCCGATGAAGGAAGTTTTATGGTAAGAATATATACATACACTGTAAGTGCGTGCATAGCTGCCAACATTTGGAATTTTCAATTAGTAACATTAAAGTAGAAATTAATATGTGCACGTAGAGCACATCACAAGCGCAAAGTCCCTTTAGCCGGGGTCCAGGGCCCGCCTTAGGGCCCTGGAAGCTCTGGGGTCTAAGATGCTCTCTGGTGCAATCTGAGCCTATTTTAGGGACCATTTCGCATAAAATTCAACCCAAGTTTTAAATGGGTAATTAAGAAATGTGAAAAATGAGTAATGAGAAAAACACAGCTTTACCTGCCTTCCCTGACACTTGACCAACACTACTAACATGTACCCTCCCATACTACTCATTTAGAGCTCTGCATGTTGCAGATGTTGCTCTCTTCAGAAAAGTGGAGTTGAATTCCCTCATGTAGCAGGGTGTTGTTTGGCAACCCTTAGTAATAACAACTCTAGCGCATGCATGCACTGAATTGCCGTTCCCATGTACATTTATTGAAATACAGCGAGCTGTGTGTTAAGCGAATGGTCTTCCTCCCTCATCCGAGTGCGGTATTCCATACGCTATTCAATGCAAGCGCGCACGTTAGGTTCGTAGCTGTAGCTACTAGGAGCGGGAGCACCGAATCGGTGAGCTTCAGATGTCGAGTGCGTAGGTGCTGCATATTTTTTCGCCCAGTTGGGCTTGTTTATTGGCGGTTGCAGATTTTCATTTTGTACATGTTTCTATGTGATTTGGTGGGTTTTTTGTCAAATGTAGCGAGTTTTCAAGAGATTTCGAAATTTATATCAAATTAGGTCACATTCGTTACAATTGCGAATTTTTTTCTCTTAAAGATACTATGTCCCTTTTGCAGCCAACCTCAAATTCTGTAGAACTTTGAAGGAATTATGAATATGTCATGCATGTCATATCTGTGAAATTTAAATGTTAGCAGTGTCCTAATATTCAAATTATGCAAGGAAACCCGTTTACTTGCTAGACTTCACCTTCAGACACTATTGTCAGTATTGAGTGACTGACTGAATTTTTCTTCTTCTTTGGTAATAACATACATAAAATGAGCTGTTAAGGATTTGTCTACTTTAATAACCCACTTCTTGTAATGGCCAAAATTAAACTGATTGAATCTTTGCGTAGCATAAAACGTACGACCATGCAGTACAATGGTCTGAAAATCAAGACTATTACTTATTGGCTCTATAGAAAGTCGATTTGACAACTAATAGTTGTAATTTACCCACTTAAAGACATTTTCAAGCCCCATTTTTTTAAGGGGAGTTCTAAATTAGTATTATCTTTCAAATGCCATTGGAATTTAACCTTTTCATTTTTTGGGCCTGCAAAAGGGACATAGTACCTTTAACAGTTGGCAGCTGTGTGCATGGGAGAAAAAGATAGAAAAAGAGAGAGAGAAAGAGAAAGAGAAAGAGAGAAAGAGAAAGAGAAAGAGAGAAAGACAAAGATAGAGAGAGAGAGAGAGAGAGAGAGAGAAAAGAGAAAGAGAAGAGAAGAGAAAGAGAAAGATAGATAGATCTGAAGGACCAGAAGAAAACATGACCTCATTATTACGATAACAGTTTTCAATATTTTGCCCTCGACTGCACAACAAAATTTATTATAAGACACAAGACAAACTTTTAAACATCTTTCAAAATTCAAATGTCTAGAATGGTATATAAAGAGCCAATTCATTGCTTTGCAACAAACATTCACCTAAAACATGAAATTATAATAATGTAGTTGGGGGAATTAAGAAATCGATCAGATATGTTTTCCCCCAATTTGTGTCATTAATAATGGTCTGTTTTCACTTAAACTTTCAGATTACCTTTAATTGTACATCTAGCATTGAAGTCACTACCTAAGCACCATATTCTCTCATCTCAACAATGTTACCAAGTCCATTTAAAGGGAATCCAACCCTAGTCATTAGTTAATTTGTATAACAGAAAAATAAGATAAGCATAATGATGAAATTTGAAAAAAAAGAAGACTAATTATAATCGAGTTATGAATGTTTGAAATATGTGATCACTAGATAAGTGGCAATTTGGTCTGTGAATTGTGTCATTGACACAAACAACTCCTCTGTTTATCTTGTACAAAGAAATATCATTAATTTATGTTTTTCTTGCAAGTTCCTTCTCCCTTTGGGCAGTACTCAAAATATATTATGGAAAGCATATTATCATAGCAGGTCATCTAAAGGGAGACCCTCCTGAGTCATACATTTGTGAAAAATTGAAATTTTAGTCATTTTGTGTGTTGGCACTATCGCCACTACATCACAGAGAAATTACCAATTCAGCCGATTTTAAGAGCCCATACTTATAAAAATGTATCGTGATGCAACTTTTAAAAAATTCATAACTTTCTTATTTTTTATCCAATTTCATTCAAACTTTCACTGGTCTGCTTTCTTCTAGAGTAGTTTGCTATCAAGATTAAAACATAAAAGAATCTCTGAAAATGAAAACATTGGAATGAAACTCGGAATTCTCAAAAGTCTATTCTTAAAGGTAGTGAATCCCTTTTGTATCCAACATCAAATTCTGTAGAACTTTGCATGAATTATTAATATTTAACTTCTGCTTTATCTGTGAAAATTAAACGTTAGCAGTGTCGTAGTATTCAAATTATACAAGTAAACCTGTTTACTTTCTTGAAATTCACTGTCAGACACTATTGAGCGACTGACTTTTTTCTTTGGTAATAGCATAAAAAGAGCTGTAAAAGATATGAGCTTTTATACACGTCAATAACCTGCTTCCTGTAAAGGTCAAAATTAAGCTGATTATACATTTTTTTATGCATAATTTAAGGAACGCATTTCAAACGGTTGATATAATTCTACATAGAGTCAATTACCAGTTCTATTCTTTTAGAGTAGTTTTTACTTGGTATTGTCTCTTGTTTACCATAGGATTTACACAAGTTTAATTTTTCAGCCTGCAAAAGGGACACACCACCTTTAATAACTAAAAAAATTATTTGATTTACTTTTGGTCTTCTCCCTCATATGTATTCGGTTCTCCTTGAACACTCCACAACATGGAAAAAGAAACAAACAAAAAAAGATACAAATACACATAAACAAGACAAATGCGACTGGGTCTCCTATATGCCTCTGCCCTAATTTCTGTACAGGAACTGGATGAAACTATTCATGACATATCACAATGAAAACAAAAGGTATATAATAAAATGTCAACTAGCGGCCATGATCTTGACCAAGTAGCCCCAAGATTTAATAGAATCATCTTCCTATAGTAATACTGTCACCATATTCAGATATTGTGATAGCAACGCATAAAATCTTTTAATTTCAGAAATTGACCTGTGACCTTCGACTTAACCTTTAATCTGATGTTTTCTATGGTTGATACATGCATGGAAGTCACACACCAAGTTTGAGGCGAATACCTGTAATAGTTCTCAAGATATCACGAAAACAAGGATAAAACCCTCAATTTCAGAAATTGACCTTTGACCTGCTTACACAAAATCTAATCAGATTGTCTTCCACTGATGATACATACATACATGTACTATCTCCAAATTTGAGCTTCATATCTCTAATGGTTCTACAGATTCTACAAAAGACAAAGCCAATACCTGGAATTTCATTAATTAACCCGGAACCCTTTACCTTGGTACTCAAAAATCTTTGATGGGCAGAGGCGTAATAAATAGTAGAATAGTGAAATAGTAAAACTATAAAAAAAACCTAAGATTTGATATTTTACTAACAATTGGAAAATATGGTTGTACAATCACAATATGGCAGTGCCATTTGCGACATCCAGCAATTAATATCATCTGCAAATGAGATTCCTGTAGTAACAATAACAATAAAAACTTACCCCATGCTGTTAGCTGGTGCTGCTCTTGGCATCCCTGATAGGGCAGCACCAAAAGCTGCAAAATTAAATAGAAAAATAAAGTATTTAAAAAATATTAAAAACTTTAAGGCAATTAATCCATTGCACTTTTCTCATAAACTTATCTTGATTTCCAAATTCCAATATGACGCGTGATGACTGAATTCTATTTTGATTTAGAAGTTTACGGAATAAAATTTCAAGACCATAAATAGATACCTATCACCAAATAAAATGACTCAAGTAATTGTGTAAAGTCAGGAAGGGAAGAAAAGGAGAGAAAGCGAAAGAGAGATCGAGAGGGAGGGAGAGAGATCTTTAAAAGCCACATGGTTTCTCCCATAATTATGTACAAACATTATCAATTTCCCTTGTTCTTTAAATGAAAAATGTAATGCCACATCAATTATTTTCCTGAAAAGTGATAAGTCTACATGAAAACAATGAACCATTGTGTTATGTGCAGATCATTTCAAAATGTTTTGATTTCCTGCATATTATTTTTCGTTATCATCTTCCCCAATCTCCCACTTACTGTTAAAATCATTATCATTCTGCATGGCTAAATTCTTTGTAGCTGGCTCTGCGTCTGAATTTGAATCTTCGAGAGGGCGTTTGATTCCACTAGCTGCGTCTCCTCCACTGAGTGCTCCTAGTCCACCAACAGGGGGCAGTCCACCTAACTCTGCTGAACTCGAACCTGAATTTAGGCCTAACGTGGTAGAACCGCCAATCTTAGCAGCAATCTGAGTTTTTATAAAAGACATCAATATTACATGTTAAAATATAGTAATTTGTCAGTAGACTAGATGAAATGATGCCTCCACCATAGAGCCATTTTTAGAAGCAATTTTTAAATTCAAGGTTCTCAGAATATCGTAATTACAAGTTATATCCCTCATGTATAGTTGTTTGCATTGCGATTGTACAGAGCACGAAAAAGGTATAGATAAGTACTATCTACCCGAGATAGGTTTTTTTGTAAAGTAATTTTTTGCTGCTGCCCCACTTGCGCGACTTGTGCATTGAATAAGCATAGCAAAATAGGTTACGCGAAATGTCAAAGTCAATGTCAATGTCAAATGAGCGCGCATCGACTGTATAACATGTACGCATGTTGTGCTTTGTAAAATCTAGCTGAAGCTAAACTGTCTGCAAAATCAGTTGTTTTAATTATGTTAAATTCACTTTAAATAGACCTTATTGCCGATGTGGGATATAAAACAAATATTAACCTCCTTTACTCGGGCAATGGATACAAACTATTATCGCCTCGGTGATAGTTTGCACCATTACCCTCGTAGTCGATTAATATTTGCTTACTATTTTTCATATACATGTACATGTATGACCCTTTGATCTTTGACCTCGTGACCCTAAAATCTATTCAGTTCATTGGCTCTGCAAGATAAATACACGTCTTGAGTTTGGCGGGAATCCATCAATCGGTTCTAGAGATAACAATCATTGCACGATCAAAAAATCTTTAAGATTTTGATAATATGATATCTCGAATGGAAGAGCAACATAAAATTATATGTGAAAATTTGGAAAATCAAGTGTTTTGCAGAAATGTATCCGACAAAAAAAAATACAACCTTACAAGTTTAACAGAACGGTTCTGGAAATCTTCGCTTTGAGAAAATATGTCATCAAAATTGTATGTAAAAAGAAACTGACTATTTTGACTTGCAATTTAGATCTACAGTAAAGGAGGGGGTAATCGACCAGCTTCAGATTTCTGCCGATTGGTTGGATGCATGGTATAATCCCTTTAAAATACATCGCATAATAGCATATCACATATCCCACACATACCATACCATGCCAGAGTCACTGAAGAACCACATTTGCAATGAAAAATATATCCTAAAATATCACATTTTAGCGATGTAATCGGCGGTCCCGCTACCCGAATCTGAAAAATCAAGTATCTTACGCGTGTCTGTGAGAAATATGGGTACCATAAAATGAGCTTTATTTCAAGTATTTTTCAGATTAAGAGCCCGATTTTGTGCTGGTCGCAAGCTCAAGTGTCTTACCGCATGTATTAAATCAATGCAGCCGGACACCGCTACGCACACACGATATCTCTGTCTAATTCAGATTCCAATATCTGATAGCCACAGTACTAGTTTTCGGCCTGGCGAGCTCAGGGGGGCTCCGGCTAACCCTGTAAGTTGGGGCTCTGATCGGATCGGAAGATCGGAGCGGAAGATCGGAGCGACACCCTCGCACCTTTGATCGGTATCGGATCGGAAGATCGACAAAAAAAAATCGGCTCATTTAAAAAAAAAAAAAAAAAAAAAAAAAAAAAAAATGCTGATTTTTTTCCTATCATTTTAATTGATCGGTGATCGAAAATTATTATACGATCACCCCTGATCGGATCGGTATCGGCGGCCGATCCGATGATCGTTTACAGGGTTAGCTCCGGCGTGGGATACCTGCTCCGCCCGCTAGTACTATGGATCAGCGCGGAGACGCACAGCGCGCGCTTCCTATCGACTTTGTACATGCGGCCGAAAACTGGTTCGCTATGCCGATAACTGACTACGAAACAGTGAAAATTGAAATGAATATTGTCATGGCAATTCGTGATTTTTTTCTGGGATTCTTTTTTTGTTTAAATAATAATAATATTTGCTTCATGATTTGAACAAGAAATGATAATAAAAAAAGAAGTAAAGGGTCCAAAAAATAGGATTTTGTCTTAAGTGGCCGAAAACCCCCTCCTTTACTCTATGCAATAACCTTACCTTTGATGGACTGCTTTATATGATAAATCACTTCTAAACTCACATGCACGTGCATTTTTAAAATGAACTTGAAATCGGGTAAATTAATATACAAAAAATAAATTCTCTAATAATCCAACAAAACTTACACTGAATCATGTTCAAAATTACAAATAAATGACATGTTCCAACTACAATTTTGGTAGAAAATGTATAGATTTCTAGGTCTAACAGTTAGAGTCTAGTCTAGATCTAGTGGCTGAGTAATGAGCATAGAAAGAAAAAGATAAGGTAAGGATATCCGGACATGCACCATGTGCTTATGTACTAGACCTAGGTGCAAATGGGAGTTGTGCTTTTTTTTTAACTGAAGATGATGCCCAGTGTTTTTGTTCATGCATTTGTTCTTATTTCACTGGTTCAAACAACCAATCTAATGCAGGATAAACAATCCAGGATAAATCATGTCAATTTTTCTCTCAAAATACGATTCCCATACATACTAGAGCTCAAGATTTGCTTCAAGGAATCATTGGTTTAATCTTCAATTATTTTTTCTTCAGTTGTAGCTAGCGCACGCGCACGCTGATCGAAATAGAAATTTATAATTTGTACTGTTACAGAAATTGGATGCTCGAACGATTAAAAAGGGAGGTCTGAATTGGAGACTAGCTTTAATTTGGGCGAGGTTTTTGGGAGTGTGTAAAAGTTTGGAGCTGAGGCCGAAGTAGTTTGGAGACAGACAGATTTTGTGAGAACTTAGAGTTAGGAGCTGGGAGGATGTTCCTCGGGAGCATCATCAATTAGCCAAAGGGCAAGAACTAGTATAAATGTGAGTTAAGTGTAACTGTTATTAGGTTGTGGCAAGTAAATATTGGATATCACCACCATGTTTCTTGTGAATAAACATCAGTTACTTAAAAATCATTGTTCGATAACTCCTTTCTCTCAGAGACTGTAATTGTATGTGTGTATGACTTGGCCCTGGCCTTGCGTGAGCATTAATTTAGGCTAGACTAAACATCTACCCCTGCAGTCTTTAAATTCCCCATTTTCTTATAAAAGAATTCCCAAAAGTTATTACACTGGTGTCAGAAGTGGGATTTGAAAGGTGGAATTTTAGAAGATTGTTAGGTCTAGTTAGGGAATAAGTCATATTTTGATTGTAGTATAAAGTTAAGATAGGTCAATGGCAGTATCCTACGTTCATTGTCATTGGCATCGTACACCACTGCACTGCAAAAGCTCTGTGTGTATACGGGGAGCAACGCGTTGTAGTGGTGTGTGTGTGTGTGTGTGTGTGTAGTAATGTTTTAGGATCGGTGCAAGTGCATCGTGCTGAGCAAAGGGAAAGTTGGTAGTCCCGCAGGCTAGATACAGCTAGTCTTGCTTTGCAGACCCGATAAGCTACTTTTGTTTGGGGAAGTTAAGATATAACTTAGTAGTAAATTTAGTCACTTTAGGTAACTTATTTTGATGGGATTGTTTTATTTGCCATTTAACTAATTAAATAATTTTAATCCCCTTTAGGATTATATTTTCTTCATTGGATTTTATTGTGGAAAAGTTTAAACTATACTGAACCTGACGTGAAATTTGTATAGGGATTTTAAATACAGTAGCCTTATAGTTTCCATTTATAAAACTTCTAAATAAAGCAAGAGTAGGCTCATGAAAGTAACAGGGGTTTAGGGTGATACACAGTTGTTGAAGTGACTATCGACTCTCAACCATGCATCGCTCACGGATCTCGTCACGTACGCGTACAAGAGGGAGGGGTCGCCTTTCGAGTCCTCTAGGAGTTGGCGCCCTCCTACAAGCGTTTGAGAAGTTTGCGGAAAGTGCCGTCAGTAACCAGGCTGAAATTATAGCGCACCTTGACAGATCTTCCACAGCACAGCAGGGTATTGAAAGGCGTCTGCAGGTGCTGGAAGCCAGAGTTGGAGACCAGAGCCCAGTGACATCACCAAGTGTTCAGAGAAAGCAAGTAGAGGCCTCAATGATGGCAGAGGGAAACGGCAACTAGTCGTGTTCGAGGAGCGGAACACGGCTAGAAATGGCAAGGCTCCTGTCATTACATCCCTGGGTGGAGAAGCAGAAGGACTCTTCCTCAGAGGGGTGATGGTTGGCAGGACACTTTTGAATCAGCATACCCAATCTTCACAAGAAGGTAATTGTGTAGGTAAATGTGAGCGAGTTGATGTTGTCATTGATGTTGAATCTCAAGAGGAAAATGTTGGAGAAGCAGGAGAAGTCACAGGCGAGTTCGCTCCGCGTTTAAGGTCGCTGCCTGAAAGAAGCAGCGTAGGATTGTCTGAGGGACAACCAGAAGAAAAGCGGGAGTTGTTACTGAGACGACAAGACCTGTTCTCCAAGGGATCCATGGACTTGGGACAGACAAGCATAGTCGCACACAAGATAGAGACGGGTGATGCTGAACCTAGTTTACCCCTAGCTAAGAGGGAGGAGGCTGTCAGAGGTATTGATGAGATGAAGTCTCAAGGAGTGATAGAGCCAGCATCAGGAGAATGGGGTTCAATGATTGTACTCGTTAAGAAAGATGGCAGTATGCGTTTTTGCGTGGAATATCGATGTTTGAATCGGGTGACAAAGAAAGATTCTTACCCGCTTCCTCGTATTGACGACATCTTAGATGCATTGACGGGCTCCCAGTGGTTTTGCGCCCTTGACCTGTATTCCGGATATTGGCATCCTCGAAGGAAGAAAGGTGTATCACCTAAATTGATGTCAGACTTGTGAGACCCTTACTCTGTTCTAAAGAAGATAAACGATGTAGTCTACAGGATCCAGTTGACGAAAAGGAGTAAACCAAGAGTGGTTCACAGAGAACGTCTTTGCAAGTACAAGGGACAGAAGGAGCCCTGGCTCCATGTAAATGATGATAATTGTTCTTTCATTACCGTAGCAACACAAATTAGTACTGAGGAGCATTCCAAGCTCAGCGAGAGACATCAAGTGTGACAACCTGATGATGCTCTGGATGAAGAACCTTCGAGAGAAAACAGTCACGAGCATCAGCATCGTCAAAGGAAGTCTCCCAATAGATATGGTTGGGATTAGCTGGTAACTTTGACAGCTGTGTATCACGGTTATCACATTGTCTATAATTGTAGTGGATTACATTTACACATAGTTATGGATTATTATTTTAAATCAAGGATATTGTTATGGTTAAGGACTTGATTTTCATTAAATTCCTTGTTTGTTAGGTTTTAATGGTTATGCTTACGACTAGCTGGTTCTTTTCACATTAGCAGAGCTAGAGTGCTTGAAAGTCAGTACCTGTTTCCAGCAGGGATACAGCACAGTTCTGTGTGGGAAGTTTTCAGTGAAGTTGCTGTGTAACTGCTTATAAAACAAATATGGCAGAATTCTTTTTTTTGTATATTGAGATTATAATAAGTTTTTATAATAATATTGCCACAACCTAGTTAGTTGCATTTTCTCTTATTACGGCTATTTATATGAAAGCCAATTTTCTGCATGTGTATACCTAATATACGCATATATGGTTGTACCACTCTGGTACACCTTTTTCTGCAAAAGATGTTATTTTGTTGCAGAAATATCTACTTGGAAGCCAGAATTGGATGGCAGATTTTCTCCATCACGTAGCTGAGGCCTGACGAGCAGATAGTGAGGTACCTTACCGAGGAAGCTTCAAGCCAGGACGCGAGATGCCAGTACCGCAAGACGCCGGGATGCCGTCCCAAAGTATCTTCACGCGTGTTGGATGAGCGAATCTGGTCTCCATGGCAACATGTGTCGGATGAGCGTATCTGGTCTCCATGGCAACGCGGTTCGTGTTTATAATGGTGAACAATTTTGATAATGCCATGCAATTTTATGCAGCCTTACGAAATCCATCAAACTTTGAAAACTTTTATAGTAAACACTTGCATGGACTATAAGTGGAATTTCATCTATTGCATTGATCAGAGGAACAAATAATTGGTGACAGGACTTCATTTAGCTGAAGCAACTTTGGAGACGCAAATGAACTTAAGGAGTCAAACACTTATTCCATTGTGCTGCTGAACTTTACGAATGAACCAGTTGAATGTAGAACTGAGGGACCAACATTTTGGTGTTATTAGCATTCCTCGATATCGAACTTGTGAAGAGAAACACAAATATTGTTAAGTGTTCTTATACAGGAGGATTTGTAGGGATCACATTACTATGATGTATCAAAGAGAGTAGAAAGAATGAGAAAACTGAAGTGGCTTTCTCGCATTAGGTGTAATCACAGATGAGCGATTAACTCATCTGAACTCGAAATGTGGAAATTGATTTGTGCCGTTCTGTAATAACAGATAATAGCAAATGGACGCTTTGCCTTTTTTTTCTTCTAATGACTTAAAGTCATTTTGAAATCTATTTGAGATCATGCATGATCATGTTTTTACAAGATCGGATTATTTTGTAAAAACAATTTTGTTTTGTATAAATTCTTCTATATTGGCAGTTGAAATGAGCGTTTCCTCTTTGGCATATAAATTCAGAGTATTGTTATGTTTTTTTTTCCAGGGTTGTACTTATGTGTTGTTGGCAACTCTAATTTTGCTAACCAAACCAGTTTAAAATGAACCGAGATATCCCATTTGTTGTTACCAAAGAGGACGAATACCAAACTTGATGGTTATACCAGAATAACCTTTAACTTTTGCCATATTTAAAGGTGATATTGAAAAAAAAAAAAAAATGTTTTTGTTTATATCCAGTTTTTTTTGTTCTATAGTGATTATTACTTAAGTGTGCAACAGGCTGAACATGTTGACCAGAGTCACCAGACTGATGTGGAACAACAATTATATTCATGTATGATGTATTTTGTTCTGGTATACTGAGAGTTGAAGTCCAGTTTATTGTATTGATATTTGAAATTTACGATCAATGATATCAGGTAAGATGCATATGCTGCATGCTTTGTCTCATTTTGCAAGTGCTTTTATGTATGCATTCGCCACAACCTAAGAATTGTTTTGTGAGGCTGAAACAAAGGTAATTTATGTATGTTTATAAATGACTGTGCCATGCTAATGTGCTACTTTAGAAATTATGATGATTTCTTTCAGGTTTTCCTATTCTGTGTTTTCCATGCTTCACATTTTTAATGATGTTGTTATTTTTTTAGATTTAGTATTTTACATTTCTTGTTATCTTTATTGTTGTTTTACTGACAGGTTCCTGTTTTGAAGTTCCTAGTGTTGAACGGGACGTTCAAAGTTAAGGAGGGGGCAGTGTTACAGAAATTGGATGCTCGAACGATTAAAAAGGGAGGTCTGAATTGGAGACTAGCTTTAATTTGGGCGAGGTTTTTGGGAGTGTGTAAAAGTTTGGAGCTGAGGCCGAAGTAGTTTGGAGACAGACAGATTTTGTGAGAACTTAGAGTTAGGAGCTGGGAGGATGTTCCTCGGGAGCATCATCAATTAGCCAAAGGGCAAGAACTAGTATAAATGTGAGTTAAGTGTAACTGTTATTAGGTTGTGGCAAGTAAATATTGGATATCACCACCATGTTTCTTGTGAATAAACATCAGTTACTTAAAAATCATTGTTCGATAACTCCTTTCTCTCAGAGACTGTAATTGTATGTGTGTATGACTTGGCCCTGGCCTTGCGTGAGCATTAATTTAGGCTAGACTAAACATCTACCCCTGCAGTCTTTAAATTCCCCATTTTCTTATAAAAGAATTCCCAAAAGTTATTACAGTACCCTTTTGAAATTTGAGATCGCGACATCGCCGGAATTCTTAAGACAATATGCTTCCCAGTCGCACCATTTGTAGTATATAATTTTGCTGTTCATTTGGCATTAATACGTTTAAATAAATGTTTGTATAATATGAAAAATAATGGCTTGAAAATCACATTCCTAATCAATTTTTTAAATGTCCGCGAACTTCCGACACCCATCGTTATACAGGCCCACACATTCCTTTGTTTCCCCCACATGCACACACCACGTACACCCAACAGGCAACTCAGACTCGCACAGTTTCATTCAAAGTGCACGCGTATGCTGGATCATGTAACTCGATTTCGATTACGATTTTGATCTAAAAAACTCTTAATTTTTACTTACCGCTCTCGCCCTTTGTACGGCGTCAGCAAAAGCTGCGTTCCCGTCCAGAGTTGTGGATTGTTGAGGCGTTGCGGATGTATAATCGGTCATCTTTCAGCCCAGAAAACTGGATAGTCTGGTCCAAGATGGCCCCTCAAAAATTCATCTCCACTAGCGAAGTGGTCGAGTCGCGGTATTTAGAATATGGTATAAATAAAAGATTACTCTTAACGTTACTTGTTTGGATGGGAAATAAATATTTAATAATCTAAAAATATATTTTAATGTCCATAATTGCTCTTTGAATTTTATAAAAAGCTTAAAATTACTAAAATTAATAATAGGCTTTTGAAATAGACAGTTCGCATTATGCAAATTATTCGATGACGTCTATAGATCGAAGCGCAAGCATGTGCGGCTAATTTATACGTGTGCGCATGTACGGCGTGGCGCTGGCTAGTTGGCAGCGTGGCTCGGCAGCGTGGCTTTTTTGATGAACATTCACATTCGGCGCGAATAATGCGGAGAGCCAAATTCAGAAAAGAGGGGGTTGGCTGCAACTACCACAAAACTAACCAAACCTTATTTATTCGAAAGATTTTATCATAATACACAATATTTCAGAGGCATTTTTTTTCAAAGTTGTAGCGATCACCCCTAAATTGGAGGGGGTGTCCAAAAAAGCGGCCCATTTGACGAAAAATAGTATTTTGTAAATAATATTTCAAGGGAACCTTGAACCACCATAAGTTTGGTGTCATATAAAAGAGGATAAAATTATCTACATTTTCATACCAACTTTGACAGAATCGGGATTAATGAACATCTCAATTATAAGTAAAAAATATGATTTTTAATGATTTTTTTCAAAAAATAGAAATTTACCCCAAAACGTTATTTTCCATATATCAAATTCTGAGAGGTGTCTTCGTTCGTTACTTTCAAGGAATTTGCCTATGCTCAAGGACAATATTTTGTGCGAAGGAGAAGCTTATATCTACTTTAAGTGAAAAGTTTTGGCAACCCAAAGTTATCGAATCTACTTCTACAAAAAACTACATTTTCCCCATCTATGCATATTACTATTAGTGTATATATTATTAGAGATACAAATCTCAAATCACCATGGACTTGGTGTCGATGGATATTCAAATTACCTTTAAATTGATATCAACTTCATGAGTTAATGTAAGGTGTAAAATATAAATTTTGAGCCGAAAATGCAATGCTTTTGGGTACTTTTCCCCCTAATTTTGGCCAGAATCTTGGTATATTAACTTGACGATAGTGATTGGAAATTTAGTAGTGCAGAAAGTTCAAAGGCGCAATTGATAGGTACTTCTCCTTATACTCTGTGATTTTTCAGGAAATTTGGGAATGGGAAAATTCCGGAATAATCGGACTAAGATATTTTAACCACCGAAACGTATATTGCTATTTTATATTGCGTAGAAGTTAAAGAAAATGATTGCTAAATGCAGCATATCCGTGTATTTTTGGGGTAAGTGTAAAAGAAATCTTGGACTCAGTCCCTAGAGATGTTAAAGTGTACGTTGCACAGAGGCGGCCCTCCGGGGGTGGGGGGGGGGGTGGGGAGTGGGCAGGGGCGCACAGTGTCCCCACTTTTTCAAGCACCCGAAAAGTGCCTCTTTTTACACTGAGGAAAAGTACCCCTTTAACTTTAGGAGAGGTGCCCATTTTACTTTGACAAGTGCCCCTATTAATTTGTCAAAGTGCTTCATCCCCTTTTCAACTCTGATAAGTGCCCCTTTTATTTGGACACGTGCCCCTTTTCCTTCGACAAGTTCCCTTTTTCATTTGCAATAAGTGTCCATTTTCCATTCTCATAAGTGCCCTTTTTAATCTGAGAGGTGCCTCTTTTACTTTGACAAATGCCCCTTCCCCTTTTAATAACTACCCCAATTTTAACTAGGATAAGTGCACTTTATATTTTCACATGTTTCCCTTTTCCTTTCTAAGTGCCCCATTAAAAGAGAGCCCCTTCCCTTCTCATAAGTGCCCCTTCTCTGGTAAATGACCCTTTCCAGGTACGAGAAGTTACTCCTTTTCATTTCAGATAAGTGCCCCCTTATGGTTCAAGGCATGCCCACATAGAAGATTTTTTTTATGTTGGGGGTCGGGGTAAAATGCAATGAATTATTGAAAAATTATTGCATTTTCTTTGTTTTTTGTTTTTGTGGGGGCGTCGACGTACCCTAGCGCCCGCTGCATACATTCATGATTCATTGGCTAAGCAATGGCCTCGTTGCTGTGAGCCCCCAGGATCAAAACCGTGTCGATGTGCTATATTATGAGGTATTAATCCCCATTACTGTTAGTTATGACTTAAGAACGTAGGTCCCCTAGTTGATTAGCTTTGTAGCACACACATGCTTTAGCAGTCACTCAAAACAAACACTCCCCAATTGTCATTCAATAAAATCTGAGAATGTATACTATTATCTAGATCTATTAGGAATAAATCATTGTCAAAATCATTCAATAATTTGGGGTAAAAATAATTATTCCACCATTATGACCAACGGACCAACAGTGTATATAGTCTTGCTGAGTTTGCAAGACAAAAGGCAAGTCCAACCATTGTGGGTGAAAATAAATTGGTATTAAACTCTATACTGTAAGGGCAACATGAAGTACTGGGATTTGGTTTAGAACATTAATATTGGCAATGATTGGCACCCATGTTGTGCCCCTTCGATCTATGCCCCTTGCAACCAGCAAGATTCACAACTTATGGAATACTAGATAGTTATCACAGTAAAACCCTTATCACATTAATTAAGATGGTTTAAGACAATTTTCAACGTTATCACAAAACTATTTCTTATCATAAAAAATCTATACACACATTGCTTTTTGTATATACAAATTTATTTCTAATAATATAAATATCTATACTCTAAACTGTATTCTGATGGTTTGAAGATAAGAAATGCTTTCAACCTACTTAGCAAATAACATATTTTAATTTGACAGAAGAAATAGAAATGGATCAACTGTATTAACACAACTATAGTCGAAAAACCATAGAGTTCAATCTTCAGGAGTAATTCTGAAAAGTATTAGGCTGTTCATTTCTATATGTTTTTTTTTCAATAAAAAGAAAACACATTTTTAGATCACATTTTATATCCACATGGGTAGAATCTCATTGAGCGGCGAATACTTGCGAACGTAGCGATTTTGGGGTTTCGCCAGGGTTCGTAAAATTAATGTTGCAAAAGGTTGTCGCAAACGTTTTTTTTTTTTTGTCACTAAGGGCCTTTGCGAAATTATTTTTCCGCAAACTGTTGCAAGCGTTTGCAAAACAGTTGCAGTGTTAGACGGTGTGGCTGAAGTTCTTTTTGATTCGACAATGCTAGCGACCACGTGACCATTATGGTTCCTATATAAATTTGAATGCTGGGGAAGGTTGCTCACCCTTTTTAAAGGGCTGGGTCCATAGATTCGCCTAGCACTTTATCAGGAGTTAGCAAAAGGTCCCAAACATTAACATAGTGGCAAAGGATTGGCAAATAGTTGCTAATCTTCACAAAAATTGTCGCTAACATTTGCTTACAGTCGCTAATAGTCGCCAATAAAAATATTGCTTTTCGCAAGCGCTTTCGCAAACATTCGCTCAAATGTTGCTTATTGTCGCTTATGGCAGAGGCGTACCCCTTATTTTCGCCAACATTCGTCAGAAAAGTTGGCGAAACCAAAGTTCGCAACGTTCGTAAGCATTCCCTCCTAGTGAGATAGCGCTTCGGCATTCTGCATGATCTTCTGAAACGTTACCTGAGGATTCACAAAACAGGCATGTCACTCTTTTGGGCATTCTGACAATTTTTCTTAGGGTTCAAGAAACGAACGAATGTTAGTGTCATTTGCTGTACAAGCTTAATCAGAAGCAGAATTTTTTTGTAGTTATAATTATAGGCCTATCTTTCTTTGATTATGTTGAAACATTTATCTTTACCGTGGCAAGTAATACCAAGCAGTCAGAGGGAGGGAGGTATCAAAAAATAGTCGCTAGTGTGTGTAAGGGGGTGGGGGTGGGCGGCCCATATCCACTGATTTTCTGAAACATCACAGATATAGAAGTATAGTTATCAATTGCCCTCAACACTCTTAATCCTTTGAACTTTCTGCACTATTAAATGTCCAATCAACATCGTCAAGTCAAGATTCTGGCCAAAATTAGAAGGGGGGGGGGAATATCCCCCGAAAATCACATTTTCGGTGCAAATGTATATTTAACACGCTACATAACTTAATGAAATTGAAATTAAATAAGAGGTATTTTAATCATATATCATTTGACACCAAATCCATGGTGATTTGAAGTATGACTCAAACTTTATCTCTAAACTCGAAATAAACACACCTAACACGACCTCAAATACAGTTAATACACAAAATTAATGGGCAAAAATGTCGTTTTTGTTGAAGTCAAGTCAATAACTTTGGGTTGCTAAAACTTTTCACTGAAAATATATAATTATAAGCTTCTCCTTTGCACGATATATTGTCGTTGTACATGATAAATTCCTGGAAAGTAACGAATGAAGAAACCTCCATGGGCCTATGGAAAATAACGTTTTTTTAAATAATCAAATTCAACAAAAATCCTGTTTTTGCGTTGTTAATTATTTCCGCTTCCGTTAAAATTGATATAAGGTTGTAATGTTTTCTTCTTTTATTTGGCACCAAACTTATGGTGGTTCAAGGTTTCCTTTACAAAATACTATTTTTCGTTAAAGGTACTATGTCCCATTTGCAGGCCAAAAAAATGAAAAAGTTAAATTCCAACTGCATTTGAAAGATAATACTAATTTAGAACTTCCCTAAAAAAGGTGGGGCTTGAAAATGTCTTCAAGTGGGAAAATAACGACTAATAGTTGTCAAATCGACTTTAGGGCTATAGAGCCCAAAAGTAATAGTCTTGATTTTCAGACAATTGTACCGAATGGTCATACGTTTTATGCTGCGTAAAGATTCAATCAGTTTAATCTTGGCCATCACAAGAAGTGGGTTATTGATGTAGACAAATGCTCATGTACCCTTTACAACTCTTTTCATGTTTGTTATTACCAAAGAAGAAAAAAGCCAGTCAGTCACTCAATAGTGTCTGACACTGAAGTCTAGCAAATAAACAGGTTTCCTTGCATAATTTGAATATGGG